CACCTCCGACAGCGGCGAGGGGAGAAATCACACGAGTGCGTTCAGCCAAGAGAAACCGGACTGGGATGTTCTGTGCGCCTTGACGTGCAGTTTTGGGAAGGGTGGATGTGAGAAAAAAAAAAACTGTTTTTGTAAAGGAGAAGAAGGAGAGAAAGAAGAAAGCATGGGAGGACCCGATCAGCAGGAACCACGTTCCGCACGACTCACTGGAACATAGGATGCTTCCTATATAGCTACGCACAGCCTAAGACTGCAGCCTGGGTGCGTGTGCTCTCTGCACGCCGAGTGCGCGGAGAGAAGTTCTTTTTTCTCTGCGCGCTCAGGTCACACCGAGGGAGGCTGCCACGATATCGACCCGCATACTCCGTAGATGTGGCGAATATATAACTCTCAACAGACGGCGCATCCGGGGGTTTATCAAATTATAGTTAGACGGACGATGAGAATATATATTATACGGTGAAACTGGTCTCGTCTCTTTTTCCTTTTCTTCGGAATGTTAAACTTCACGGGAACACCCCATCTTTATCCAGTTATCGTGGAGATACTGGCCCTCGCCATGGATCTGCAACGGTTGCTGGACTAGTCCCGGCCAGGCCTCAGCGACAACAGGCTATTCGATGAAACCGCGAGTTAGCGTCCACTGTGATTCGCACTTCGGGACGGTAAGCGAACATCGCATTGGACGAACTGGTTTGGGGGTCACGTATATTGCTTTTCGATCGTCCACATCGACATGGAGCTCAAGCAGCTTCTGCTATAAGAGAGAAGATATATATCTGTCTCCTTTTTTTTTTTTTTTGACTGAATAGCCCGCATAGTTGGAATATAAATTGATATCGTGTGCTCTGTGCGACAGGATCCCCTGCAAGCTATCGACGCCGTGAGACCGTCTGTCCTAAGGCTGACTCGCATCCCATCATCACTACCATCTGCTCCATCTGCTACATCTCATTCTTCGTCTTATGTCCTCTTCTCTTCTATATAAATAAGGTCAAAATAACCTCGCCACGCGCGCTTCGGCCGAACTAAGATCCGGCGCCGAAGCTTCTTCCTTTCTTGTCCGCCTCTTTTTTTTTTCTTTTCTTTTCTTTTCTTCTTTCCGGGCCCAAAAAAAAAATCTCGACTTTAATCATCTCCAAACTTCGCCCTCTTTCTTATCGCCAACAACCACCAGCCACCCGCCCCAGTCCTGAGCTTGATAAAAGGCCGCTGCAGACCTTGCGCTACGTCTTGATGCCTGTTAACGCTCCTTAGACGCCCCCTTCTCTACCCGCCAGCAGGTCTGCCGCCCTTTTTTTGCCCCTGCTCAAGAGTCTAGCTCGGGGAGCAGACGACCCGTCCCTTGTTTCGAATAGGTACGTAACAATGTATACATATACAGCTGCATGGTCGTATGGCGGGATCAATATATAACCCTCTTCTTATCGTGGTCATCTGTCCAGATCGGCCAGTCAGATAGACGCCGGGCTTGCTTCTCTGTGGACCTGAAACTAACTCGCCACTACCCGTAGATACCGCTGGGAAAAAATCCTACATATAATAGCACAGCGCCCAGATCCCGACCCCGTCACCCCCCCCCCGTCAAAGGCGTTTCGTTCCTCCTGTGCTCTCCCACTCTTCCATCCTTGCTCAGACGAGCGTTAAAATCTACGAACCTGGAGCCATTTTACCGTCGTCGTGCTCCTCTTCCTCCCCATAACAACCTGGACGATCGTCTTGCATCTACCATCAAGTCTTCCAGGAAGCTGTCGCACACTACGTCCTTCGTAGAGGCTAGTTTCCTCTGCTTCATCTCGACTCTTTTCGAGCCACCTTAACGGCCAGTCCAGCCACCTATCTGAAACAACAAGGGGGGAAAAAGGAAGAGAGAGAGAGAGAGAAACCCCTCCAAGCATGGGACAGCAGCAATCGAAGAATTTGTCACGGTCGAATGGGGCAGGACTACAGGTCGAGGGCTTACAGGCGTATCCTTCGATTTCAAAGTCCGACACAAAAGACTCCAGTCGTTCGATCCGTGGCTCGATTCGTTCCAAAATACCAGGTAGCGGTAAGAGCGATAAGGCAGACAGCCCGAGAGCCTCTAATGGAACCCTTGCGCGATCAGACAGCGCTCCTATCGAAGGCTTAGAAGCAGCCTTTGCGCGCTCTTCCATCTCACGACACGCCCGCAGCCTATCCGGCTCGTCGGTGCCAATACAACCTGTTAGCTCGCAAGACGACCTGCAGAACGAAGCACCAAACCCACCTCCATCTCCGCCACATTCCTCCTCAATCGGCCGAGGGCACAAAGACGTCAGCGCCGCCCAGAAATCCGGAGAAGTTGATCACGTGTCCGATGCTCCTCCGTCACAGGTTGCTCCGTCCACCGTCGCCCAAAAGGCAGGCGAGTCCATTCTGATCAAGAGAGAAAACTCCATCAATCCTATATTGAACGAGTCTGGTGCTAGGTCGATAATAGATCAGAACGGAACCAACGGCTCCCCCGGTATGACCATCGGAGCGCTCAAGTCTATCGATGTTGACGACATGATTTCACGGCTTCTAGATGCCGGATATTCCACCAAAGTCACAAAGGCAGTATGTCTGAAAAACGCTGAGATCATTGCTGTCTGTACCGCCGCTCGTGAACTTCTTTTGACCCAGCCAGCCCTGCTGGAGCTCTCGGCACCGGTGAAGATCGTCGGTGATGTTCATGGCCAATACACCGACTTGATTCGACTGTTCGAAATGTGCGGATTCCCTCCTAATTCAAACTACTTGTTTCTCGGCGATTACGTCGACAGAGGAAAACAAAGTCTAGAAACGATCCTCCTCCTCCTCTGCTACAAGCTCAAGTACCCTGAGAATTTTTTCCTCTTACGTGGAAACCACGAATGCGCCAATGTCACGCGAGTTTACGGATTCTACGACGAGTGCAAGCGACGATGCAACATTAAGATTTGGAAAACATTCGTCGACACATTCAATTGCCTTCCCATCGCCGCTATCGTTGCTGGCAAAATATTCTGTGTTCACGGCGGCCTGTCCCCCAGTCTGTCACATATGGACGATATCCGCGGCATTGCTCGACCAACGGACGTTCCTGACTATGGACTATTAAATGATCTACTATGGAGTGATCCAGCCGATATGGAAGAAGACTGGGAGCCTAACGAACGAGGCGTCAGTTATTGCTTTGGTAAAAAGGTCATTATGGAATTTTTGCAGAGGCACGATTTCGATCTTGTGTGTCGCGCACACATGGTCGTCGAAGATGGTTATGAATTTTTTAACGACCGCATTCTCGTTACTGTCTTTTCCGCACCTAATGTAAGCTTTCCTGTCCCATTATCTGTTACCGCGATCTTCTCAAATCTAACCTTTTTATAGTATTGTGGCGCATTCGACAATTGGGGTGCTATCATGTCTGTTTCCGATGAGCTTCTCTGCAGCTTCGAATTGCTAAAACCTCTTGATTCGAGCGCTCTGAAGAGTCACATAAAGAAAGGCAGGAATAAACGAAACAACATGCTTAACAGTCCAGTAAGTTCTCCCCTCATCGCTGGTGACAAAGCCTTGTCCCCGATACATTTTGGTAACTTGAATACTAATCGGTTGCCCACTCTTACAGCCTGCTATGGTTTCTGCTCAAAGCTATTAAGGATCGTCTAGGATACCCGACCAATTTTCCACAACCGCTAAAGATCTACTCTTAACCCTGTCGTATGAGAAAAATCAAGGACGAGACGCCTTTTATTTCCACAATTTACATGCTGGGTCTCAGCCTTGCGCATTACCTCCCTCGCGCCATGGACAATTTATTAAGAGTGAGGATTCACCGCGTGCATCAGCTCTAACAGGCGGGCTGAAACAGGATGCTTGGGACTGGTTCCCCGAGGGGTTCGGTAAATCGCGTACTTGAAGCACCCCTTTTCGTCCCATCTTGATCTCTCTAGACTCCCATGACGAGGATGATAACCATGCCGTCTTGAACCAGCGAGACAGCCGCATGATTCCCAAACCTCCCATGAAACAAATATGTCAGCCAATCCTTAAAAATTCCGCACACCCCATCTTCCAAGTGTCTAGTGCACCTTTTCTGGCGTTTCCACGCTTCCTATGATCGTCTTTCCTTTACTTTCTTTCCCTGTAATTATTGGACATATCTACATGCGCAAGACCGGGATGATAGTTGATGTTGTTTCTTGTAGCGACTTGATCACATTTTAGCATTCTACCCGGCTTCATCTGTTCTATGTATTTGATAGTCGGTGTCATGAGTGGAGGGATTGTAATATTGCCCGCTCGATGCCCATGTTTCTTCTTTTTTACTCTTTGACTCTTTCAATGAGACCTCGCCTACTTTACTTTATCCTATTCTACCTGCTTTCTTATTTTTCGTTCCATCTTTCATGGTCTCATATTCATATTCTACAGTTAATACTACTTACTGCCTTGATCATATCGAACATTGGCTAAACCCATACATATATATCATGCCAAAAAAAAAAAAAAAACCCTCTCTTTCTTTTTCAGCGTCTTGCTTTCTTTTGATGCACATGCAGATGTGTTGATAATCCCACGTGGAATTGATAATTGTTGTTTCTTTTTACTGTTGGTTGCTCTTTGTTATGCTGTTAACCATTTATACATAGGCTTGAACTGCGTTGTATCTTTTTTTACAAGCATGTATTCGCTGCAAAGATGTTCCAAGGAAACTTCATATCAAATATCGTAATATCATTGGAGCGGTCTGGCTGGCTAGTTATAAAAATAATGACATTCATATCAAATAATACATCAATAGCATTAAGTTAAACGGTGGAGAAAAATCCAAGTTTCCACCGTCCCTACGTAAAAGTCCAATAGTAGTTCCAAAACCCCTTTCTCTGGTAACGGGTCACCTTCTTCCGTCTGTAGGTGATATCAGTTCGAGAAATAATAAAAGAAGGGGGATACATGGGGAGATAAAAAAAATGGAATGACGGGAGAAAATAAAAACATCACAGTAGTCAAACAAGGTAATGAATAGGCGGACAAAAGGATAAAGGAGTCTTCTCCAAACAAAAATATATCATCGATAATGGGGAATTATATGAGATGGATATGAGATAAGTGAGACTTGGAATGCCAGTTTCAAGCACTCTGATGAGAAAAAGGCCGTTAAAGGTAGAGAATAGAGAAAGGGGAAGAAAGAAAAACAGGCCGGGGCGATAGAGGGTGACCTGATCACACCCCACATATGTACAAAGCGAAGAATAATTGGAAAGGAACATCAAGGATAAGACAAAATAATAGAACGTAATGCAGGCGGTTGGCCGGGAAAAAGCCAGGCTGGATAGGGAGCCAAGAAGTAGTTGGATATTTGGAGGCCAAGACAGGCGGTTTCACTTTTCTTTGGGAGAGGTATATCCTTAAACAGGTGCAGCAATTTAAAAAAAATCAGGTGGATGGTCTGCTGGAGTCTTCTGAGTTTGGCATCCCAGAGCTCGCGGAGGACACCAAGGTCGGTGCAATTCGTTTTCTCTTTGGTTCCCGTTGGGCGGCTTTGTTACCTCCTTGATCTTCTTCATCCTTGTCCCCTGGGTCCTCTTTCTCTGATTCGCTCACTGTACTCAGGTCTCGCTTCCCCAAGACGCTTCCGCTAATAGAATTGGTAGCGCTATGGGAGGACATGGGAGTTTCCGGTGGCGTGCTAAAAGGTTGGCTAGAATTTGTGGCGGTAACTGAGGGTACAGTGCCAAGGGTAGGGGTTGGGTTGTTTACCACAGCAGCTGCCTTGGAAGTTGACGAAGACGGTGTGGCTGGACCGGAGCTAGCTGCACGAGCGGGGACTGTGATTGGAGTTCCGATTGCTAATGATGCCTTGCCTGTGGAGTTTTTACGGGGAGATGTCATGACAGGGGACTGCGCTGCGGAAGCATTTGTAGACGCTGCCACACTGGAGCTGATAGGATGTGGCTTTTCCATGGTGTAAATTTGGCCCAGTTCTCCGGGAGAGAATGAAAGAGCCGAGCAGAATCCATCAGAGGAGCTCATTATGAGGGTAAGCCCGTCATGGGACCTGAAATTTAGTTAGCGTCAGAGAAGCGACCAAATCCTAAAGATGGGCCAGAAGACTTACCAGGAGAGATCGGTAAAAGTGGCAAAATGCAGGTTGTTTACTATACACAGCGGTGTCTGCTGCTGGGTATCATATATCAGAACTGCATCTTGTGTCGCGACTGCGTAAACCATCCGATATGGCAATGCGAACACCGGGGTGAGCGAAGTATTTTGTGAGCCAGCGTCGCTTTCATGCGTTCCTAGTAAGGGCAGAGAGCGTGCAGTTTCGCTAGTGGCCGAGGGGGGTGCACTTGATGGAGGCTCCATAGCTGGTTGTGATATGACGGAGTCCGGTAAAGACGGAAATGCCTCTTCACTGGACGAGGAATCCAAAAATATCTGGCGAGTGGGCTTTGTGCCTTGTCTCAACGTATAGTACACCGGCGAGCATTTAACAGCAACTGACGGCTTTTTGTGCCCCGGAAGATGAGCTATTGGTGGTTTGTTGAAGCCTGCACGGGTATAAACGTAGACTGTGTTTATTATGTCTTCCATGACCTTGTCATTCTGGCCAGCAAGTGAAACCTTGTATTGCCCAGCTGGGGTGAAGAGTAAGCTGCCATCTGGGGCAAAGGTCAGGCGCCTAAAGAAAGAGTTGAATGTTTCATTGGCATATATGCTGGCGTTTTTCACGCCTATCCCGCCAAAGAGGCCTGGAGAAGCGGCTTCGAGGGGCTTCACTGCAGGCAACGGCATAGAAGGCGCCGGTGACGCTGACCTGCGAATAGAAGGTGAAGAACCAAAGGAGGAGCGGCGGCTAAGGGACACAGGAGGAGGGTCCATGGGCAGAGGGGCGGTCAATGGAGTGCCTGGGGTTGAGGCACCGGGGGAAGACACAGTCATGGCATTTCCTGATGTCGATTGAACTCGGTTTCCGCCAAAGTCCGGCACAGGGCTGCTCGAAGATACCCGTCTAGCAGGCAAATCCATCTTCAAGAACTTTCCGTGAGTTGTCAAGGTAAATTGGCCGTCCTTTGTCTTTAAGGCGTATATGTGTACCGATCGATCCGAGGACTGTGTCGCTACATACTCGTTCAGAGGATCCCAGGCGACGCCTTGCACATAATGAGAGTGTTCAGCAATCTGCCGGACCATTTGGCCTGTAGTAGGAGCAGTCAGAACTGGGTCACAAAGGGACGGAAACGGTTGGAGGGACCAGTACCTGTCTGAGCATTGTAGATGCGAGCAATGTTGTCCATGCTACCGGTAATGATAAAAACACCGTCCGGAGACCATGCTAGGTCGTATATTTCTGCTCCGGATGACCTGCACATGTGCTTCACTCGCCATGTTTCCTTGTCGTCCAGCCCTTCCTGTCCAAAACCCGGCTGCGTTTGTGTCTCGGATGGAACCCAGAGAAGGACGTTCCCATCGTCTCCGGCAGATGCCAGCATCTCTCCTACATTGGCTCAGCTTCTATCCTATCGTATAATTAATAAGGGGGTCTAGATGGAGACAAGCGTACCTTTCGGGCAGAAGCGTACGACGTTCACGGCCTGCGTGTGCTTGATCAAAGTGCTAAGGTAGGTGACCTTTCGCTCTTCTCCCGTGGACTCGACCTTCCATAGCTATCCATTTCGTCAGATCTAAGAGGAATTGATGCTCGTTAAAGGAGTGATGGGAGTAGGGGAGGAGCTTAGCCGTACGCGAACGTTGTTATCACTATTTATCAAACGGTTAGTGTACCACGCAGCTTTATCTGTAGGAACGACAGGACGTACTTTCCAGCCGTTGCCAGTCGGCCTTTGCCATGAGGATCAAAGTGCACTGAATAGATGGGGGCATTGTCATCGTGCCAGGCAATCAGCAGAGGGGTCGCCTTCATCGCAGCGGTTTATTGACAGCCACAGAGGGCTGACCAAAGAACCGAAAGTTCCCCTACCGCCAGAATTCGAGCGTGCTTATGCCGATTGACGCCGTAGATTCACTATTCGACGGTTATCTGTAGCAGCAGAATATCCAAAGACGGGTTGGGTTGGTCGCCGGGACGATAGAGCTCTCGCCGAATGCTCGGAGTTACTAATGACTAGTTAAAAACACCACCGCAACAGACGAAGCATTGGAACGACGGCGACAGAAAGCAGGGCCAGGGAAGAAGGAGACAGCGTCTATCCAGGTTGAACCAGGGACGATGGCTCAGGGGAGAGAGGACGAGGTGTGGCTGTCGGTCTGGACGAGGAAGAAGAAGAAGAGCGTATTCAGAGAGTTGAGAGTGAGAACCCTGGGGCGGTTGTTTCGTTACTCCACCAACAAACTGTTTATCAACTATAAATAAGTTGCCTTTCAGCAAACAAAAAAAAAATAGTTCCATCAACTTGTCGCATTCAAACAGCAGCTGGCTGTCACAGGCATGTATTTTTTATTTTTTTCTTATTATTTTGTCTTCTTTTTGCGAAAAAAAAGAAAAGACGGAATACGTGGATTTTATTTTTGTCTACATGATGAACATACTCCGTATAATGTGCTGCCGCCATGATTGGATGGTATTATCTACATCTCGACCGGCTTCTTACTATGTGCGTTGACTGCTACAGCCTTGGAGGTGTACGTAGCAGCATCCCCGTAGGGCGTGAAGGCACGCTCTGACCCCGGCTGCAGAAGGTGCAGGAGGTAGAGACAGGGAATCTCTTGAAAGGAGAGCCACAGCCTCTCACATCTTGACTGTCCAGTTGGAATCACGATGTTGTTGTTGTTGTTGTTGTTATCACTTTGTATCAAAGAGAATCTCATGGATGGTGATAAAACATGGTTATGTAAGCAGAAAATAATAAGCTATTAAACTCAGGCTTTTGTATCCTCTGATTGGCTGTATGTTTCTACTTAATTCCTATTGGTCATTGAACCGCTGGGTTTGCCACTCTTTACTATCTTATTGGCCACGTCTTTCAGCCAATAGAAAGTCCGATAGAGATACATGAATATCAGACGAAAACGAGTAAGAGTTTTATTTTGACTCCAAAGTTGCCAAAGTTGACTGTCATTAGCTTCGCGAAACAGGCGCTGGCGAGGAGGATATCATGTTCTTTGCCTCGACATGCCATAGAGCTTGCTCCTGTACTGCAGCAGCATGGATAGTATGACCAGGTAACTTGCCTAGCTCTTGTCATCCACGTATTTAAGAATACATGGCAGCCTGTCATCTCTGCAGCCTGTATATTATCCCTACTCTCTCAATTCAACCGGAAGCGCCCTTCAGGTCTACATGGGCCACGTACATTGAAAGGTCCTGGATGGGAAACCGTCACAACTAGATCCGAAAGACCAGAATATATGGCAATGAGGCAAAATGCTTCAGTCATCGCTCCAAATATAATCATGCCAGCCAGTTTCCGATCGTTTCTCCAAACCAGCTGGTGAATTTCTCTCTTCGTTTCATCTTGGCTGCTTCCTCGGCCCTCAGTACCGGAGTTACCTCCTTCATGTATATCTCCCTTTGGACCATCTGCTGCTTTAAAGATTGTACCTCCAGCTCGCGCTCGTGTGGAGTCATGTCCTTCAGGGGCTTATAAGGCTTGGATCCAGCCGGTAAGGCCTCTCCACCTGGGATGGCACACTCGTCATCCGGTTGCCTGGTATCTGGTGACGTCGCTATCTCGGCCTCTGACTTGAATAGAGATTTTGGGTGAGGAGGTTCACGGCCTTCCGCCTTCGCTTCAGCCACCCTTCTTTCGTAATCCAACATGCGATGGTATAGTCTGTCCGCATGCATCTGAATCCGTTCTTCCTTCTCCATATCCCATACAAACGAGGAGCCGTAGCCTAGAGCTTGGAGGAATTTCTAGAAAACCATCAGTAACGTATCCTTCAAGTAATCTCACTGCACACAAAACATTGGCTACTCAAGCGGATTGAAAAAAAGTATTGTACTCACAGATTGCATCGTGTAACATCTCGAGAATCGTGCATTCTGCTCTCCACACATGGTCAACCTGGCCTTGATCTTGTCTGAAAAAGTTCCCTTCTTAAAACACAATGATAGATCTTCATGTTCTTCCGCACAGTTCTCCAAGGCTGCCCTGTTCAGCACCTCCTTTCTCTGCTTAAACTGTTCCACTACCTTCTCTGCCGGCGAGACACTGGGCCCTTCGATCTCTTCGAGGGTCTTGTAGTCCTTCCATATATGTGCATATCGTCCGTCCGGGAAAAGCGATGCGGAGGGAACGGAGGTTGCAGATTCGGCCGTTCGATCTTGGGAACCAGATGACTCTCTCGGCTTCTCATGCGATTGTGTCTGATGCCGTGGTGCCACACCGGCAGCTGTAGGCGCGTATCTAGACGGCGACTCTTGCTCAAGGTACTCTCGCAAGCTGGGATCCAATTTCTTCGTCGGATCAGCGTTGGAGGAAGGATTGCCCCAAAACCAGCCCATTGATTCCAGTCAAATGTCGCTGCTTTGATCTAGCTAACTCGTCTGTGTTTGCGTGTCTTGTCAAGCTTCCAATATCTTCGTTTGCTCTCTTTTGATGTTACTTTTTTGGCTGAAGATCAATTTGCTAGAACGCCAAGGATTATAACCATTTCTATCGTAGAAGCGCGTCTAAAACATCTACAACATCTACAACATTTACTACTAGACATGTAGAGCGATGGCGACAGCACCAAGTAAGTCGTGGATTTCTCATTCCCATGCTGTAAAGTGTTTTTTATTTGTTAACTTCTAGTTAGGCCGCGAGGAGCGGAAGCAGATGCGACTGCGCGGCGCAGGGTATGTCTACGCACACACGCGTATAACCTATCGGCCTATGCGATTACCATTATGCTGAACCGATTGCTGATTGCTATTCATTCATACAATAGCAACCATAAGGTTAAAGACGTCAATTTCGGGTTTTCATTTGGATCTCCAACTCCACAGTCTCCGATTCCTCCGCCTCGATCACCGCCAGCACTCCCTCAGAAGTCCCCTATAACACCACAGTCGCGTCACTCTACAACCTCGAATAAACAACTTTCTATACCCTCCCGAGCATCTAGTCGACGTTCAGCCGCCCGCGCATCTGCGGAAAAGCCTCAGGATGGATCAATCTATGACATTCCGGAGGATGATGATGACAGGCCAGAGGAAAGAAGCGCAAAGCGTAGGCGGATAAGTAAGGCTTATACCAGCCGTATTCGATTTATATTCAACTACTTATGGGATGAGTATAGGTAGATCATTCGAAAGTGCAGCTCCGGAGAGCTCGCCCACTGAGCACCGCACAAGTGCACACCCACTGCCTCCCGAGCCAAAGGAGACAAGCAAAGAAACCAGCAAATCTCCGTCAGTCAGACACACTGTATCATCTACTAGATCGCCTGCAGGGGATACACCGTCTTTACGGAGCATACGGCAATCTATTGAATTCCCAGTTTCCGCGTCACCATCCCCTAGAGTTGAGAGTCCGGGTAGCAGCATTCAGGAATCTAGTTTGACCCTGACAAAACCAGCTGGGCACACGCATAATCAAAAGCAGAGGCGGCGAAAGAGGAAATCCGTAGTCCAACATCCAAAAAAGAAACGAAAGAGTTTATTAAAACCACCTGTTGTACCTGAGAGCCACGGGGGCGAAGCTGAGGATGGGCCCGAGCAACTACAATCTCCGCCCCAGGATTTGACTCACGATGAAGAACTGGTTCGGAGTGAATCATCTCGGCCAAATGGCACCAATGTTTCAACCGAGGAACCCATAGACTCGCCTCGAGATCTGCCTCACCCCAACACCGATGAGAGGACAGATGAAATGTCAGAGCAGGCAGAAGTCAAAGGCAGTGGTAACACACCAGATATTACGGCGGGAGCCCACAGTGAAGGAGGGAACTCAGAATCTGAATCTCATTTACCAACACCTGAAGCCCAGGATGTTCGGCCTAAAAGTGCTCCGAAGGAGAATAGCCCAGCCATGGGACAAGACGTCCTACCAAACCCCGTCGGAAAACGAGAGAAACAAAACAAGGAGGATAGTTCCCCGAAACAAAAAGGGAAAACTCGTCAGCGGAAAGAGAAGGGTGAGGGACGGTCGACCGTCCCAGTCGTGGTCCACAGGCTTGCTAATACCTCAGCCCTACATGAGTGGCCTGACGAGGAAGATTCTGCTCAATCCTCTCCAGCGGATGGCCGACAGCCATCGCCCCATCGGCCTTCCTCACATCCTCCACAGATTCCATCTCGCAGTGGCGTGAATGCCGCTGACGTCCTCAGCCAGATATGCCGTGAAACGCTGGAGAAGACATTATCTACTCTAGAGTCTGCGATAGAGCGAGAGTCAAACCGCACTCGCCAGGTGGAATGGACTCGGAAGCGCAAGGCCGTGGAGGCCTTTGGTGCCGAGTTAGAAGGTAGGCTATTTGAAATAAGCGAACTGCTGGACAGTAATTTTGTGCTTGCGATGCGCCTAAAAAAAGAGAAGAAGGAGGTTTTTACACTGAGAAATCAGTTGATGGATCTAAGAAAGGAGAGAGAAGAGATTGCAATTCGTGCAGACGAAGTAAGGAGGAGGTTTTCTGCAGACGAAAGCGCTAAAACGGTAATATACATCTCTTTTCTACCTGACTAGATTGGAGGGCTAATGAGATATCTATCAGGAACATGGAACAATCAACAATGCTCTTCATGACCTCCAGCTGGCTGTAGATAGAAGCCAAAAAAACGCTGATCAAAGCTCTGTTGGCTCTACTAACCCGTTCGTCGGCCTCGAGTTTCTTCTCCGGACTGTTTCTCAGGATGTCTGCTCCTCCGTTTCCGACTTTCACGGCGGCCTGTTGAATCAAGTTAAATCGTTCAATGACCAACTGCAGAGGACAGCCGCGTTACTAGATCGTCGTGAATCATAATAACTACTTTCTCCTCTTTCTCACCCATGCCTAGTATGTACGCGGGTACTCTTACAACACCATGGCAGGGCACTCCAACATTAATTGTTCCTGATGCCAACCAAGACTGGCTATTGAATGGCGTTCCTAGAGCCAATCCCAGTGGCGCTAGATTTTAGGAATGTTTCGTAAACTCAGGTCACGTCATTGCAAAGCTCCAAACCATGGAACGAACGATACTCCTATATTAACGGCTATATAAGGAGGAGGCCACTGCCCTTTGCTACCATGTTGCCAGCTAATGCTTTTCCAGAGGAATAATAGTTTGAATAACTAACGGTTATCACTATACCTGCCGTCCTCCATATCACTCTCAGCATCTGGCGAGGTATTATACAATGGACCCCGATCTTTGCTTTGTAGCACCTCGCCTTCGCCAGGCGCTTCTACGGAGGGAGACTCCTGTCGAATTATTCCTTGATAGGCCAGAGTATAACCTCGTTACTCTTTTTGCCAGGCCTGTTGTTGTACACCCCCGGGAGTGGGAAAAAAAGAACGATAAACCTAGACATCCACCACTTTGTACTCAGGGAAACACCATTCCACGCAAAAGGCGACGGTGCTCAGAGAGTTCCCGCGTACCACCCGATTCTCTCGCACAATCTGAGATTTCTCTGTCTCGACTCCTTGAACTACCAGTTGAAATCCTATATATGATCCGTGATTTATTGGATTACAATACTCTCTATGGTTTGGGTCTTACCTGCCGGTGTCTCTGGGAAATGGCGAAACCGATAATTATACAGTTCTTTGCTGCAGAATTGGGCACCTGGACCGGCACGCCTGTCATTTGTGTTAGTGACCGGAACGACTGGTGGAGGGGCTAGTTACCCTCAGGGGTTATTGTCTCTCGAGGATCTTTATGAATTGGACGAAGGGTTTGACACAGATGAAGAAGAGGCTATCTGGCCAGACGAGCCCGCTGGTATACCCATCAACTTATTTCAACTGGCTGATGCCCGATACTTCTCCACATTGGGCCCGAATCCTCAACACACGCTTTATTTCGCACCAAACCCCAAATTAAGTTTCCGTGAAAAAGGGGATAAAGGGCCTTTCCGGCAGATGAGGGTCAAGTACTATGGTGCTCAAAACCCTCTATTTTCCATCCCACCAACCAGGAATGGGTTCTTAGAAACCTGACAACCAACGAATTCGTTCGCCCTACTGCGGTTGCATTAGACAAAAGCTACATCCGGGGCCCCTTCATAGACGTACTAGGCTTTGGTGAAGTCATTCTCTCCAGGACTTATTGGTGTATGAACTCGCGTGAGGTAGAACAATGTCAAGGGGAATGGGCAGGGCATTTTCTAGATATTGTCCCTTCAACCTACTTGGACCGCGGAGGCCATGGAAGGATATTAGCGATTCCGTTGCCCAAGATATCGAAATGACCTGGAAAGACTGGTTGGGCGAAGACTGGAGAAACCAGGCAGTTCAGAGTTGGCAAAGACTGGAAAGACGGGAATTCTAAGGTGTTCTTGTTATATCTGAGTCTCACCAGCTAACTTTATAACTTTGCTTCTTGGACCTAGGAAAGGGTGTAAAGTGCAATTTTTGAAGAACCTTCAAATAGAGAGTCTTCGGTTTCATGGGGTCAAATGAGCTTCTTTCATACATCGCAGTCCTTGGCTACAATTGGAGATGCCAGAAATTTTGCTTTCATGATAGCCGGCGCCATCATCGTGTCCCAGACTCAGGCATTAGATTATTGGTAGAGTTCCCGAGGTGATAGATCAAAAGCTGGTGGACTTCTCAAAATCCGCTCTATACCCAAGCGAACATGCCACACCGCCCTTAAGGCTGAAGATGACTTCTGATATCAAACTTTGGGTGTTACATGGGGGTAGTCCAGGCAGCCTTTATAGATACTAATACGCGAGCCTCAGAACAGGGTTTTGTTGCCTTCCTAGTGCGTCTCATTTCTATGAACGACCACTCCATTGGTGCAGAACATATACAACCGGAAGCTCTGCGGCCCATATTCAAGAGTGTAAGGGGATTATAGACGGAAAACGCCAAAAGTTGGTATCATGAGATACTCATGGCATGCCCTCCAACTCGTTGTATAAGTGCTAGATAACCATATGGAACACCATAGATATACTTGCTAGCGTCCTCTGAAAAGCACTGATCTGAATCGTTATAAAACGCGTGGGGGGCGGACAGAAACAAACAAAGTGATATTTGACCGCCAGGGAATCAATGAGTTCCAGTCATGCGATTTCGCTATTGCTGATGGACGGGATGGTCTTCGTCAACTCCTCGAGTACCCCAAGATAAGCCTTTGGAATGCCATGACAAAGACGGCTGGGTCCTAGATTCAATATCGGTAGCAGCAGACCTCTATAATATGTATACTAAAGAATGTTTATATATAGAAGACTCCGCAGAGTCCTCATCGATGTTTTAGCAGCCATTCATAGACAACACCAAGCAAGGCCTAGATTTCTTCCCCTGAATTAGCTCGCGCCTGGTCAACTTTTGTCTTGATATAATATTATATGGTTAAATGCTCGCCAACTCAAACAAGCCACTTGTTGAGACTAAAATTTAAGTAACTCCATCCTTGTCTGGATGGATATATTAGTGGAGGCGAAATTATATCCACTGTCCAATCCACGAGCTAGCCGTGCAAAAAGTGAAACTAATTATCAACTCTGTACATACTATGGTATGTAGTCGCATACTACATAGTGTATTGGAGCCACAGGCCAAGCTGATGACAAAAAAGATCAAATGCGACTGGGGAGATGCTTGCTTGAATTTACTTGATGCAAGCTTCTTTCGTAGCTGAGAGAATGACTATACATAGCCAAGTCGGAACGAGAGCGAAAAGTCTTCCATCTCGAACCCCCGTCGGTTTATATATTATTAGTTGGTGAATTCATCATGCATACGAGAGTTTCGTTCGATTATTTATACGAGGTCACATTGTTCTGCAGTGTGTTGCACTGCATCTCGAGCTCTGGCTTGCGCTTGTTGTGTTGTTTTTTTCGGCCAAACATCCGTCTTCCCCTGGCCGACCTGTTCTCCATCACCCAAACAGGGGAAGACAGGCTTATTTAGCCTGCGGTTGTATGATTGACAAGGTGCGCCGGATATTCTGTCGACTTCTTACGGTGTACGAAGTATGTTTGCTCTACCGACCGCCAGCTTGTGTTATGTCTGACAGCTAAGTATATAATAAGGGGTGCGGAATCCTCCGTATTATTGTGTGCATGTGCGTGACTGTTCCAGCCACTTTTGTAGCTTGCCTCGGACGAATTTAGCCCGTTCGATGGTTGAATCGGAGATCCACATCGTATGCTTTTGGTCAGATCCAACGTGAGGCAAGTTATTCAACCAACAGCGCAGAAGAATAAGGACCCTGGGGCATCGAGGCTTCTCGTATGAAGTTTCACCATATATATAGCCGCGGCGGAATTAAGTGACGTTTATATAGCCCAGACAATGGACTGAAAACTTGTTCGGCTGGTCCGAATAATAGGAACAATCCAAAAAGAGGAGAGCATCCGATCCCGCTAACTTCCCTGTCCTTCATGTAATATCACCTGTGAGTTTGGTGACCAGGGTAGAAACAAGCCCTAGTAATGCCACCCCGTACAACTTTGTGCGCCTATGAGCTGCGAGGATAACATTTTTCTGGACGTGTAATGATCCACCAGCAATAACAAATCTCCAAGATAGGCGGGGAACAGTTATCGGGAAGTGCCGGTATTTTATATATGTATGGGTACCTGTCGAGACAATTGCTCTTGGGTGATAATTTAGGACTCGACAGGGAAAGTGGATGTACCGATACAGGGAAGATGCCTCCCCATGGGATCTTAGCCCATGCAAGGGATCTGTTGGGTGGAGCTGGTGAAGATCTACATGGGACATCGTAAAATATCCTGCTAGTAGGTTATCTGGTCCATTCATCAAGAGCCGGGGGGAGCTCACAAAGTGGTTAGAAGGTCATGAAGTACATACCGACTTCCCTTGTCCGCCCCAAAGCCAGCTGTAAAATCTGTCACTCTTATTAATTACCGTTGCATCCCCCACCGTTGCATTCTTCCTCCTCTTTGCATCCTTCTTCCTTCTTTTCCAGTTTTCGTTGCTCGTTCTGTCTTGTTCTTTCTTCTTGTCACTCCATCAGGTGCAAGCATCAAGCGCTGTTCTTCTGGTAAGGCAATACCGAGATAAACGAGAGAGAGAAAAATTTTTTCTCAGAAGCTGACCATCGAAGTAGGGATAATATTGACAGTAGCTGTCTGTAGCAATGGGGTCTGATGCCGAAAAAGATATGGTGGCCACAACTACGACCCATGATAGCTCTGCAAAGACCATGTCTATGGAAGAGCGAGAAGTGGCAGAGGCAGCAGCTCGCTATGGCTACGGACCTCTAGCCAACGGAAGCAACAATCTGGCTGCGTTTGGTAAATTCCAGCCATCGTCTGAACCACCACCGCTTCCCAAGTCCATTGCGAACCCGGGACCGCTAGGACTGTCCGCTTTCGCTCTCACCACTATGGTCCTCAGTCTTATCAACATGCAAGCTCGCGGAGTCACCGCTCCTCATTTAGTCGTCGCGTCAGCTTTTGGATATGGTGGTCTGGTGCAGCTCCTTGCTGGGATGTGGTAAGTTGGACTTCATCTTCGTCGATTTGTTTTTGTTTGCCTTGATTATATTAACCGTATAATAGGGAAATGGCCGTTGGAAACACCTTTGGAGCGACTGCGCTCTCCTCGTACGGTGGATTCTGGATCTCCTACGGCATCATCTTCACCCCGGGCGGCTTCAATATCATTGCAAATGTTGAGAAGGCCAACGGCGCAACTGGTATCAACAACGTAACTGGTTTCTGGCTGATGGTATTTATCCCTCTTTCTCTTCGTATGGTATATCAAGCTCGTTGCTAATCCAGTGTAGTCCTGGTGGATTTTCACAACTCTCTGTCTCGCCTGCACGCTCAAGACAAACATCGCTTTCTTCCTCCTTTTCCTCACCCTCGACCTCGCATTCCTGTTCTTGGGAGTTGGTCACCTTATCGAGTCCGCTCCTGGAAAGGTTTACACACCGCTTATCAAGACTGGTGGATTCTTTGGAATACTCGCTGCCTTGCTTGCCTGGTACTGTGCTCTGTCCGGCATGGCTGAACCAAACAACAGCTACGTTAAATTCCCTCTTGGACGGCTACCATGGATGGGAAATCAGCGAGTTAAGACTGAGCGTGAGGTGGTTTAATTGATCCTCGCGTGGCAAAATCTGGATAATTCACTTGTTTCTTTTAAATAATAATTAATCGTGATAATATGTGCTAATGGATAAAATTGAAGTCGCATTAAATGGTATTTATTTCATGGTTATGTCTTTTGCTCGAGCTTCCATAAACTTGTAGTTACGAAATACTTTGGTACTTGGCGGGACTAAAAGTTGAGGCTGCGAGACAGCGAGAATAGTTCAACCTTGATGTTAATCTTTTATTATCGTTCCTGGTATATATCGTGATATCTATTCAAAGATGATCTTTGCCCACCTGGTGTTTCTGATACGGGGCAAAAAATTGTTATATTGGTGAACAATATAAGTACACCTCCCAAGATCAATCTTCAGATACAGGAGAGACATTCATGATATAGAGAAATTAACAATGCTAAGTTGATATTGAGAACTCGTGGAAGTGAAGAAACATCTCTAGAACTGCGCATGATAGTAGAAGAAAAACTGACAAATAGAAAAATGATATCAATGACAGGGAATGCAGAGAAAAACAACAGCGGAGGTTGTTCGCCGGTCTCCAGGACATGACTTGTATCCCCCCCTCAAGTTAAAATGTAGCTCCCATGTAGATGCACGCTCGGGGGTTCCCAAAATAAAACAAAATAAAAGTCATGGAATGGTGGGCAAAGGAGAAATGATGTGAATGAAGATTATGTGAGCAAGAAAGGGTACAAAAATACAGATATCACTTATTAAGCCATTTGTCCTGGCCGGGGGAATACAGGGATAGTCTCTAGCTTCTCTAGTCCACCCATTGTTCCCTGGGGGGCATTCTGCCATCCCTGGCCTGTGGACTGGTTTATGAAAACACTTTGGCGGAAAGGGTTCGTGCTTCCAGTTGGGTTTGGCTGGAGGCGTTGAGCCGGTGGTACTTCCTGGCTTTGTTGTGGTTGAGGCCGCGCAAAAGGGTTCGTTCCTGTTCGATGAGGTTGGAGGGGCTGTGGCTGCTGCTGTGAAGGGGTCGGTGATGTCGATGGCATAGGGTATTGGTTTGGGTTAGGAATTTGGTATTGTGAAGGGACGCTTGGTGGAGATTTTGCAAAGGGGTTGGTAGATTGTCGTTTTATTGCCATTGTCGAAGGAGATTGTGAATGGGAGTATCTGCGGGTGGGAGCATGGATTGTCGGAATGGATTGTTGGCTCGCGGTGTGGCTCCTGCCGTCATAGGTCGCGGGAAGGGAGGAGCTCCGTTCTGTGGGATGGGAGAAAGAGAGGTTTGGAAAGGTTGAGGGGTGTAACCGCCAAAGCCAGCACCTGTGTGAGAGACTTGCAATGGCTGGGCTATAGGCGGCTGCTGCTGTTGAACTTGTTGCATATGCGCATCATACTGGCTAAATGGATTGGTGGTTTGCGCTATTTGGTTTGTGGTAAAACCAGTTTGATTTTGTAGGAACTCCGCGGGCACAGGCTGTTGTTGGAAGCCTGTTTGCTGGAACTGCATTGGCATACTTTGCTGTTGTTGCTGTTGATTTACTGGTTGTGGGTTTTCCTCAATGGATCCAAAGAAGTCGATTAAATCGGGAGCGGGAGCTTTGGCGTCAACTTTCGAAGGAGCTTTACTCGTCGAACCTTCATTTGCTTTGGACTTAGGCTGCGTTCGTCCCTCATCCTTGGATGAAGAGGTATTTTCACCCTTGGACTTTCCAAACTTTTGCTCGCGATATTCTTTCCGTCGAATGGCAAAATCTGGATCGTGCAAGTCGTCTTCTAGTAACTTCGCCAGGTCCGTTGATGCATGTTTTAAATTTGGTATCTCAAGACGGGTAGCATGTTCATACTGTCTGGCCACCCGCAAGAAACCCACCACATCATCAGTTAGTGCACTGAACACTTTGTATAGGTGCAGCGCTCGTTCGCTATCTGTTCTGGACATTTCGAAGTAATGTTCTAACTCATGGGGTTAGAGATTGTACAGGTACGACGAAAGATGTATACGGCCATCACCAACCTAGCACATTAATGACACCTTCGTTCATAACAGAGTATAACGTTAGCAGATCCAGCGTTACCAGCCGAAAAGCGGTCAAAGTGATCTCGTTATCGGGTTCATCGCTCAGGAGCTATTTGAGGAAATCAGTAAAAAAGGGTACTGCGAACCGTAAAGGAGGCAAAACCTACATCGCACTTCAAAAGAGCTTTAATTTGCTTCTGAACAATCTCCGTTTCTCGCAACAAGCCTCTCGAGACCGTCAACGATTTCAGCCTGCCCTGCCCATTACGAACGTAATCCGTCTTTGTCTCCGTAAAGGCTAGGGACCTTGCAATAAGATACTCCGAGTATCTCCAGATATTCGCGCCTTGTAATTGTGCTATAATGGACAGTATCAAATCAGCAAAAACAAAATCTCCCGGCCTATCCGTAAACAAGTAATTTCCGCCTGGTAATAGTTTAACGCACCGTCAGAGATGCTTGTAATTGCGAACTTCCGAGGATATTGAGACAGATAAGCAAGCGCAGCTCCCGGAGCACCCTCGCGTATCATCATATGTATCACGATAAGCGCCTTGAAGACAACAGTCCACGCCGACTCGCGCAGTCGGATCTGGAGCGTGCGGAAGATCTCTGCCGTCCCTGCATCGCTGTAGGTGGCCGTGAGGATGTGTTCAATGTATTTTGATTTCGGGGCCGCATTCTATTGTTTTCACCAGTAAAGCCGTTAGAATCGATATGCATCGAGCGAGGCGAGTTCATCCACGTTTTCCAGAGAGAGAGAAGCTTACCTTTGACTTAGTCGCGCCCTTGACGGACTTTTCAAAGCTCGAACCAACCATTGTCGGGCTGTGAAGGGAGGGACGTGTTCTCAGCTAGTGTGGTCTGCGAAGCAGGTCATGATACTCCGTGCTCGCCTGTTCTCGAGTAATGGAAGTCGAAGCGGGCAAGCGTCGGCTTGTCAAACAGAGGTGGAAAGGGAGAAATGCCTATGATAACGCTAGTAAGGAGGAGAGTTGCTCTTATGTTTCGTCTCGCCTGCTCCCCCTTTAAGCCTCCGTGTGGGTCGTTATATCGTTCTAAGAATGCCAACTCAAAAGGCAGAGGCAAGATTTGCGGTTTATCAATCCTTGTTCAACAGTGAGAAAAAAGGAGCAAAAAACGCCTTGGTGAATTGCTTGCGGCTTGTGCGATTCGATATCGGCGGGCGCAGTTTCGCCTTTGTGACAGTTTTCGAAGCTGCTGCGTCGTTGGTTTCGATTTCCTGGGGGCTGACTAAGCAGTTGCCTCCTAAAGTCTTTTACGACGTCAGATATAAAAAAAAGGCCAAGGGGAAAAGAGATGTTTTTCAGCCATATATGATATGTATTCTCTACAGTTAGGGAAAGTCATTTAATGTCTGTGTCTGTGTCTGTGTGCTTTATCGAAAATGATGAGTATGATACAGAGCTCACACCGGTGCAATGACCCCTTGCACAAACAAAACCCTTACCGTCCGAAAAGAACCAGCTTAACATGATAATAGTAATGACAAGATACAGATAATATATCCCCCTATATGATAATAATATGCTAAACGCCAAACTTTCCTTTTTCCAAAAAGAGAGAGAGAGAGTGTGTGTGTGTATGTGTATGTATGTGTGTGTCACCCAAAGTAAGCCCAAAGTAAACTCCTAGCTGAGGAGGTAGTAGCAGGCAGCAGGGTGTGTAAAGTCCTTCCCATCCATCCAGGATCTCTGCTGATACGCCGGAGTCAATGCAGTGGCACTAGCTGTAAACGTCTGGACTTCCCTATCCATGTCAACATCCTCACTTTCACCTGTACCAGCGCCAGGTCCGGGGTTAGGTGAGAGCGAGGCATTGCCTGACCAAGTAGATGCAAAACTGGGTGTCTGCGACACCATGTTTGCGGGCGTTGATAGTGACGAGTTTGTGTCTGTGTTTGGTCGTGTGGTGTCCGAGCCTGATGAGGATACACGGGCCGGTGCGGATGCAGGGCGAAAGAAATGATGCAGTGTCCTTTGGGAAGGGTCGGGTTTCGGTAAAGCGGTCATGGTGTCATCTTCCAAGGACGTGTCTTCTTCGACATTGTCCAGGCCATCACCGCTGGGCGTGGTGGTTTCTGTGTAGAAATCATTGTTCTCTGCCTGCTTCTGGGCAGAGAAGAGCCAGCGAAGAGTGTTGTCTATGGACATCCTCGGGTTAGCGAGGAAAGGAAAGGAAAGTTATGATATTCTACCGTATAGCCGTACCATAAACAGCCTGTTCGTCTGGACGATCGTTTTTGAACCGTTTCCTTGTCCGACTATGGAGATGTTGGGGAGTTTCGTCTATGGCCATGGCATCGCTGAGCGAGCAAGGGATGGGGGAGACAGTGCGGTCGTAGAAGGATGTTGAGGAACGGGGAGAGAGTATGGTTGAGAAGGAAGCTTTGCGTTTCATGTTGGATACAGCAAGATACACTATGTACTTTGCGTTCCTGGTGGTATGCCAGAGAGATGGAAGAAAGAGACGAAGGGGTTTTATGCTAGGAGTATGTTGAAGACACGCAAAGCTGGAAGTTGGTCAAGAGAAAAGCGAGCGAAAGGTTGGTTTTGTCGCGTTTCGCATCTCATATAAATTGATGTATTGTACAGCTTCAGGGGCGCCAAGATCACAGCATATCCTTCTCATTGGCCAGTTGCCTTGTTATGTGTATCAGCAATATACCGCTAGTCCCAAACGGGGTTAAATGGTCTTCACGCGATCGCGCGTATATCAAGGCTGGAAGATCGTGCATCTCTATACGAGTTTTTAGTATTCCTATTGATATAGAATGATAAGAGTAGAAATATATACACATCTATTCAATGAGCTATCGTGCTCTATTCTCAACATCGAAACTTGTACCTTTTGGCTGATAAATAGGGTTTCGGCATACCGATAACCATCATGCCAAGTCGGCATACCGAGCGCGTGCCCCTCCCCCGCAGAGACCCAAATTACATAAAGGGAAAAAAAGTTTCACCTTGCTTGAACGTCTTTCTGAAGGCTACACTCAGCTATAACAACGAGGGATACAAACAGATAGAGAGAGAGTAATTGAGCAGGCAACCATGTCTGTCCGCCGCCCTTCTCACGCTGGTTCCTGGTACTCGGACGACGGAGCAACACTGCAGGCACAGATAGACAAGTGGTTGGACCTCGTGCCCAATGAGCTGGAAGGGGTAGGCAGCCTACCAGTGCCAGGTGCGAGAGTGATTATAGCTCCGTGAGTATATATATACTTTACTGAAGAGTGCAGGGCCACAGTGCATGGCAGTAGCCCTCCAGCTAACCGTCTGTAGACATGCAGGATATTCGTACTCTGGACCCTGCGCTGCGTTCGCGTACAAGTGTCTCGACCTGACAAAGGCGTAAGCCAGCAAGCTACCCCCACAGCCGCTGATGGATGGAGACCAAGAAGAGACTGATGAAAATGGCTCGAGCTAGAAAGCGCATCTTCCTCATCGGCCCATCCCATCACCACCACCTCACGACCATCGCCCTGCCGGAGCTGACGGGGTATCGAACCCCTCTCTCCTCGTCACCGCTACCCCTTGACACGAAACTGCTATCCGAACTTCGCGCCAGCACCGCATCGTCCGCAAAACGCTTCACGGCCATGTCTCCGTCCGTCGACGAGGCAGAACACAGCATGGAGCTCCACCTACCGTACATCCATCGCCTGCTGCAGCGTCTATATCCCTCAGAGCCTACGTCAGCCTATCCGCCACTGGTCCCGATGATGGTAGGCAGCACCTCTGCCGCGACGGAGCGAGCGTTTGGCTCCATCCTTAGCCCCTACCTTGCTGACGAGGAGAATGCGTTTGTCGTCTCGTCTGACTTTTGTCACTGGGGCACGCGGTTTGGATATACGTACTACACCACGCATGCACCCGGTGCGCCGTTTGACATGCCACTTACGTATCCTTCGCTGCCTGTCCCGTCAGACAGACTGACGGCAGCAAAGGCAGCGGCGGACGTAGACGCGGTGTCGTCAGGCCAGATGCTCAGGGAGAAGGACAAGTCGTACCGGGCGGCGGATGCGTGTGCTATCCACGAGAGCATCTCCGCGTGTGACATTGCGTGCATGTCCGCGATAGCCAGTGGCGACACGGACGTGTTTCTGGACGCACTGAAGAGGACGGGGAACACGGTGTGCGGGCGCCATCCGATTGGGGTGGTGATGGCAGGCATGGAGGGACTACAGCAGGAGCAGGCAGCCGAGAAGGAGGGAGTGCAGAAGGGCAGGTTCTACTTTATGAGGTACGAGCGGAGTTCCGACTGTTTCTCGGTGCGGGACAGCTCGGTGAGCTACGTCTCTGCCTTTGCTGTCCTATGAGAGAGATCATCAACCTTTACATAGTATAGATATTCACCGTTTTATCCACCCTTCCCCCCAAGTTCCCACTGATCGATCTAGACGGCGAACCCGCTGATCCATCGATCGCATCACCCTTTTCTTATTTGCATCTCTTACCCGTAGCCCTAACACGTTGGTGTTGATCCGTAGTGACGTGAAGTGGAGAGCGAACTTGTTTTGCTTGTTTCTCCGGTCCTTCTTCCTACTTATGACTTCAACCTCTCGCCTCCTTTTTCCTGGCTTTTTTTCTCTACTCGATATATAAACAGGTAAGGCTGAGTCAGCAGAAGCGTCTACATTATCCAGAAGGGGCCAAGCGTGCCAAGCCCTGGTCACGTTCACACGCCACGTAAGCTTCATGCGAGGTCTTGGCGATCGTCGTGTCCAGGCGTCGATCGAGATGGAAAGTTGCAGTAGAAGAGACGACGAGACGACGAGAAGACGACGAGAAGACTAGGAAGAAGACTACTGGTGAGGGAGCGAGGGCGATGGCGATGGAAGGATACTAGAACATCGTGCGAGGGAAGAGTGAAGGAAGAGGAAGACGTCATGGAACGCGTGGAAAAGAGAGAAAGAGACGAAGAAAGAGAGAGAAAAAAAAGTTCTTCAAGATAGTCTTACATAAGCAAGAAGAGGCTGACGACGCCGACGTCCCAAAGAGGCTTAGCGCGTCCAGGGGCCTCGTCACCTTCTGCGTATTGGCCGTACACCACGTACTGTCAGGTACCCACTCTAAGGTGCATTACGAGGCCTGTAAGATGGTATTTCGCATACGCCCTCCTCATTCTTTTTCCCGTCCGAACTTTACTGCCAGTCGTCGCCGCCATCGTCAACTTCTTTTCGACTTCAACTTCTTCTTCTTCTTCTTGTCCGTATAAACCACACGACAGAAAAGGGCGGTTCTCGCAGCCGTTGAAAGGTGGACGATTTCCAGAAGTCTTTTTGATCCAGAGTTGTTGAGGCTTGCGGGCGAAGCGTGGAACCCGCAGAGTTCAGAGGGCCAAGGGCTGTGCTTGCTGCGCATCATCTAAACATATCTTCTTCTTCCTGGGAACGAGGAACGGGCAGCGACCTCTTTGCATCCAAACCCGCGAGCAACTCTACCCTCGACGTCCATCAGACATCACCACGCTCGTTACGACGGCCTACTTAATCGACATCTGCCTTATCGACAGCCACTATATACGGACAGCGAGCCGGATCGGTCGACTGGACTCTTGGTGGGCGCTGACAGTCATTCCGGTTGACTGCCAGCCCTCACTGTTCACCTCAAAACACTCCACACCCTTCAATCCCATCTCACCATGGCAGACAGGTCTCGCATACCGTCGAGCCACGGCCACGGGAGGCCAGCGGGCGCCTCCAACACCGCCGTTGATGCCACCGAACTCGCTCGACAGTTTGAACAGTTACTCAGAACAAGACGGTTGAACACCCTGCAGGAACGCTCGAGATCACGCACGTCTTCGCCCATGCCATCATCATCGTCATCGTCACCGCACAGTCACGGTCGACCAGCCTCCTCGCAGCCGCCGTCGTACTCTACCATCCGAAGCCTGCCCATCTTCCCTACACCACCGCAGGATTCCGCCTCCCTCAAGTTCCGCAATCTCCTCCACGTCCTCTCGGTAACGCCGATGAAGTATGAGAACCCCGGCCTGCTCGATGAGGCGCTCTCACACGTCCCGCTGGACCGACTGTACGCAGAGGCAGAGGAGGAGTGTCAGATCTTGCAGGCTGAGGCGGCAAGCATGGGTGAGAACGTGAAACCGACCTGGGGCTACCAGGACTGCGTCATCAAGGCACTCCTAAGGTAAGAATCTTTTTTTTTTCTTGTTGAAACAGTCGAAACAAGCAGGTGCTTACTTGCAGTGATAGATGGTTCAAACGCTCCTTTTTCCAATTCATCAACAACCCGCCTTGCTCGAGATGTTACCGGCCAACCCTGCTACAGGGTATGACCCCTCCAACGCCCGACGAAACCGCCCGGGGAGCCACCAGAGTCGAGCTCTACGTTTGCTCAGAACCTTCCTGCGCCAGCCCTGAACGGTTTCCGCGATATTCGGATGTATGGACTCTCCTGCAGTACCGACGCGGCAGAGTAGGCGAATGGGCCAATTGCTTCAGCATGCTCTGCAGAGCGGTCGGCGGTCGAGTACGATGGGTCTGGAATTCAGAAGACCACGTATGGACCGAAGTGTACTCTGAGCATCAGAAGCGATGGATTCATGTCGATGCCTGCGAAGAGGCATGGGACAACCCCCGTCTCTACACAGAGGGTAAGCATCCCGTGCAACTGCTTCGTACCCACTTCTATCATTTTTCAGACTAACATCATCTTCAGGCTGGAACCGAAGAATGGCCTACTGTATCGCCTTTTCCATCGACGGAGCCACAGATGTCACCCGCCGCTACGTCCGTAATCCTGCCAAACATGGTCTCGATCGCTCTCGCGCTCCCGATGAGGTTTTACTTTGGATAATCCACGAGATCAGACGCATGCGTCGTGAAAACCTTTCCAAGGAAGAACGACGACGAATAATGAAAGAGGATGAGCGTGAGGAGCGCGAGCTGCGTGGATACGTGGCCCAAAGCATCGCAACAGAACTCAGTCGATTGAATCCCAACGGCACTTCGGCGCCGGTTGCCGGTGATGAAGTCAAGGTTCCTGTCTCCGCTGCTGCAACAACGACAGGGCAGAGTGGTGTTGAACGGACTGGACAACCAAGCCCTGATCAGTCGAGAAGGCATCGATGACATGTCTGCACCGCTACTTATCCCATCTCACGCCCTCACGATCAAACGACATGACATGAAGTTGTACGACGTCACTTACCTCTTTCTCCCCTAACTCATGCTTCATGCCACGACCTCCTCCTTCCTAACGGCCGACTCTACCACTCCTCTCTCACACACTAAACCACCGTGATACCAATACCGCTTTATACGTTTTCTATATTTTTCTCATCTTCCCTTTTGTCGGCATCATGATATACCAAGGCGTTCAGGTGCTCCGGTAGACGTCCTTCCACTTTCTTGGACCTTTTTTCTTTCCCTGGGCCTTATCCCTTGGCCTTTTTGTCATTATCCATCTTCTGCATCACGCGAATATCCTGGCATCCATTTTCTTCATTCTTCTTGCGTGTCTGGCTTCTGGGTTTCTGAATATGTTGGTTCTATGTGGCATGGTAAAAAAAAGGAAAAAGGACAATTGCTTTCTCGAGTATTGTTCACTTTAGCCAACTAACCAACTTCTCCTCATACATGGCCTCATCGTCCCGTCGATGTCCATTTCCTGCCTATCGAGCACCCGTTTATATCTCCTTTGTCACACTGCTACGTTACTTAATCTTCGTCGCCATTACTTGCTCGTTTCATCCGTTGCGATAATCTTTCACCCTCCTTATATATCCATCTATTCATATACATATAATCCGCTGCACAGACAGTCCTTTACCTTAATAGAAAAGTGCTTTTATCCTGTCCTTTATGCCTATCCGGCCTTCTACGGCTCTTTTTACCATGCCCTTGCCTAATGCCATCGTATTCATTCCATTCCCTTTCAACTACCATGTCACGCCTCTACTTCATTCTCCCCCCTTCTTCCTAGGATGAGTTTGCCCTTATTGATTTATTTTGCATGGCCACTTGGTTTACACCATCATGATATCTATGTATCATGATGTCTATGTACTTGTCTCTACAGCTAGCTTTATACATGGAAAATGTCTTTGCTATCATCATCATTGACAATCCTAGTTGATGTAATGTCCTATTCGTTCCCATAAATATACCCTCCAGTTCGTAATGCCACCTCAACTACAATGTCAAAAACAAAAGCCTACGTCCGTAGCTTCTCAGAAATAACACCCAACCCGGTCAATCCATTGGAAGCCTCCTATATTAAATCAAAGTCAGACAAACAGGCACTGCCACAACAGAACTATGGGGCACCAACTTACATGCGTGACATAGATACCCGTAATAGTTGAGTCTGGATGGATCTCCAACTTCTTCTTTTTCTGCTGTGTATGTGTTCCTAAAGGCAGCCTGATCTTTGGAAGCATGTTGGCATCAAACGTAAAAGTCCGCCCTCGATTCGTAGCAACCTATCCAATCCAGCGTTAGACATATACACACACTGGTAATTCCAGGAGGGGAGAGGAAAATAACAAGCCACCCACCTCAAGGGTGGTAATGCTAAAGCTAATGGGCTCATTCTTCGGAGTCCACCACTGCTTATCCTTGACTCGGAAGCCCGTCACTCTCTCGCCACCAGGTCCATCAATGTTGAATTGTATCTTGGACTGGTTCTCGTACTTTTCCTTGCCTGGAAATACAGACAAGGAGCTAACAGGCGCATTGTCACAGTCATAGTAGAAGTCTATCCAAGTCAAGATTCCCGCCAGCGTACTGACTGATATCTTCGTTAGGTACTGTAGATAGTTCCCCTGCTGGCCACCGAACATTAGCAGTATATGCGGGCGTTGGTGACTCAGGGGAGACGGCTGGACTTCGTAGTGATCTACAAAGTCGACTTCGTGCAGATGTTGGTCTTCAGACGGGATATCAGGATACCATAACGTTGCCTTGCGAGGGGACAAGCAAGGTGGGTTCTGATTGTGTATTTGCTCCTCTTCAGGGACAGAGAGAGAATTTATCCTAAATGCCTGTGGTAGAGTGTGTTAGTCTTGTGCTGCTTATTCTAGTTTTGATAATGAATCACTTACATCGAACCCTGCTTTGATATGAGATATACGTTCATTTAGACATAGGCGGAGGGTGCTGGGTAAATCATCATGGTCGCCTGCCCAGCTGGACATATGGCCATCAGCAGTAACTGCCCTGATTCCACGGATGCCCTCAGGGTCAGCGCATATGACAAATCCGGTGAGAACTCGAGAGTTTGGATTCGATCCCTGCTGGCCAATATCAAGAATGTCTTCGTAATTAGGGCGGATGTAGCCTAGCCTAACCTCCTTCTGGTCTGGAGTTCTGATCCTTATACCAGAGATGTATGTGTTCTTATTGAAGCAAACTAGAGACATAGCAATCTGTGATATTTGGGCAGGGACACGAATGGCATACTCCTTGAGAATACTTGGAGGGGGGTGCGGAGCAACATATGCGAAGAATCCTCTCACACTATCTACCCTGGCTGGCTCCATGGGTTTGGCCGCTGTTGTCCGCCAGAGAACATGGTTGTGTTCTTCCATAGCATCTGCATCTCCGTTATCCAACGTGGGCTGTGAGACAAGTAGCTCCGCAAGGGATCTGTTGCATTCCCATATTCTTCGTCGATTCCGTATAGCTTCAAAGTGCTTCAGAGCTGGGTCTGTTTTCTCATATAAAACTTTCCAATCATAGTGAATAGCAGCAGTTCCAGGTTGGGCAATATCTAGCCCAGGTTTTAAGGCCTCAAAGATAAACCCTCTCTCAAAACATGGTAGGAATCGGGACCGCCAGAAATATTGCGAAAGTGGCATGCTAGCAAAGGACCTCGAAGCCATTCGTAGGCTGGCTACATCACGCCGGCCGAGCAAACACTGTATATCTTCCCGTATTTCAAATGGTAGTGAGTAGAACCTGTCACAGTCAATCTTCTCGGAGACGGGACTGCATTTAACCACCATTTCTTTGCCTCTCTCTCCTCCTGCTTCTTGGAGAGCGGCGTGCAATTCAGGGATATCCAGGGGATCTCGAAGAAAAAATGATTGCTGGTACGTTGACCGATAATAGTTGACTAGCTCCATATCGGAGCAGTTGCTCCCATAGCCATGACCCCAGGTAAGCAGGCCGTACTCCTGAGAAGGGAACGAAAGACAGATATCATATAACCGGGATATCGATATTTCATGGGGGTAAACAAGAGCCTTCAGGATTCCCCAGCAAGAGTCATGGAATACAAAACCTGGGAGTGGATGGTCTGCTGACGTTCTCCCCTGAGAAGGAAACTCATCGGATTCCGTTTCTTCATTATATATATCATTTTCATATCGCTCGTAGGGGTTTGATGGAGCACGAAGTAGCCTTTTTCCATGTATAAACCTCGCTACCCCGGTCAGTAATGGCCCTCTATCATCACCTGGAATAACCCGGACTATACGGGGTATGTTAGCATCGTCAAGGAGCACTAAAGTAAGCATTCAGGGTATCCTTATCTTACCTGCTCGATACTGGCCCCGCCATTCATTACGGCGAGTGCGGTTATGGATTAATGTGCCGCAGATGATACAGTAAGGAGCTCCGGCAGAAGACATCGCTAACCTACATCAAGTTGATGAAATATATCGAAACACGAGAATGGTAGATAACGAAAGTTCTTGAGAAGGTCAGTGTCTAGAGAAACGAGTAACCATATTGCTTCTGAAGAATCCACGAACTGCTTCTGTCGGTTTATATAGTATAATGTTGGGCTGCGCCGTAATGTTGGCGCCTAGGACGCACCCAGGCAGAAGCAATAGTGAGCTGTGGGAACTTGTGCAATATAGCCCAATGGCAGCCATATGCTGTACAGGGCCTGAAACAGTGAACTATGCAGGCTTGTTCATCGGCGCTGTACTATCTTCCGCGCTTCTGTTGTTGCCTCACTGTTGCCTTGGCGCCAGACCAAGGACGATTTTGAATAGAAAGCGTTGGTTGCCCAGCAAAATATCCAAGTTTCGATTGAAATACATAGAATCTATTCATAGTCTCGTATATATCTGCCTGGAAGCTCGACATCCCATATCGGCCTTTCCACTACCACAACCTCCAGGGGTACCGAGCTTGTGTCCTCCGCCTCTGATAGCTCTGTGCTCTCCGTCGATGGAGAATTGTGACTTAAAGGTACAATTCCTAGTATATCGCGGTATTTGAAGATAGACCACCATTGGCGTTGGCGTTGGGATTCTGGGTTATGATCAGATTCTGGCTCTGGCGTAGATAGCTTTGCTATCTGGTTCTCATCCTTTACGCCGTTTGGTATATGATCCCCTAAATGCACATAGGTATTAGTATAGATAAAGACAGGATGCAAGAAATAGCTTGAATCTGGAAAGAGTTCTTACCGTTTGGAGTCTGTTCATTACCACTGGGGAATTGTTGTCTTCGGAGTGACGCGAGTGTCGCTTCGTTGGCGAGAGTCAGCTCATCAACTTCATCATCCCAATCATCTCCGTCTCCGGGTTTCGCGTTTCCATATTTTTTCTCCTCAAGGGACAACAGCTGCGCGTCAGTCCCGTTTGCTCCTACAACTTTCTTGACAGTTCCTCCAAAGCCGACACTCGCTTCTCCGAGTATCATTTTGTCTCCTGCGCCAGTATTTATCTTCTTCTTCTTCCTATCACATCCATTACTCTGTTCTTCATAATCCAGGCGCTTTCTTTTGTGTGGCGACGGGTGTATACGCTGTGCCTCCCCACTAGGATAATCTTGAGACAGATCAAACATCCACAGCCAAGCTGGACCATGCAACCAAAGGCGATTTCGGCCGCCTGCAACGTCCCATATGGCGCCCATGGCTCTATCTTTAATAATGGTGAATTCTGCAGGCATACATGCTTTCGGGTTCCTCCTAGACCAATCTGACAGATTCCCTTGCAGTACATTGAATTCGGTTAAATGATGCTCAGCAGTCAGCACCATCAACCGGTCATCTGGAGTACTGGACTCCGATGAATTGACGGCGTCACTGAGAGATGACTGTTTATTTCCCAAAGTAGAAGAAGTTGGGACGGCAGGGCGGAATGACATCAATAGCACACTAGAGTTTAAGCGAGGGAGGTTGGCTCCAAGAGGTGCGTGCTTCCAGCGCTCCCCTGCCAACGAACTGCCCTCATCGTCTGAATCTGAATCTGAATCCGAATCCGAATCTTTGTCTGAGGGAGATGCTTCCACATTCTCAGTATCCTTTATTGGGGCTGAGGTGGCCTTGTTGTCTTGAAGGAGCCAAACATCCACAAATCCTGCGAGATCACCGCAAGCAAAGATCTGACTGTCCCCTGAAAATGAAATGCAACGCACAGTTCTCTCATATGGGCCTAATGTGCCATGAAGAGGTTTGTCGGCGCGTGCCTGCCTCGGTAAGCGGGGCATTCTCTGTAATTTCGGTAAGAGCTGAAGACTCTCTTCAGATTCCCGATCCCGGGTAATTTTTGCCATATATATATCGTTGCTGGGTCGGACTATACATAACCAGTTGCAATCGGGGGATATGGCAACATTCTTTGCGCCCTGCGCCGCCAGTTGGGGAGGGAGGTCTACTTTATGAACCCGTAGACTCGGCAAACCGTCCACTTCATCGGGTGTCAAAGTAAACACCCTAACCTCCGAAATGGTAGCGGCGACGAGTATTGTCCCATCTCGTGATAGGGCTGCAGAGGTTAGGTGTTCGTCGCCTTGGAATAGAACCTTCCCTACAAGTTTATGCTGTTCTGTGTCGGATCTAAAAGAGCCTGCAACACGCCAAATGTTGACCTCGCGATCCCACCAGCTCATTAGAAGACGAGAGGTACCCGATGAAGCGAGTTGAGGGACCTGTGGTAGATTGGGTAGCTTTCGATGGTGTTCCTTTCCAAATTCTTTCAGTGGAAGAACGACAGGGGTCGTATCAAGGCCTATATCAGCGTGTTAGCACTTGATTCCATATCTTCACTTGATAAAAATGAGTGTATATACCTCCAGACACAACAATGCTCATGTTAGTAGTCTCAAAAACAGCAAGAGCTTTGACATCATGTGTATGATATCGTCGATGCATTACTTCTGCCCATCTCCGTGTCTTCATGTGTTTCTCACGGCGTTTCAATCTATAAACAACAGTCCGTTGGTCTGCTCCTCCACTGACAATGGATTCTCCATCTGCACTAACAGCGACATCCAACACGTCTGCTTGGTGTCCTTGCAGTCTTTGAACCAGTGAATAATTCTTTGCGTCATAGACCCGAACTTCGCCGGCCGAGTCGCCAGATACAATAGAGCCATCTGGTAAACACTTGACAGACCAGACAAGTAGTTCCTTTGTGTCTTTCGCTTGGCCCTTGCCCAGAGAAACTGTTCGTAGCAGATTCCCGTTCCGTATATCAAATACTCGAATAGAACTATCAGCATAACCAGCAACGACGGTATGGCGATTCTGGAATGTAATACTGAGAACCCTCGCACGCTTCGTCGACGACCTTATGGTTTTCAAATATGTCAAATCCCCATCCTCGGTGGATAGTATCACGATTGTACCATCAGCACACCCAACTGCCAAATGTTGTCCAGTATACCCCTCCTCCGCTGGAGCAGCGGGTTTTCCGTCCTTCTTACGCCGTGGTCTCCATCGAGGTTGGGCGGCTAGACACCAGATCTCCCCATAGTTTCCACTCGAATGTCTTGCTGGTCGCCCTGACGCCAAATCCCATTCCGTCACGACACTAGAATATCCAATGCTGAAAAGTCTCAGCTTTCCCGCTACCTCCTTGCCATCAATAGTTTCGCTTGGGTCGAGTGTCCATGCTAACCCTTCGATGCTGCGATCTTTTCCTCCACGAAGGATTGATTCCTGGAACCAGACACCGCGTAGGGGATTCCAGATCTCGATATCACCGTTTGCCCGCCCGATAGCAAGTCTTAGAGTTGGAAAACCGCGTCCTTGGATTTCGTTTGAGGGAGGATGTGAAAAGGCCAGCGCATTAATCGTTTGAGGATTGTATGGCACAAATCGACATCTATGGATATCCATGGTGTTTTGAAGCTGTCTGCTGTGTCAAAATTGCAAATATAGCGGGCAATTATGCTACACAAGAAATGCTGCTATTAGACAAACAGCTCCTTCAGTCCCTTCTTCTATATCCATCCATTGCGACTTTGCTTCTCAAAATGCTTTGATCTCGCTTTAACAAAAGCTTTGCTTCAAAAAAAAATTATTATTATTTTCTTTTGCGCTTCTGCTCCAAAGGCAATTTTTCTCGAAGTTCTCTTGTCACGTGACAATATTTTCCGGGTAAACTTTCTATTTACGGAATATCTCCGAGGCATAAAAAAACTACCCAAGACATCACGAATATTTTATATGTTAGATAGCAACTCCATTATATATGACAGTGGGGTTAATGGGGTATATTAACCAGTGAATTGCATCTAGACGGGTGACTGTGGGCTTTATATTCATAGAATACTGGTATTAATTTCTAATATCGAGCACAGAACACTATATAACCTCAGAGGAAGAGCTACAAATAACCACCTTCACTTTGTCTCTAGCTCTAGCGGAAAGAGCTGGTATTGCAAACCATTGGTATCATGTAAGTGGTTATTAATATTCAAGCAATTTCCTTCACAAAACAAAGGCAGTTTGTGTTCTGTACTGTATTCCAAACCCCCGCACAACACAGCCGGTAGAAGCCTACCTATGCTCTCGTCGATACGCGGGGTCAGTTTCATATATCGGGCCGTCATCAACCGGCAAGAGGAAGAATTGATCACATATTGAAACGCCCGGTTGGCATTCCTGTGCCCAGCAAACATCCTGTTGGATCAAATAAGCAGAATGGTGGTGCAGGCTCCTATCAGGGTCGTACCAACTGCCCGGTTGTGTCATGTTGACAAGAATATACGAGAAAAGTTTGGAGCCAGCCTGCGTCTGCTACCTCCCTAGAGAAACACAAACAGTCGCATACGCAGCCTAAGGCTAGGGCAACAGATTCAAGAGTACAGAAAAGGGGTTCTTGACATGCCTCTTCGGCCACCGGTCGGCGGTGAGGTGAAGTTCGCGCATCGCCTGCATGTTGATCTAGCAAACAACCGGCTTAAGCGAGTGAATGAGGCCACAGGCAGAAAGATGAGCAGGTGCCGGATGTCTCAGGGACTGGTACTATTTGTTCCTTTTGGGACGTCAGCGCCGTACATTGGAACATGTGCCGGCGCCTATGGTCAATAGGCGATGATCAAATACTTTGACCGTATATCAGAAGGTACGGTGTCATTCCCGTCTGGAGTTCCCTTTGGTGCGGAATGGGGTAACCTTCCACGGCAGAAGCGAAGATGTAAACGAAGACATCGGGAGAAAAAAAAAAGCACGTATATCGAAGAAGAAAGTAGTTTGCTACTCCTATGCCCTCTTCATGGAATGTACAATAGTCAGTATACCATGTCAAACTTCTCACGGAGGACAGCAGGTGAAATCCTGCAGGAGAAAAGGAAACATGGGCAAATATACAGAAGCGAGATCGTACCGCCGAGATATACACATTGACAGTGCAACTTCGCCATTTAGCTTAATATATGCGATGTTTCACCGTCCAGGCAGCTAGGACACAATACCGTATGAAAAATTGCAAGCTTATATGGGGTAAGTTGTGCTTTGATTGCAATATTTACCTGCAACCAAGGCAGTATGCTTAATTACCTGCGAACATGGTTCAAGGGCGATTTTTTACGTTGCCTCGCCCCTTTTCCTTCACCGCATTGTACCAGTCAATATGATATGATCGGATTACGTTTATACCAACTTGAAAGATGCAAGGCAGCAAGCCGATAATTCAACGATGCATATACTGTATGTAAGTGATGATGTTGTCACTCCTGAGAGCTCACTTCTGTTCACTTGGACGGAGAAAATTTTGCCATCCTACCTGTCTGTTCAGCCCTATATCACGAGAGATTATATGTCGATCTTGTGGCAGACCAGTCACTTAGGTGCGAATTATTGAAAAAGCGATAGGGCAGGACAGGACAATGGTCGATTTTTTCAGCTCTTGGTCCTGCATGTCCCACGGCCTACCTTGGACGGAGTGAAGGAAATAGTTTGAGCAAGCGTGGGAGCTAGTTTTGGGTAGCGGGTTGCGGGCTGACATCAGCCCCTTAATTAAGTGTAGTCGGTGCTGCCACGTCAGAGACAAGAGAGCAACACACAGCAGAGGATTCAATGCAGGAGCTTCAGGGATACGAAAGCCATAACTTACAGAAGGACATATTTAAGAGTTTAGCTCGCGAGATAAAAGAGTAGCAATTGTTTGATCGATGTATTGGTTGATAGGGCGGTAGGTTGCAGGCAAGTTCCCGGGGCCTCGGGGCCTGCATGCTTATTCAGAAGCAATAGTTGCATAATAGTTGGTTGTTGGAAGCTCTCCTTTGGATACGGTCGGCCTGGATTCAATTGTTGGAAGGGATGGAAATCACCGAAATATTATAACTGATTTTGGTCAGCGTCACAAGGCGACTTGCAGCTCTGCTATTGCATCGGAGAACAAGGAAAAAATGATTAGATGTCTTTGTAACCGTACACAGTATGGTCGCTTTCAACCGACAGTAGCCTTGCTTACCGGTTGACGCCCTTTTTTGTACTTCTTTTTTTTTCTCTTCTCTTCGTGGTGGTGCAACATAACGGGGCTGGGCTGGCTGGCTGGCTGGCTGGTGTGAAGTTATTATTCCTCGTTCGTTCGTATGGAGCAACGGAGAAGGGTGAGTTCGGTGTTTTTGGTATTGAGTGACAATACACCATATAAATGTTGGATACAAGACTAGCGTTCCCTTTCAGGCAAGGCGCGACTTCGCGCTTAAAGGCAGGTCCGCGACTCCAACCAATCAAGACGCGTTCCAGCACGTGGAGCCTGAAGGTCCACTTATCTAGATTGGGAAGATTTCGCGTTTAATTGGGTTTTAGGTTTATCAAGTGGGTCTACCTCGGGTGTGCCTATTGGAAATCCTATATCTTTATGGTTGCTTGCTCCGATGCTAGGGCAGGACAGCATGGGCAGGGCTGTTCCTACGCCGGAACTCGTCACATTTATTTCTTGTCTTGAGTGAATTCGTGCATACATAGCACACAGTAGCGTAAATGGTAAGGTTTTCTCCCTTTTTTCAACCTAGATAAAACTGTAATCATTGTTCCAGTACTCTGGTGCAAACGCACGTCAGCGCTGAAAGACGAGAGCTTAAAAAAGTTTAATTGGCGAGCGGCTTTGATACTGACGTCTGCAAGCGGGAAGGCCAACTCATTTGTGGTTATACAGGCTGGTTGAAGATGCCTTGTCAGGGCCACAAGGCAGCTTCTCGCTATGTATTACTGCTCCCTGCGCCGCGTACTGCCAATCCCAGCCTCGGAGGCGACGCAGCCCCCTGCATGCAATGCTGACAACTCTAAGATCTTATGGACTATTATTGGCCGAAGTAGCGCTAGTGCGGGCGCTTAACAAATGTATACATCGGGAAATATGTTTTTCCGGTTCGTATTAACGTAAGGTACGACGGTTATATAACCAAGATACCCGTTGAAAATAACGGTCAATACTGCGTACTCCATACAATGTCTTTCTCAAGGAAAAAGCGATCGAATAATGACATACGGAGTACTCCGTATGAAGGATGGAGCACTTTACCTGGGAAACAGAGTGACAAAGACTCAAACTCCAACAGAGGAAGCCGCCTGCGGATAAATATAGAACGGAAAAAAAAAAACGTGGCATGGGCAAATCTCCCTTTTTCCCTTTCCCTTCTCTTACTCCAATGTCCAGCCGCGAGCCAGTTATCAAAAAAGGCCAGTGATCGTATGAGCGAAGGTGACGCTGGTCTCATTCGGGGGTTGGTTGCAACATGGATACGGCAGGGTAAAGGAATGCGATAATATGGGGCCTGCAGATGCAAATAGTGGTTATTAATAGGGTCATATCCTTGAAGCGGTTTGAAATACCGCGGTGGATGAGACACATCTTGCCTTGATGCAGCCTTCTACAGAATTTAAAAAAGAGATGAAGTCTAAATTAATTCATGGCAGGTTAAGGCGATGGCAAGAAGACGACAGAGTATATAAATAACAGATGAAGCATCTGATGCACTATGTACGGTGCTGTTTTCAGGCCCAACCCCGAAGAGCGACGAGCCTTTCGTCGCTGCGGAGGGCTAAGCCTGGAAAATATCCTGAAGGGAGCACAAACGGATGATATATCGGAAAGACAATTTGAGGGTTTCTTTGCTATCGGTTTCATGGGGAGAAGAAGAGGGAAAGGGGAATGAAAAATACTGGGTCTTGTTGGAATGAAATCCACCGAGCTTACTTTTTTATCAACTGTTTGTTTCCACCTTTTGCCCCATCCCCAAGAGGTTAGTTATGGTATTTCACGCTGCTCACACGAGCGGCGAGCTTTGTTTCGCGTACCCCCTGCCGTCACGGCAATGATTGGAGGTACACTCTGAGTGCAGTCTTTGGCTTTCGTTACGTGCTGCGATGTTTTTAATCCATCCCGAAGTTTGTGCATGGATGGGCGCAGTTGTGACTGGATTCCTTTGTATCGGGTTCGTGAGATCAGGATGGGTTGAATTCGATCGAGATCTACGGCGGGATTTGATTTATATATGCACTTGACTTATTCACTCCGTATCTCCATACATTTACTCCGCAGTGAACAGTGAACTTGGTCGAGAGAGATGTTGGCTGCATTCCTTGGATTGTGGTCAAGGATGCGATCGGGTTCCAAGGGTAAACCTCGCTGTCGCGTGTCCTGTAAAGCGTCATCGTATCGGATACTGCGTTGATCGCAGCCCAAGGGAGTTAAAATAGCCATCCCTCGGTAAAATCTAAGGTAGAAAATGCGGCTGGAAGTCGGAGAAGAGGCAAGCCATCTGATGCATCTGATCTGGGGAAACGACGGCCAACAGGTGATGATCTCGAGATCGTTCATCAAACATGTATAAACATATTTCCTGAGCTAATTGTTTAACCAAATAACTAGCTGGCTGGTACATCAGAAGGTGTGTGTGGGTAGCACCGCGCTGACTGAAACGCGATTTCCGGTAAGCAGCTTGGGGGTTAAAGGCAGGCTCTGAAGCGATAAACGTTTCATTCAGATGCATCCTTTACTTTTTTTTTGGCCCATCTGTATACTATGTATTGACTAGGCGCGTGCGTGCCATGGTCGCGAAAGGGTCCATGTCAACTCGATTCACTGGTCAACGATGCTCGTTCGTCGATTAATTGCTCTGTTCCAAGGCAGGCAGTTGGATGAAATAAATAAGCTTTTGATCGGGGCAAGGCCAATAGGTTGGTTGTATTAATTGTTGGTTTTTCATTCATTGGCTCCCGGCCACTCGTGGCCGTAAGTCTGGCTGCATCCCATACAAGAATGTTCGGCGCAATCGAGCCGCAGCCATAGAACGGTATACGTATCTATTGTTATGAAATAAGAGGGTGTTTCACAGGTCCTTGGACCATGGTCAATGGGCTCCTGGAATCAGGGAACACTGCACTCCATACGCCGATCTGCCGGTTATGCGGCGACAATGCCATCAAAGAGCAAAAAACAACTACTCCGTACTATAAAGTAAAATAATAGTAAGACGGGGTAATGGTTCATTTTAAGGTACAATACCGCATCGTAAGATTGTTTGTTGATTTGATATCGAACTGGTGTAACTGCTAGGGATCCGGACGACTATTCAGGGAGAAACCTGATTCGGAACAGCAGGTCCGACGCTGCCTCAGGTCATCAGGTACGATATCCAGTTCAGGAGAGAGAAATAGATTGGAGTATGGAGGAATTAGTTATAGATAAGATCGAGCTGCGCCATTGCCCCTTCGTGTTGGCGATGAACCAAAATGCCTAGATATGGACGGTGATTGGTAGATCGAGAACCACCGCGATCAAGCAACGCATGTAATATCGTGTCGCAATCATTTTCATCTTGAACTCCCATCCAATAGCCGGCCTTTCTCTTGTATATTTACTATGCACGTAAACGAACTGTTGATATTCGCATACCCCGCGTTGTCAGTTTCGCCTTATGGGAGGATCAGAAGTAGCCACTTTGCCATATGTTTTTGTTCTCCAGCAAGGACGTCATCGATCATAAGGGGCCCCCCTCTGATCCTCCACTTCTGGGTGGTCTCTCTTCCCAAAAGATTTCGGGGGGAGGGATTCCCGGCCAGTTTCGTCAAGTCAGGTCGATGAGCAAAAGGGTCTCGGCCCCAGAATGATGGACGATCAAGAGCAGGAAGCAAACTTGGAAAGCGGGGAAGGGAAGGGAGAAGAAAGAGCCATGTAAGTGGCAAAAGCAACGCCGGGGATGAACGCGGCTCCTTCATGGCTGGCTGGCTGAGAAGGAGTCAGGACAACCTGGCAGGTGGGAGTGGATGTACGGAGTATACGTATACATACAGATATATATGTTGGTCCTATATTCTAATAAATCTGGCTCAGCGAAGTTGGAACTGCGTTATGACCTTTATTTTGCATTATTCCTGCTCTTCTCGACGTCTCAGGGGCGACTATACAAGCCACCGATAATCCTCTGTTCCTTGTTCTAGAGCAAGTCGGCTGAGAAGAGACCGTACATGGCTAGTTGCCATAGTACGAGAGAGAGCACGGAGATGTTGAAAAGCGACTTCGTACACGGTATCGACGGGACGACAGCACATCCCTGGAACGCCATCAGTCTTCTGCTTCGTATAGGGAGGAAGCACACCCTCTCCCTGGCTGAGGACTGAGCCGCATCATATGTCTGCACATTATCGCCTTGCCAGTTGGCAGGCCTCTTGTCAATCTCCGTCCTGTCTGGAGATTCACGGTGGAGACTGTCAAAAGGTCAAAGGGCTGAGACTTGGATTGCTTCTTTCGTGAGCGCCGTTTCATTAACGATCCCAAGTAGCCTTCTACTCTCTCTCTGGTTGGAAAGGGGATGATGATACAAGCCCGGCCGGAGAAAAAAAAAGAAAAAGGAAGGTCTCGTTTCTTGGTAATAATATTTTATGTAAATCATAGGTAAGGTAATAAAAAAAAGCCAGTGTATATGGTAATACCATTACAGAATGACAGTACCAGACGCCGTATATTACATACCATACAATACCGATATCTCAAGTAAAACAACGACGTCTACGGTTATAATATGTTTCTTAGATAGATAATATAGAAGAAGGAGAAGAAAGACATAGATACAGGGCAGAGATAGGCCCATCATCGACGGACTCACCAAAGGGCTGCCTGCTTCCGTGTCGTACGCACAAAGGGAGAGTCAACGGTAACGTCTCAGGTATTACGCCCCCCTTAAGGCATCTTCCCTCTTCTTCTCCTACTTCTTGTCTGCCAAAAAAAAAAAAAGGTGCATGGTAATATAATACTTACTTACAACCCCAAGGGCCCTTGTCTTGTCCAATCAGTCGCGCCCTCCGCTTGCTGGGCAAAACCCGCCTAGTAAAAGGCCCTGCAATCCGCATTTCGAGAGCCTTACTTGGACCAAAACCTCCCAGGCCATCCTTCTCTTCTTCTTCATCCCCCTTCTCCCTCTCCTTCTCTCTCTTTTTCTTCCTACACTCCCCCCAGGAGAGACAACTCCTTTATCTCTCTCTTCTCCCCCCCTCTCTCTCCTTCATTCTTCTTCTCTTTTTTTCTCTCTCTTCCTCGTTCTCGCAGCTCCGGATCCGCTTGGGGGGCTTGTATCGACGCTGGCTTCACATCTGCAAAAATAGGGAGTGGAATAAATAAGAAAAAAAAATTTATACAACGCTTCAAAGTGGAACTGGAGCTATTACTCGTTTCCCACCTGCCCTTGCTAAAGAGATTGAAGAGTGAAGTCAAGCTTGATCTTCTCTCTTTTTTTTTTTCTTTCGGGCTCCCCTCGCTTCGAACGAAAAAAAAAAACTAACTTGTAAAGCCTCCCTTTCTCTCTCCATCCTTCTTGTCACGAATTCACGAAGTCCAAGCCCTCAATTCTGACATAGCTGTTTCGTTTTCTCTTCCAGAACAGCTCGTCCTCCTCGAACACCCTGTCGAGCTGCGTGTGTCTGGTTGGAATAATCGGAAGTACCGTTGACGTTGCGTGAGGACACCTTTTTTCCCCTTCCATTTTTTTCCTCCCTTCTGTTCCCTTGATGCTGGTTCGAGAGACACGCTCTATCATCGTCGATATACGGCATTGAACAAGGCCGTCAAGCTTCATTTTGTCAGCCAATATACTATTCACCCCTTCACTGCCTTCGTCCTGAGCGTTGCATTCAATATCTTCCTGCAGTCACCCGTCAGTCACTACAATCCCCTTTATCCGGCCTATACATCGAAAATCTAGTACTGGCCATTGAGATTATACTCAATTGGCCTTACTTCGAATTGCTGGTTAAACAGGGACACAGTTTTATTTTCTTCACCCCCTGAGTACCTGGCTCACCAGAAACCCCCCGTTGAACTTTCGGCAAGGGCACGACCAACCATCCTCTGGCCCTTTTCGTCCCGTTTCTCTGCAGCTTGCATATTTCAACTTTACTTTGCCCCCGGAAAATCATTTTACTCCAAGACGTTACACAATCATATATGTTTTTTTTTTTTGGATTCACTTGAAAAGGCTAACATTCGAACTCTTTTTTAGGATCCTTCCGTCAAGCAAATATTCCTCCCTACGACTATAATCTAGTCGTATCGGAGCATTCTTGGTGTTGAAAAGTGGAGGCGTTAGCTCGTTATTCACTATCAACACCTTTCACCCTCTGAAGCAAGACGTCGCTTCTTCTTCACCTTGCTGTCGACTTAGATGCTGTGAGGTTCATTCGGATAGGGTTGTCATATACCCAGCAATACAACGCCAAACTGGGTACATACATCCCCTTTTCTATCATAAGAATACAATATATGGCAAGCTTTACGGATAAGAAAAACGGACCAGGCTAACCTCAAGTAGCGCTTGTTGAAACTTCATATTTCGGTCTCCGACCGTTTCCAACGGCACAGATTATTGTCTGTGCCTGACTCTCTTTAATATTCCCAACTAATACTTTACGCTCCTTAATTGCATTTGCCCAACGACTGTCTCTCTCTTGAACTCCCCCGTCGTAACTCCATAGTTTGTCAGAGCTTGAACAAGACTGCACCACTCATTCATTTCCCGAAGCCACGCCGAGCGTCTTCGATCTTCAGCTCCCACCTCGTGCTCTTTTTCGAACTCCAACACCACCCAGCATGGCGTACCAACGATGTCAGACCACCACCTTCCAGCCCTGCGATAGTTTCTTCGTCGAAACCTATGACCAGGAATATGCACAGCCACAGCAGCCACAACAATCACACCCCCAGCTGGGGCCGAAGGAACAGGCTAAGCTTCTGGCAAGGGAACGTCAGTACGCAATGGCGGACCAGATGTCACGGATTGCCACGGACGAGTATCAGGAAGACATTCTGTCACACATGCACATGATGGACAATGCCACTCAGCCTGACGTCGATTCAATAGACATTCAGACTGAGATCCAGTGGTTCATGCGGCCGTATCTACTCGACTTCCTCATCGAAGCCCATGCTGCATTCCAATTGCTACCTGCCACCTTGTTTCTGACGGTTAATTTGCTCGATAGATACTGCTCGAAACGAGTTGTCTATAAGAGACACTATCAATTGGTCGGATGTGCGGCTCTGCTCATTGCTGCCAAGTATGGCGATAAGAAGGATCGTGTGCCAACAATCAAGGAGCTCAAGTCCATGTGCTGTTCGCTGTACGATGACGATATGTTCGTTCAGATGGAATGGCATGTCCTGCAAACACTCGGCTGGTCCATTGGTCACCCAACCGTCGACAGCTTCCTTCAGAACGCCGTTGTCGACACGCCTTACGATCCAGAGGTCGAACATCTCGCCTTGTACATTGCTGAGATATCTCTCTTCCACCGGGACTTTGTCTCCAAACTGTCGTCTGATATTGCCAGAGCTTCACTTGCTCTGTCTCGCTGCATACTAAACAGACCACAGGCCCCTCAGTCAGACTGGGCGGCTAACTACGACTCACTAACCCTAGTCAGCTTATCCCAGTACCTGCAGAAGCCGTCACATGTCCTGGCCAGAAAGTACTCATCGGCTCATTACTCGCGTGCATCGAAGCTTCTTGAACAATTCCTTGCTCGCCAGGAGTCTAACAACAAGCCATACAACCCACCAACCCCTCCAATCGACCGTATGTGTGAATCCAAGGCACCATACGAGGGTGAGGCAGGATTGGCCACTCCACAAAAGGCACAGTACTCGACCGTATCACATGGATACATCACCCCACCCATCACGCCGGAGAATGATGCATTTGGTGTCTCGGGAAACCCAAATATAGCAAAGGATGGAGGCACGATGTTATACAACTGCCCGCCGTCACCTACACCCGCGCCAACCATGCAGTATACAACTCAGCATTATGAAATGACCGATGCAGCCGCCTACTCGCATCACCGTCTCTTCCCACAACCACCGACACAAACCTTCAATCCTGTGTTTTGAACCAAACACTACCTCACTCCCGGTTCAGCCTAGCTTGACCAGGCTACCCAATTATTTCCGTGGCTTCTTACTCAAACCATCGAGTAGCTCGAGCAGGAAATAATATACCCCCTTTTGCCGACAGGTCGAAAATCTTATTTTCTTATCCTCTCGGCACCTTGGAACAAAGGTTGACGGTGAATTAAAGATGCAAGCTTACAAAGTCTTGTCACTGCCACTTCACGCCAGATAAAGCAATGGTCGAAATCGGGGCTTGTTCAGCCACCCCGCACAAACAACCATCTTCCCTCCAAATCAGATCTCGTGTTTACTTTAGCTTTTATTCCCAATTTAAAAAAAGGGCCGCTTGTAGGGCTCCATTTTTTTCCTTCCCATTTCCTATGTTTTGCATCTCATAAGTCCATCATCATTATTATTTTATTGCTTTTATTCCTAGCATTGCAAGCGTGATTCATCTGAATGTTCTTTTCGAAATCAGCTGTTTCCAGTTCTTGTACCATCTCACTCTCCCTTGCGAGCTATTTTTTTTTTCTGCTTTGCAAGTTCTCCAATATTTGTTTGAAGCGTTCCGCATCTCTGTCTCCCCTTTTACAGCCAAACACTCAGCACGGAACACCCGGCTCGGCTCATCCTCTCTTTTTTTCTTTGACTCTTTGCATAAAACCCTGTGTGAGTAAATGTGGGCTCTATTGCTTTCCTCCTTTTTCCTTTCCTTTCTTTTTTCCCTCTTGTCTTTGTTGCCTCCTTAATACTGTTTTTGAATACCCCTATATACCCCTATTCTCGACACATTTATGTTCCGCATCCTGTCTTGCTCAAGGATGTCTCGACGGCAGGAACAAAGTGGTGAAGAGGTCTATTCCGAAAAAACCGAAGAAAACAGAAAAAAAAAGAAGCAGAATATGGATAAGGGGCCGAGGAGAGTTTTCAAACGGACTACCACCTAATAACCGTGAAAACACAGGGGACGAGAGTGAGATTTGAGATCCTGAAGCGAGAGCAAGTTGAGCCGTTTGTTGTACCAATTGAACGAATCGAAGGGACAAAAAAAGAAGGCCTCTTCGCCCAAAAAAAAAGCACCCTGTTTTTATATTTTATTATTCCCTCCTCCAAAGTGTACCTTCGAGTTTCCCGTGTACCCTTTTTACAGAGCCTAGTGGTGAAAGCAGAGACAGACTGAGTCGGAATTATTTAATGCAACCAACTCTGCTCGCGATGAACTTGCTGGCTTTGCTGTGCTTTTTTCTTTGCTCGATCATTAAAAGCGAAAGAAATACAAAAAAATAAACTGCTTCGAAGTAGATATTACATAATACTACTATTTGATTAAGTAAGCATCCGGAGTTCCGACTTTCCTTTTTCAGCCTTTTTTTCTTTTTATTGCCAGAGCAGGAAGAGTGGGTCCGCTGTGAATTGGCTGATTGGCCGAATCCTTTGAAGCTGATTGGTAAGTGGAATCCCGTGCTAGCCTTCTTCGGCCTTCACCCTTTGTCATACAGCAGCGAGTACTATGTATGTATGATGTCGAGTATGTATGATGTTGCTCATATCTACAACGATGAAGTGGTTGGACTTCCTGGCACATCGTGCCGTCTCCTCGACAGCTGTCTAACAGGGGTTACTTGAGTGGCTGTCAGCGAGAACTCAGACTCTCTATTACTCCTCATGGAGCACGTCCAAGTATATGTGTTGTACGTATCGACTTCCCTCTGCCTATCAGGGCGCATTTACATTATCAACTGAAAGCTATGCTCATATGCGCGGCTATTTAAACGCTTGAGCAGTCTCCAGGGGGCAGATCAGGCCTTTAGTCACACAGCATCTGCAAGATTGCGTTTTGCATCTGCCCGTTTCACCGAGGATGTATATGTTATTAACGACAATGCAGAAGCCAAGACGAGAAGACGGGCGTAGTGAAGAGTGTTGACCACTTCTGTATGCATTAGCTGAGACATTTCAACATGAACAACAATAACCCCCTAACGGGTAGAGAAATATTGAGTGATGGTGCCTACCAATATGCATAAAGGTACAGCCACTTACGGCGTCCTAATACAGGTCATATCCTATATATGAGCTCTTTTACTTTATTAGATATCCGGAAGCACGTAAGTGTCTATATATTTAGATTCTTCACCAAAATAAAACATAAAGCTATCGAGATTAATGGCTAAGATGACCTACTATGTATAGACTAGAAGGCTGTTTAAAGCTCATAAACTAGCACTGGATTGGTACTAAAAGGGTATAGCCTGGCCATGCTCAACATCCTCCTTATGTATACAAAGTGCATCTTCGGGGGTTCAACATGCACTTACTACATAGTATGGACGTTCAGCTAACAGCATCATATGTCGCGTTAGCTTGGGCCGTCGGTTTTTATATCACCGAATGTATCCATGACTCTCCATGGATTATGAGCTGGGATGCGTCTTGGCTGCTCTTCACAATGTCTTGTTACAGAAAAAGAAAGGAATTCCAAGAACTGTGTGGAGAAGGATCAAGCTGCTCCACAGGCGGTCGTCATAGTTGTTGCAGGCAGGGCTGGTGAGTTCCCACCAGCTTATTCGTGGCTGATAAGTTGCTAATCCAGATCGCTGAAGAAAACTCCGTGATGATATGTCTGCTCCGGGCTTTTCATACATCACAACGGGTACGGGGGGGGCGTTGATCTGTGCCGCAAGCCCGCGCTCCCTGCAGACGTTATCAGGGAGCTCATGGTAGTGGTTTCGCACACTCTAACGAACGCCATATATTGGACGACCAGATATTAAAGGGACCAGGGAAGAACTGGTTGGCCAAGCGCGTGGCGCCTGGGCACACTTTCGCTCCATCTCGAACGCGACCCTCCCGGGCTTTGTGTCTTGTGAAAGCATTCATTCCTTATGAAAAAGGACATCTCGGTCTTTGTTTTATGCCTGTGCAGACACAAGTCCGTATTTCTAAGTGTATTCACACCGATTGACGTGCATGCAGTTGGGCTATACGGGCTCTGGGCGGCCTTGGAGCCCTAGCATCTGTCATTTAGACCTCGCAAGGTGCGTGGATTCCCCGCTGGCCCCTATGTTGCAGGGGCTGATCTCTCCCTTGGCAGCGCTGGTTAGAAGTGGACTCGCCAGTAAGGAGACCAGGCGGTAGCAGCCCAGAAATACGGATTAATCAACCCCCCTTGCAACGGAGAATCGCCTGCCTCGGGACGATTATATTATTTATCATTCATTATCCGCCTTCATTCGCTCACATACACACACACACCTCTCTCTGTCTCTCTCCCCTCCCTCTCCCTTCCTTCTCGCTATATATTTCCTTCAGGGCATATATCTTCCCTTCTCCTTGTCACTCATTTTTTAAAGCTGTTCAACTGTCAATTGAATATATCCCCGGCGTTCTGACTTTTGGGCAACGCGAATTCCGGTTTTTTTTCTTTTCTTTTCTTTTCCATCCCAAACAACGGTTCCTACGTAATCACTTTTAGACGGTTACTTGCGTACGATTCCTAAATCCTCCTGGCGAGAAGATCAAAAAGCGAGAGAATCGTCGCTTGATATTAACGTGAACCGAACCCCGATGTGTATGTATATGGTCAAGGGGCACTTGGGGTCTATTTGATTGAAAGAATATGTTTCCTTTCTCTCTGATTATGTCGCTCTGGCGATCTACACTATCGTTGATAGTAGGAGGAGAATCTGGTCCTCCTACGAGGGATAACGGACGGAATGTCAAATGGTTAGATGTGAGTCGGCTCAGATGTCTCGACTATATCGACTATATATATATGTATATGTCTACTACTTTCTTTGTTCGGATTGCTCACTGGCCTGGCTTGTATAGGGGCTTCGTGGAATCGCATCGTTTCTAGTCATTCTCACCCATCTAGCACGAGCATGGGATTATGAGCTCTTCAGCGCAGGACCCGCCGAAGGGACGCCTCGATTGCTACAGCAGCCTGTCCTCCGTATCCCGTGGCAGGGCCGCATAGGCGTCACCATATTCGCATTCTTGACCGGTTATGTTTGCGCGTTGAAACCTCTGAGGCTGTCTGGTTCTGGAAACTATAGTGCTTCATTCACCTCCATCGCAAAGAGCGCATTCCGCCGTCCTCCACGATTGATTCTTCCTGCCACAATTGCATTGCTGTGTACATGGACAATCGCGCAATTTGGTGCCTTCAAGGTAGCCACAAGATCAGATGTGGATTGGTTTAGAGCAGCAAGCGTCAAGGTCGACCCTTCATGGCTTAAAGAAATCAGCCGCTTGTTCTTCACCATCCTGTCGACATGGACGACTTCACGAAACGACTATGACGACCACCAGTGGGCACTGCTACCACTGCTAAAAGCCTCGATGTTGGTCTACATCCTGCTTGTTGCGACCATGTATGTCAAGTATCACTACCGCTTGGCCATTTACGGTGGGATGATCCTATACTTCCACCAAAACCCAACTTGGAACACAGGTGAGAGACTCTCCTATCTTGATAACTCCACTCAGCTATCTGTAATACTAACGTTTGGCCTGCTACAGAAACCTTTGGGCAGCAAGCATGCTATGGTATGCTGCTCTCCGACATTGCAAGCAACCATCCCGAAAATTCCTATCTCTCCTCGCACCCCTGGCTCCGACGCACAATCTGCTGGGTCGCGATCTCCCTTGGACTATGGTCCGCCTCCTATCCCGAACACGACGTCGAACGATGTGGCTGGTCCAACATTCTCCACGAAGGTTCTAAATACATGTTCCCACCAAATGTGAATCTCGGTAAACGCTTCACTGCCCTCGGAGTCGACCTTATAATACTCGGGATATTCCTCTCCCCGTCTATCAAGAACATACTCTCCAACAGCTTCTTCCTTTGGTTTGGTCGAAATAGCTTTGCTGTCTACCTTACCCATGGTACGTTACTGAAGACGGTTCTTACCTGGATGATTTACGGTACCATCACCGGAGAACCATGGGTCGTCACGAAGAATGAAAAGGGAGAAGACGTCCTCCCTCCGTGGCTCCCTCGTGCGTCGCCCGGTGTATTCGCCATTTGTATACCAGTTTGGCTTGTGATTGTATACACCGTTGCGCATTTATGGACGACATATGTCGACTCCTTCTGTGCGCGGCTGACGCAACGACTCGAGAATCTTACTTTTGAGTCTGACAATGAGAAGACCCAGCTTCCGAGGTGATGGGAGCCGTGGAAGTAAGTGTGTGATTTTATTTACTTTACATATACCCATGTTCGTTTCCTTGTCCCTTTTCTTTTTAATGTCGGGCATTAGGCCATCTTTCCTTTGGATATTTCCCCAAATCAGAGCCGAGAGAGATGTACATTTCTTATGTACTATATACACTGCCTTCCCGGTTTATGAGTCTTTGCATACCAGCGCTTTTTATACCAGTCTATTTTTTCCAGTTCTAGCATCTCTTTTGGATAGAATATCTCTGAGGCTAGATAGGTAGCATATATTTATATATCTGCCTTCAATTGACACTGTTCTTAATACACCTATAGTGGTCCATCAATTCACAACGTATAGCGTTGTTCTTAGCTCATTTATCACGGCTTGAAAACAGTGTCAGTTCATATGTTACTGTTATTCATTACGCTCGTTTCATAATTACTTAGACATTGCTTTAGCTTTCTCCCATACGTCCTCGAGATCTCGTCCAACCAACCTGAGGGCGTCCTTCTCTGCTTTTCTGGCTGAGAACTTGGCTTCTCGCTTCTGGATCAAGGCCAGAGAGTTCTCCCTCTCGATTTCAACTATACGAAGCATCAGCAACTTCCCTTGGTAATGTAGCCACGAGTCAACTTACCATGAATATAGACTGCAGCACGCTTACCGCTGAACATGGCGTGGACAACATTCGTGCTGCCGTCGTTGTTTGCATCGCCAACAGCATATACGCCAGAGACAGAAGTTCGCATTCCATTGATGTTTACAGCGATCTTGTTTTGATTGGCCTTGTCCCGCTGTAGACCTAACTGGTCAGGCAAGTCGGACCTTTGGACAGCCGGGAAGTTGGTGATGAGTGCGTTTCTCTCAGTGCTTTTCCCATCTGTGAAGTTGATCCGGAACAAATCATACTCCTTCCAATTCTCTTTATCGCCCACCTTGGAGCCATCCCTGAGACGGACAATGGACTGGATGACTCGGTCCTCGAGTTTGACGTTGTATTTCTTTAGTTGCTCTTCCCAGCGGGGGTATTTATCAGCCAGCCTTTTTCGCTCTTTCTCGTCGTGTTCGGTGCCGTTCACGAATGCAATGATGTCCCTGTTCAGACTCCACATCTCGAGGACGCTGTCCATGACATCTCCAAGTGGCCCCAGGACACCAAAGGGCTGATCACGGTGCTCCCATCCATCACACCAGGGGCACCAGAAGATTCCTTTGCCAAAGTTCTCCGAGATTCCGGGAGTGGATGGAAAAACATCCTTCAAGCCGGTACCGAGGACAATCTTGCGAGCCGTATGGACGCTACCATCTGCACCCGTTACGGTAAAAAATGGGTATTGTCCCGATTTCGTGTCAATCTTGGCGATTTGTGTTACCTTGACATCCTTGATATGGGTGGTATTGTATCTGGAGATTTGTTGCCTGGCAAGGGCGCGGAATGCACTTGGCACCGCTCCTGGACACGACTGTTAACCAAAAGAGAACAGAACGCAGGCGACCACAACATGAGAAACATACCATCATTGCCAATAACATCATGCATATGGCGGGTAGGACCATTGCGGTAGTGGCCATCGTCATAGAGCAAGGCAGTTCGTCGGACCCGACCTAGGGCGCTGAGGGTGCTGAGCCCAGATGGACCGCCGCCAACGATGATAACCTCGTAGTCAACACTGGGCGGAGGAACCGCAAGGCCAGCAGTGAAGAGGGCAAAAAAGACGAGCGCAAGGAGATGGACACCCATGTTTGACGGGCTATGCGTCTATATATCCGTTGTGGGGAAGAGAGTCAATGCTTGAATTCTTCATCGTCCCAGAGGGATCACCTCGCCTGGCTTTTATAGAGCTCTCTCCGGTTTTTGCCATCAGATCATCATCGTGTTTGTGGTCATGCAGCGCATAGTGTGCCATGTTTTTGGGCAATGGCATGAGCTGCAACCCCGAAGGTACTTCCCGTCTCTCGTGAGGCTGGCTGACATGGCCATGCAGCATGTACTTGGTAGATCCTTACACGGGAAGAAGAGAAGTTGAGTGTCAAGAGAGAGAGCAGCCGTCGACGGTCAAGCAACAAGGTCTTTGGTGGCAGATGAGAGAGAGAGAGATAACGGAGTCCTGACCAACATCGCCATTATCCCTTTCGTATAACACCTGGAGTGGACAGCACGAAAAATCAAGGTATTCGTCTCTGCTTTTCCACAAAGATTGGGTATAACCATGCTCTTCGGCTTGCGTAATGGCTACTACTCTGCAAGTCGAAGTAAAAAAGAAAATATCCTGTTGGTGGCGCGAGCAGCATTGAGCAGAAAAATACGCTGTTGGCTTGTTGGCGCCCCTTTACCCGCCGAGGTTGAGAGGACGGGCTAAATTACTCCATCTGACCCAATTTACAGTCTCTGTTGGGTTGATGCCGATAAGCCGAATTAATGCAAGATAAAAAATAGTCTTTGATACTATTCGAAGTCCTGCCAGAGCACCTCCAATCATCTATTAGATACGTCACCGTACATCCTTTGATAACTCCATACACCCAATGCAGCCATATGCCAGACGATTCTCATATACATACAAATACCGTTCTCCATACCCCGTAAAAAAACGCTCATATGGAAATAAATCTCCCGCCCATTAGTTTTCCCCCATAACCGAATCAAACCGGAGCCACCTCTGTATTTCCAAACTCTGGGGACGTTCCAGGCCTTTGGGATTTTCCAGACTTAATTGAATGGGCACTGTTGGCTGAATTCAACGACCGTGGAGAATGTGTAACACTTTCCAAATTTTCGATTTTAACATGCACCTCGCTGACCTTGACGATAGCATCCATTTGATGGTCAGGCCCCTGCACAATAGCCTCTTGGCTCTCAGGAGTAGTGTGCGGCTCGACACCACTGTGGTAGGAGTTGAGAGGGTAGCAATAGGTCTTCATTCCAGGATTCACTCCATAGATTGTCCCCTCTTCCTTCGTTGCGTATAAGCTTGTGTCTGTGGCCCAATAGGGCTTGGGTTTCCGTCTTGAGGCTGGCTTTCGTATGATACTTCGAGGCCATGAGGAAGATCTGGACGATCCTGTGTGACGAGAGGTAGCTTCTCTTAGAATGAGTTTAATGAGGGGCCCAAGCATAGGTATGCATGCGGCGATCATGATCAGATATTGTTCGATGCATAGCCAAAACACCAGGTCAATGGTGTTCCACGAGTAGTCTGCGCGGGCGGAAAGTCGAGAAAGGAAGATCGTTTTCACGACAGAAGCGCCTACGGCACTGGATATTGTAAGTAAAAAAGCTCTCTCCAAAGAAGCGTTGATTAAGAAGGCATACACGAATCCAAGAGCAAAGATAGCCGCTAGGCCAAGCTTCACGCGGAGGGGCATTTGCAGTTTAGAAATTAAGCGCACAGGGTACACAGCGAGTGCAAGATCCGATGTCGCAGAGACAGCTACACAGACATGTCAGTTAATTGGTGGTCCTGACCTCCGTCATCAGTTGAGATTCTTCGAGCGCCGTCGGACTAACCTCCAGTGAAAAATGCGAAATCCCTTTGAATGCGGGGATTCCAGCATTTCCCTTTGATCCTGCGATCCCATAGTGATTGCACGGGCGTACATTGCCCGTAGATAGTATAAATGCAGACAAAGTTGACGGCCGACAGAAAAATCATACCGCCGTAAAAATAAGGTGTTTGCCGCGTTGTATGGCCAATGACACGCAAAAGGAATAACATAATAGACACTTTAGCCCAATTCGTAGATGCAACGTGAAATCCTTGGGAAATCCAGTTGTATTTATCCGCTTGCATTGCCTCCTCTTTAGTAAGATAGAATTGATGGCGACCGGTGCCGTGAGCTATGCTAGTGGTGACCATGGCGGCATTAACCACAGCGCAGGCCTAGGGAAAAGACGTTAATACCAATACCTGCCAACAAAAGACAGCATATAAAATTTATTTACCAGAGCAAGTATAATGAAAGCGTCGTCCCATCCAAATGCTCTCACGACTTTAACCCGAGTCCATGTTCTGGCTAGCACAAGTAGAAGAGATAGGCTGAATCCGGACCAGGTTAAGATGATGATAATATGACCCTTGTTGACGTCTCCGTCGGGAGGCTCCTCAGGAACTATCATGTTGCAATGTCTGTATGAGTTGCTCTGATAGCGACCGACCTCTCCAACAATGAGACTTGAAAGGACTTCCTTTCAAGGGCAGCAGAAGGTCAAATAGACAGCTGTCAAGTCGATGAACGAAGCTGCCGTCTCCATAATAGAAAACACGGAGTAACGGAAGCATCTTATAATGAAGCGGAAGACCCCCCATCCTGGCTCGTGGTATATTACTTTGTGCATGGAGTTTGCCACTAAAAGCGGCCCTGGGAGTTTGATGCTAGGCTTAATCGTATTTTCCGTCAGGGTATGGTTTAGATCGGCATTTCTTGGGTTCAACGATCTCTCTCGATCTCGCTCTTCCGCTCAGTCAGATCTTCATCTTCTGGGTCAGAAGCGCCTGATAACTAGATAACGGGTCCCCTCACGCCACCGCAATAGCGAGCAGTCCATGGTTATTTCACCCTCCCAAGTCGTTAAGGGTTTTACTATGTAGATCTTACATACATAGTAGGGGTTTTTTTATGGCCCGGGAGGAAGTAAAATTGCTCCATACAGGGGTGGAGAGCCCGCGCCGCCCGAATACCAGGGTTCCAGTGTACCCTATCGGAATGCGTTAAAAACGCCATTATGAATGGTGAACCACATGCTATTAGGTAAATCATGCATATCAATCAGAGGCAAATCGATCTCGGCTTTTTGCGTTGATGGGCTTGATTCACACGTTTTTTCCTTGTGTCTTTGCTCATGGGGACAAGACATATAGTGAACCCCAGCGGCCCGCTAAAATTGGGGCAAAGAAGCGAACCAGAGGGTTTTGCTTGTAAGAAAACATTAACAGATAATATATCTATTAATGTTATATATATGGAGTAGAATATACATATATACTCATAGTAATGACCAGAAGTCCAGCTTGCAGAAGTTTTCTGAAAAAAAGTCCAGAACATTAACACGTGACTGTGCTTCCTAATTTGGTACAACTGGGAGCCTCGAATGCCAAGGGGACAATCTAACAGCCACGAGATTGAGAGGGCGATATATTGGCATAAATAAGGGTAGTGTTGCGTACATAGTAATATAAATAGTAGGCACTGTGTAGCTATAGCGGAAGTAATTCATTCATTAGAGCTGAGATATTTCTGCTGTGAAGCATGGCAGATGCATACTGTACTCCGTATAAGCAACTGTACTATGTAAAAGGGGAGAAAAAAGCAAAGTACACCATATCAGAGGGCTGGGACAAGCTCTGAAGTAAATGGCAATCCATCAAAAGTGACATATAAACCCGGAGAAAAAAAAAGTCTGTTTTTCATACTGAGCATAGCGTAGGGAAATAGGAGAAAAGAGGTGAAAAAGGAGATTTGGTTCTGCAGCCTTGAGCTAGGCTGGAGGCTGGAAAAACAGTGAGAATTCTCTGAGGATATCCCCTGCAGCTGTAATGCATAAGGCTCGGTCAAATTGAACGATAAATGCGCCCGACTGGACCGGTTCGCTTCCCCTCGACCAATAAATCGTCAACCCCCGGACGGCTCAACCGGGCTCAGGGGTGAAGAAATCGGCTTCTGTGGGGGGTAGGACGGGGTGAGTAAGAGACCGAGGTACAGGTTATCAGAAGAAGAAATAAAAAGCGTAACAAAACGTCCCAAAGCCCAAAAAGTGCGAAAGTCAAACTCCGCGTGCGCCAAGCTTTCGCCAGTAGTCATACAGGACATGATGAAAAAGAGTAGTATACAGGCAAGGAAATATATCAAGATCAAACAAGATATAATCTTGACCAGCAGCGGAATGGTGCGTAAAGGTGAACCCGTGGTAAAAGTTGTCACCAATCGGAGGACAAGAGAGTGGTTCATTATTACCATGCCAAGATATAAACCGGCACGGTAGAACCAGGCTGTAGTATAAAATAGGGCACCATATGGCGTAGACACCACCTGTGTCACCAGCTGCTATTCGTAATATGGCGATGAATGTGGATTATAGGGAACGGCGAGGTCGAGGCTGAATTTCAGCCATCCAAGGCAAAGGTGACGGCTGAAGGGTTCGTAATGTTTGTCCCGTTTCCGATCCAAAGCCGTTTGGTGTGAGGCTGGTGTTTATTTCCACTTGACTCCGTCGAACCCGGAGCGTTTCTTATCGCCACATCCAGAGGGATCTGAGTTGTGTATACAGGGTTTGGATGATCTCTTGATGCCCGGATTTTGGCCTAGTAAATTCCAGAGAAGTCAATGTTAGCAAATTACATAATGTAGAGTGCAGACAATGGTAACAGGAGTTCAATTGAGACAATAAAGCTACGAGCACGATGCCTACCTTGGCCAGTGGGCGAGGAATATCCGCTGCTGGAAGAGCTTCCAGTCGAGCCAACAGAGGCTTGAGATTTGTGAGGCATAATGAGAGGAACCTGGAAGGTTGTGTGTGGCCGATATTGGAGAGGTGTGAAGAGAGACGAACTTCCGCTTGTTGTTAAGACGGAAGCTTGATAGTGATAGAAGGTGGAGAGAGCGTTGCTGTCAGAAGACGATAGACGGGAGATGGGCTTGTATATAAGCTTGAGGTGTAGGCGGTAGAGATGTGTTTAGAGGAATGATAATCGGAAGGAAGATTCTCCAGGTATTTATAATCTGGAGGAAGAGGCTTAAGAAGAAATCGAATGTCACAGTGCACTCCGGGATTCAAGGAATCTGCAAGAGGGCGATGAGGAGAAAAGAGAGGTGAGGAGAAGAGCCTTCGGGTAAACGCCAACCAAGGTATCTACCCGGTATGTTCTTCTTGCCTTGAAAGTAGCTCTAAAGATAGAAAATGCCGCGGGGTTGAAGCCAGGCAACCAAAGGGACGAGCAGGTAGAGGGTGAATTCTGTCGGCACCAAATAAAAAGAGGGCAAGAGTTTTTTTTTTTTTTTCTTTGCTTAGCAGGGTATCTGATGACCTTCTACTATGTGCGTCATGGTAGATGGGCCAGGCAACAGTAGATGAAATCGCAAGAAAAGCCAGACAATTAGGCAGAAGTGTAGGTAAGAGGAGAGGAAGAGAAGCTCATTCGACGAAGGCACGAGTTCCGTGGCTGGCAAGGCAGAAGGTGATCAGTATCTGAGCTGCTTTCCAGGACGTTCGAAGGTGTGCGAGAGAAAGTGAGGGATCAGAGAAAGACGGAGAGGTGAGAGGACGGAGTAACCCCCGGAAAGAAGAAGCCCAAGTAACAGGGGCCACGAACTCCAAAAAACAAAGAGCTTCCCTTTTTTTTTTTTTTAAACTTGCAGCACGGTTGCTGATAGGCGGAGCTAGTCAGTGAGACAGCGTCAATTGAACGTGGTTCATCTCTTTGGCCTCTAGGATCGAAGCTGTTTCGCGTTCGTCCAATTGTCACGCCAGCTTCCTTTGGCGTCCGGGGGAAGGAAATGATAAATAGAAAAAGAAAAAAAATGCGAGGCCAGACCAGCACAAGCCCACCTCATCAGGGGGAAATGGAATAATGGGGTCACCAGTCGAAGATCCACGCCAGGGAACAGAAGCGAAAAGCAGTTTCTCCGTAGTTTCGAGTGGCTCAGGAGGCTGGCCAGGGCGATCATTCATCTGCACATCAACAGGCAGTAGCAGGCAGCAACGGGCAAATTGGCTCAAATCCCAGCAAGGGAGTACAGGCTGCAGCGCGTGAAGGAACAAGGCATCGCTGAGGTTGAGGAGCTCGGGAATTTTGATGCCAGCAAAACTTCCTCTTTAGGGTTTATACGGCGTCACTTTTCGCGATGGCTGGGAAGAGAAACAAAAGTACGAAAAGGGAAAGGCGGCGTGGCCAGGCAGAAACCACGGCCCGAGCCCTGCTTTTCGGCCCAAAGCAGTCTAGCCTTGTTATTGATGAGTCAGCAAGTGAGGCGACATCTGCGCTAGCTGTCTTTAGTCACTACATCACGTGTTAAATCAGGCAAGGTAATCACGTGATATAACCTCCTTTTTGGCTCGCTGCCCAAGGGGAAGAGAAGAGAAGCGCGCAGCCACGCCAGGAATAGTTTTGAAGAGAACAAGTCTCAGCGTTGGATGCATGCCCAATAGTCACAATCAGAGGCGGAGTGCTGCGTGGCTGATAACCCAGATGTCGACGTCATAAAGGGGCCCAAGCCTTGCGACGCTTCACAGAGCGAGATGTGAAAAGCGAGGAGGCCAAAGGAAGAGCGGTCTACCAGATTACTTTGCTGGAGTATTCATAGCAACAGTTAGTAATACTCCAGCTGATGATATAAGCCAGACTTTCCATACCGCATGTCTCTCTCACAGCTGAAACAATGACGTGGTTCCATTTTGTACGGTGCATTACAGTCTCATCCAGAAGCTGGCCTAAGTGCGAATACACAGACCATAGGGGATTACCATGGATACGAACATAAACTACGGTGAAGGCAGAATCGAACGAGACTGAATGTCAACTACAAGGGCACCGAATCGTGACCTTCAAATCCGGTTGCATGTGTTGTCCTTGTGCTCGCATCCCCAACATACAGAGGAGCATTGGGTGTGGCACGCAGGTGGCTGACTCATGGCCTCCCGCTGCAGGTCCCGGCCGCGAGAAGAGCCCAGCCGGGTATGGATGATGCTTCGATAAGCACGGCATTTCACATATCCGAACTGGGTGTGAGCCGTGAGTGCTCCGTCTGAACAAGAATAAATTGGCGGTGTGAGATATGATCAATTTCGCGAGTCAAAAAAAATGCAACGGGAGAGGGAATATCTCAATGTGGATATTTTTACGTTGCACCCTCCTAGACCGATTTTAATCTGGGAATTTCTCGGCTGAGGGAGAATGTTGTCATACCTATGCATTTTGTATATGATTTGTTGGGAATAGATAGTGATAAGAAGTGTCAAGACGTGCCAGGGTAGCCAGATGCTAGTTATGTTCGTATATGAAGAATATACAAAACTGGCCATCATCTTAGAATCTATAATGTAGCTTGGTGATCTGAAAAAAAAACCGTATCAAGTAATATAATGCAGGTACAAACGCCATTGAAAAAGCGGAAACATCTACATATTGAACGTATAGATGATATACCGACAACAGTTTTCTTGGGGCATATTAGTTTATGGAGTGCAATCTATGTTCTATATCACTCTCAAAGATAGCCCTTTCCGTAGATTTAGGTTGGACCACAAACCCGCCTTAATCCATGGATTGCTCAACCACCGCTACCGGTTTCCCGGATAAACAGAAATGCCATCATCGAGCTTCGGTAGACGACGGATTCTAGTAATAAACTTCATAAGCAGCCTTCTTAAAGCTATCAGCTCCCGTTCCCTCCGTTCAAACGCCTTCTTTCCTCTCCACACCGTTAGAGACTTAACATGGAGGCCTTTGACGGTATTCCATGGTCTGTAGACCTTACTATCTCACCTACAAGCCTGCTCAACACAGCTGTATTCACTATCTTGCTGTTGATCAAGATATTATTCAACCTTGGTCCAAGCTTCGAGCAAGTATTCGATGGCCTCCGCATATATTGGGCATCCGACAGGATCCGAAAGATAAAGGAGCTCTTCCAAACAAAAAATCAGCTCAAGGAACAATCAGACTGGATCAAGGAGTGGGAGTATTTGGACGCCGAGCAAAAAGCCCTAAAGCAGCGTGATATATTCCTACGAGAGACATTCATCGAATATGCAACCAAGGATAAACTTGACGAACTCGACGGACTCGATACCTTTGGCCCCAAGATCTGGGAAGATAAGCTGGCAGACTCGAAAACTAGGCTGTGGCTGAATAAAAAGGCACATCTTGACGCCTCCAAGAAAATGCCAGAGGGCCCCAGGATAAGGGGTTGGATGGCAAATTCAACCCGTGCTCAACAAGTGATATCAAAGATCGGAGAGTCACGATATCTTGCGCAGGAAAAACACGCAAAACCATGCAGGGACAACGGTGGATGCTGTGCGAGAGCCTGTGGGTGCTGCAAGAAGCCCCGGGACGTGTCTCCCGAGGGAGAGATATACTACGCACATTGCACAACCCTCTGTCTCTGCTGCATTCGCAGTAGAGGATTTGTAAGGCTGGACTTGACTGTCGGTGCCAACGTTCCAGGGTTCGTCAAGCTCACCGATGAGGATACGTTCCCCCAAGATATAAACAAGTTCCTTCCAGAGATTCCGACTGGCCAGATGACGGAGGAGAGTCCAGAATCTCCAGCTCCCCGAGAGGCAGAAGTTCAGAGTGTAGATGAAGACTTTGACGAATGAATGGGGGCGTGATACAAGAGAAAATCCTGTATAATAACACAGAGCCCGCTTTTATTTGTTTCTTTTGCTTGCTTTGTATGGTATAATAGGCTGGGTGCGTATGGTAGGACGTTCCCTGGTATAATTTGGCTCTGGCTGTCTTGTTCTTCTGTGTAGTTGCATTATGGATTCAGTTGTTTATTCTTAAGTAGTTTTGTGAAAGACGATTAGTTAAGCTCCAAAACGCCTCCCAAAACAAAACTCCCCACCTTCAGGGAACTTTCTGCGTCTTCCCCTCCACCCACCCTTCGACTTCTCCTCCATCAAATATGCGGCTTGCATCTATCTTGACCGTCTTAACTGCTGCTATCACCATGTCTTCCGCTTCCACAACGACCACCACCAAAGATGGCCTCATCATCGAGGTCCTCAAGTCTGTTGAGAGCAACCGCCGCACCGCCAATGGTGATACTGTCCAGATGCACTACCGCGGCACCCTAGCCGACACTGGCAAACAATTTGATGCCAGCTACGACCGTGGTACTCCGTTGGGCTTCACGATTGGTAAAGGCATGGTTATCAAGGGGTATGTCTCTCTCCCCCCCCCAATTCTTCTGCTGGTGAGAAGGCTATACTTTTTTTTATCCCTCACTTACCTGCTGTTGTATTATTTAGCTGGGAACAAGGTCTCCTTGACATGGCCGTCGGCGAGAAGAGAAAACTCACAATCCCACCATCTTTGGCCTACGGCAGCAGGGGAGTCGGTCCTATTCCCGGAGATGCCACCCTTATCTTCGAGGCGGAGTTGATGGAGATCTCGAAGGGCGAGCTTTAAACTGCTCGACATACTGTAGATAGACAAAACACAGCTGTTACAGCCTCTTCATACTTTTTGCTTGGAGTGCCGAGTGCAACCGGATGTACAGCTTTATAGAAGCCTCTCTCTGTTTAGATGAGGTTTTGCCAGACCACCTGTTCTGAAGGCCTGACCCCAATGTTCATATTCACATATATCTACATATGATATAATCCACCCGGATGAAATATTTTACTGATTGACTATAAGAATTAAAATACAAAGCGCAGAGTAGCTAAGTAACACCGGTAGGTATAATATCTAAGATGTAGGCCATTCACGCTCATTACATATGGGACAAGATTCCTTATTTCGCCTCTAATTTACTATTAACATGGAACAATATACATTGATAATCTAACTGCCGGGTATCATACCTATACAACCTACCACCCATCTATAAGAGGGACAGGCAACAAGACTATGTTCAATCCATCTCATCAAGCTTCCCGTCTTGCTTATCACTGGCCACATGCTCGGATACCAAAATTCCAACCATACATTCTGCCAGCATCCCATCCCAGTTCACCCAGGGATGGATTTCAGCAAACAGCTTCTCCGAATCCTTGCCAGCACCACGCAGGAGTTCTCCTTTCCCACCAGGATGAAACGGCACGAACGGTGTGATATTATACACCTTCCCTTGGTAGGACGTCCATGCATCACGGCCCTTACGTCCGTTATATTGCTTTAACATCGACGGTGTGACCCTGATCAGTGTAGGGGGCAGGTTTGCGCCTCGAAGATTATTTCGTGGGTTTGACGTCAGAGCTGCCCAGTCAAGTGGAGAATGGCCTGGCTCCAAAATAACAGGTCGAGATGAGCGTTGTGGTTTGCCTGGGAGAGGTAGGACGGGTAGAGTGCTGGTTGTAAGGCGTGATCCGGGTGGGACACGAAGAGAGGCCGCAGCAGAAGGTGGAGGGCGGAGAGAAGCCCTTGGGGAAGCTCGAGGAGCGGGTGGAGGAGGTGGTGGGGGCATCAATGATGTTCTTGTTGATGTAGAAAGACACTGCTCTTGTGCTTCAATAACCGGAGCAGGCGGATCAAATGTCATCGTTGGTGACGGCGGGACCTGAAGGCCTGGATTGGATATGGGCTTCGTTTGAGCATCCAGGCCTATGGTTGGGCCAGATGATGGCGATGTAAAGGCCTCAGTTCCATGTTCTGAGGTGGATGGAAGCTCATCGAGAGTTATAGGTGGGATAACAGATGCTGGTATTACCGGGTTTGCCTTTGGAGTTGTGTCAGCGTCCAGGGTACCTTCACCAGGCGCCGAATCAACCAAGCTGATGTCACTCTTCCCAAGCTCTTTATCGAATTGATCACTTCTTGGGGAGGTGCCAGTAGGGGCTAGACCCGGCTTTGCTTTATCAGAAGAAATACGCCGTCTGGTGAAATAATTCCATGTCGACAGAAAAAAAGACCATGATGTCGGGGGGTGTTTATAGAGTATATAAGATATAGAGGCAATCAGAGCCCCTATCCCCACCCATCCCATGCCAAAGCTGCACCGACCAAATCACTGTTGTCGACAAAGCTGAACTCAAGTCTGATACTACCAATATTCAAGCAACGAGTCCTTCAAGATGTTATTCAATCTGATAAGAGAGTCATGTGACAAAAGATAACTTCAAACTTTAACTCTGGATAATCGTGCTTAGTCATATATAGCATTGGCGCTTATATAAGTTGCGTTTTATTCGCCTGTTGCTTTTGCATATGAGGCTGACTGAAGTGCTATCTGTTCAAGGTGATAAAGCAGTGTCGACCCAAGGTTGATGACGGTGTTTGCTACCTTGGGCTCTCTACGCACACGACAGTCAAAGTTCTTTTCATGTTCTTCACTCCTCGGCTGCGAGAAAAACATTTTCGGGTTGTTGGCCCTCGTTAACAAAATACCCATGGCCAATCAAGTGAAAGGAAAGCCTGTGTCGATTTCACATCTCCATCATATTTCCATGGTTATTTCAAGTTTCCGTCTTATCCTTTGATTGACGGACAGATATTACCCCATATACAGGTTATATGACCATAACAGTAAATAGTTAAATCCCTTGGAAACCCAAGTCCAACCCAAAATACACTTCCCGCATACTTTAACCCCTGCCAGCAATACCGTTTCACGGATCTTGTTGGCACTATATGAAATTTATACCTACAAGCTATATTCATTGTTTTATGATATACCAGCTGCGCTTGCTGGATGTGTCCCTGGGCCTTTACCCTGTGAAAACTGGAGGTTTATGATGAGCAGTCTTTTAAAGCCGCTCATATTCACAGCCCCGGCGTGCTATTGTTTCATCTCCCGTTGTCGACTCAACTTTCCGGCACAAATTTAACCATAGATACTGAACTACGAGAGTACAAAGAAGATAAGTGAGGTTTAAACAGCATTTAAGAGGCTCGTATATATACCCCAAAGTACTGCATCAACACATCTGAGTCTAGGCTGGCGGAGACGACAAGGGGGATGAGTTATGGAGCTATTTAGCGATATTGAGGCCAAGCCAGAAGTCGACAGAGGATACATATGGATCAGGAGCAGCTAGAAAATGAGGGGATATTGAACCGCGCTTATTCTAGTTTCCCTATTTGTCATACAACCGAAGCGATGTAACGGCCATGCTTCGGTCGATACTAGAATGGCAAGGGAAATCCGCATTGTTCCACAAGGAGATTTGAGATACTCTATAAAAGTTACCATCTGGATTATCATGGTAATAGTTGAGCAAATATAGATATGTCTATCAACGGAATAATGAAGAATACAGAGAATAGAGTATCTTCCCCTTCCTGAAAAGGCACGCGACCAGCTACCATAAACGAAACTGCTACAATATATAGTCATAGAAGAGAAGACACGGCTACAAGGCGACAAACCACGAAAATCATTACCATTTCTAACCTATATTACCCCTATTAGAACACACCGATCTAACAGTGCAGATTAGCAAGCTCATAGCCTCCACCCTCGTTGCCCTCGGCGCCGTAGCCGGAGAAAATGCTACTTATGCTCGCCCATGGAATACGGCTCACCAGAGGTTCCTACCTACAACTACGGCAAGAAGCGCGGGTATAAAGATTATCACACCAGTACCAACAGCCACTACTGGAGATCCACCCATGCCCTGAAATCCTGCTTCGTTAGCTGCTGCAAGAAAGCTGACAGAATTGCAAATACATGGAGCTGCGGCCTTTTGTCGAATTTCTTAGAGAGTAATGGGATAGAGTGGGATTCCCGTCGACAATATGCCATGGGGAGGCATTTGATAAGACTGATGGTGAGGAGTTCGATATAAATTATATAAGCTAGGTGGTTTAAAAAGTACAACGATGTATATGTTGATAAATGGTTAGATATGGTGATTGTAATAAACTTAATCCACCACTTTACATATGAAGAGTACAACTGATAAGCCATTGCCTTCTTGTTCATCGGTGTCATCAAACATGTTTGATAGCAAAGAACCTCCAAAACGCCAGCCCATACTTTTCGGGTAAATTGCAAGTACAAATGCAGAAGAAAAAAGTAGCCCTTGCCTGACTAGACGCAACATGTATATTGAAAGAAAGAAAGAAAGGAAGGAAGACACATGAGGGAGGCAATAAAAGCGCAGCCCTATGCCCATTTCCCGAGAAGTGCCATCAACAAAGCCCCAAGACACAGAAGGCCGAAAGCGGATAGGACAGTTTGAATAGGTGCCCGTCTCATTGATGTGCTGAACATAAATTCATGGGCCATCAGCTCGACTAGCGATGTGTAGACAAGAATGCCGGCAGAGATGGAGTCAAAGATGCCGTTGACTATGAGCGTCGTGCGGCCTTCTGGAGGATAGGAGTGACGCACCCCCAAGCCAATGGCAATGGCAATGGGTGTTGATAGGCCAAAGGCAACCGCGAGGAGGTAAGGGGTGTGTCTTTTAGAGTTGGGCCAGGGAATGGTGGCGAGACGGGATCCCAGACCGAGACCCTCGAACGTCTGATGAAACGCAAGGACGATGAATAGCGTCTTAAATTCTTCTCCAGCAACGGCGAGGGTTAGTCCGATGAAGATGGAGTGGAATATAACGCCAAATTCAAGAATAAAAACAGAGGTTAGCTGTGCACTGTAGTCTTCTAGGAGGGTGGTATGAGAGGCCTCGATGACGTCTGAGCCCCCGTCTGATGGGTGGTCGTGGGAGTGGCCGAGGTGATCATGGCCGTGGTTGTGATTGTGACCATTTAACGTCTTGGGTTCGGCAGTGATTACACTTGCTTCAACCTGTGGTTCCGGGCTGGGATGGTCGTGGTCATCTTGGCCGAAACGTGCATATCGAATTACCATCAGCTCGACGAAGAAGAGGATGATGATCGTCATGAGCAGTATGCCTTCGACCCAGGGGTATCCCTTGATGGGGCCTGTCAGACAAGGATGAGAGAGTGCTTCATGTGCAGGAGCTAAGAGATGGATGAAGGAGGTAGCAATAATGACTCCTGAGCCAAAGAACTTGGCAACAAAGAACACCCATGAGGGGAGTTTGGTTTTCGAAGGTGAGTCTGGGTCACGTCGAGCAAAGACAGGCAGCACAGCACCGGCCATAGATCCAACAAGCATGACGAAGATGGCTGCAATCCGCAGGTTGAGCTGGCCATTGTAGTCATTAGAATTGTTGCAAGCCACAAAACTGGCGTCCTCAGCACCATGCCGCCTCTCAAGGCTAGCAGCTAGTAACTGATTCATGATATCTTTGTGGTATATACAGGGTGACGTGGAAAGTAGATATTGTTTTGAGGTGAGGAAATATGGATCTTGAAACCGCCCGAGTTGAGGGAAGAGGAGGCGTTTTATACGCCAGTCTAGCAGTTGGGAGCCAAACAAAAGGAAAAAAATGCCCTCCAACAAAACCAGACTAAATCGATATACGAAAACTAGAGGGAATATGAAAGAAAAGAAAAAGAAAACAAAGTAGGACGGAGAGGAGGGCCTCGTGGAACTAAACAAGGTTGGCTGCAGGTAATGTAGGTATTTCCCGGCCGGAACTAAGAGCAGCCAATTGAGCGTTGGTGCTGGGAGGGCTGTAGCACTCGGCGCATGTATAGATGTATATATATAGCTCCGGGAGGTGAGTTGGAGGGTGAGGGCGTCGGAAAGAGGATGGACGTTGCGAGGGACGGAGTAGGTTGCGTAAGATGGGATCGTCAGTATCACTTTTTATTTCTGCATTTTCATGCTGGCGTTTGTAAGTTCTGTGCCGTTTGTCTATCCTGTCGCCGTAGGCGTCTTTGCTATCCACTCTTCTATTTCCTTTCATTCGTCTCGTCTCGTCTTGTGCTGTCAAACGTTTGGTCCTTATTTCCTTTTGGATGACGAGCTGGCAAGAGAAAAGAAAAAAAAAAGCCGTGCATGAGTACCTTGCGCGCAAGGATGGCAGAATCATGCTGAATAAGCATCACGTGTCAAATCACGGGGGCGGTAAAGAAGGCCTTGGCGACCGCGAGCCCGGGCAAGCAGAAGCGCTATTGGCTGCAAAAGATGTAGGAAAAGCAAGCAAGTAGAGCCCAGTAGGAAAAGGCACCGAGAGACACCGGTGTGGAGGGGGAAGTGCATGATAATACCGCAGATAAGGGAATGGAGTAAAAAGAATACTCGCTTAACGGCTGACGATGAAACAAGCGTGAACACAGGGACACAGACCACAGAGCACTGGGAGAGGGAGAGAGAAAGAGAGAGAGAGCGCACACAGAGAAGAAGAACGTAAAGAGGAGTGATTATTGCTATATTCGGAGGAATTCGCCAGCTGCTCCCAGTTGCGAGCCTGAGGTGTTTTCTGCTGCTTCTTGGCTGGCAGCTTCGGAATCATCCCCGTTTCCGCCTTGCTTGTCGGAGAACTGCAGCTGTAAGTTCATCCCTGCGACGAGGTACCAGGCAAGCATCCCGAAGCCAGCAATCACCGTCAGAGTGGAGGTTATTGCTTCTCGTCGCCTCGACTGGGCGATTTTCATCACAGCTGCTTGCTCCTGCTTAGCAGACACATCTTTGCCCAGCTGCTGGATGCGCCAGCTGGCCCGGATATCTCTCACGATTGGAACGGCATCTGCAAGTACCTCTGCGACCCTAATCCCAATCCCTGCTATAGTAGCGGGTTCAGACTCCTGCCATGGCAATGAGGATGCAGCGCCAACAGACTCGGCTGATTCAATATTCCCGCCATAGCATTTCAATCGCAGCTGGTCAAAATACTGCACCAGTCGCGGTGAATATTTATGCACGCCTTCTCGAAGCCATGACGATGGTGCTTCCGGAACAACAGCCAGCGACAGGTATCCCAGGGCCAAGCAATCTAGACTGCACGGTGTGTCGTCAATTAGCAGATATCCTTTTCTAGCTAACAATTCCTCGAGTGGGCCCACGAATGCCTTTGTTAGTCCGTCTAGCCGGATGCGATTCTGCTGTGAAGTCTTACTTAGCACGCCACTTATTGTCTCGCGGGGCTTTGTAGCAAGGCTCTTTGGTATCTGGCTCAACGCAGAAGGCGGTTGCCGCCCGCCCTGTTTCTCTTTTGCCTCTTCCTCCGCGGCATCCAGGTCGAGAGATGATAGCCCAAGGTGTTCTGCCCGGGACTTCGCCATTGACCGTAGTTGGGGTGGTAATATCCATTGGTTTGGCCATTGAAGGAGGCTTCCATACGCAGGTGCGGTAATGGCGTGGTAGTTCTCGCTTGAGACGTATAGTGAGAGGTCAATTAACGGTTGCCCATAGGATTCAATGAAGCTCGAGAAGCTGTATGTCTCCGGATTAGTCTCCAAATTTCTGGATTGCCAAAATCTGAAATGCACAAACTCACGCAGCACAGTCAGCCTTCTCCTTCTCGCCCATCCATCCATCCAAATCCCATTCCCCTCCGGAATACTGTTTCAAGAAGTCGACGATATTGCGGAATCGGCTGATCCATCGTGAGCCTGTCCAAAGCGCCGGCAGTTCATCTATAAAGTACCAGAGAACATGTTAGAAATGCTCACAAGCCTTCTATTAAAACAGAAATATTGATCGGAAAATGCTTCAATAAGACATGGCAAATACGGGAGGGTATATGTCATACGTGTAGGTACTTTTCCAGGGTCGCTGTCTGCAACAACCACCCATTCGCCTGGTCTACCATTATTTGTGCCGATTGCAAGAGAAAAGTAGGCAATGGCTGCCAGACATTGTGGATCAATCGAAGGTAGGCCAAACGCGGGACCCCAGACGTGTAACTCCAGGACCATGCCTAATATTACAAACAAAAGAGAGACAACAGCAAGAAATGCAAGAAACAGAACGAAAAAGGCACCCCTTACTCTGTCGTTGAGGTTGACGTTAAACTCGACGAATAAGCTGGTATTTTTTTTGCGCCTTCTCAAATTGGGCGCAGAAGCTCAGGTCACGTGTCTGATACTTCCAAGGTTGGAACCACAAAAAGTCGCAGGTATTCAGCTGTTCACCCATAACACATAACACGCGAGACTTCATAGTAAGGATTGTGCAACATTTAACAACCCTGAAGGAGTTGGTGGTTTTCGTGAAACGTTCTTCTCTCGCTTACGCCTGTTTCTAGGATCCTCCGCATCTCCGTCCTTCTCCCCTTCTTCCAAAATTACTGTGTCAATGGGTGTTTCTCCGCTTCTCGCAGCAATGGAAGCCATCAACATCTAGATCGCGAGCTGTTTTGGCCTCCTGCCAGCGCCAGCAGGGGATGAATGCAACATACGTGAGCACCTTCCTAGCCATCAGCGTTACATAGTACAAAAGGAAAAAAAAGGAGCCTATACAAAGGGGAAACTTTGGCTCAGCTCTATTAACTCATCCATATCAACCCCAGCCGCTGCCAACCGTGGAAACCTCGTACTCTGATGCGAGATCTAGCTTAATAGCCATGTGCTATAGCTCCCCATACTTAGAGGCTTGGTATAATATGCGCATGGAATCATTTTTGCAACTGGACCTTGCCTATGATAATACATCAATATATGAAGAGTCCATGTGACGCCCCTTTGGGACCCAGGGCAGATAACAAAAAGATAAAGCAGGATCGGATACGAGAGCAGGATCACAGATACCTTCGGAATTATCGGCTATTACGACTCCTCCACAGTTTCCCCAACATATTCGCGCCATGCTATCGGACCTGAGATGTTGGATGCAACTCACCCACACGAGAACCGGGCGGTGAGGCTGATTGGTACGGTGGTGACAAGCTTGTCCTGCCACTATCTAAGGTGACGATGCTACACATATATGTATCAACTGACTATGACTAATGCAAATCGCGATGTGATGCACAGTAGGAGCAAGGCTACGTGCATGAAGCAACTGATGGCGTCACGGGCAAAACACACCCTCGGTGTCAGCTACCAACCAATGTCCTCGTATGATAATGTAAGTATTCCCGAGAATAGGGATCAATTATACCCTAAGTATACCTCTTTACATGTACGCCTAGAGTACACTCGTAGGTAATACCCGTCCAGTATATATATATATGTATGTATGTATATGTATAAACGAGTTATAATGATACAAACTGCTCCAGGAAGAGGAAGGAGGATGAAAGAAGCAACCAAGATAGCCTTTTTTTTTCCTTTCGGGATGGCAAGCAACCACAGGCTAAGTATTCCCATCTCGAGGAATTAATATATTTAAATGCTGTGGATGCCTGTCTGTCTGTGAGCAGGCGCTTGGAGAATGGCACGGGCCGCGTGCCCGGCCTCTCCTGCAAGTCATGGGGAGAATTCCAAAGCTACCAAGAGACTTCTCGACCAGGCGGCAAAGGGCGGGAGAGCGGGAGGGCGGGATGATGGAAAGGCAACCCTACATAAGAGATATCTATAGCTAAGAAGCGAAATGAAAAGGAATTATCATCAGATATAGCCTTTTTCTTCTTGGGTGCATTTTTCCGCTTTGCCGCTCGTGTTCTCGACTTCACTTTTGGTTTCTTACCCACAAAGGCCCCGTCTCGTACATAAAAAGAAAAACGGTGTGAGATATGCATCCCATGTGCGGGGAAAACCAGAGAGGATACGATACAAATTGGCCGAGAGAGGATAAGTTACATACATAGGAAGACAGCGGATGCGAATGACGCGGAATGATCGAAGAAGAAAAGAAAGAGAAAAAAAAAGATAACGAAAACGAAAGGGCCATATTATGGAGACGCGCTGAGCTGGCGAAAGTAAAAACGTCAAAAACTGTTGGATCGTTGATAATCATACATGGAATCTGTATGTAGCATGGGACAAGGATTCAGCGGAAGCAGGTCCCATGGGAGGTAAGTATGCAGCCCCCCCTTTTACTCCCTCATTTGAACATATTTTTTTTAATCCATGCGCCCCCTTGCGCATTGGGGGTTGGATACTGAGCTGTACATAGAACGTTCAAGCGAGCTGAATGGTTCGGTTATTGGTTTGTATGCATCTGCGTTTGTAAGACGGTAGGAGAAGAGGGTTCGGAGAAACATCCATTAAATAATTGTACATAAGTATGATGACATGAGAGGAACATAAAAAGAAACGTTCAAAGGATAAAAGAAATAATGCTGCTTTTTATAGTACAAGAAAAGAAGAAGCCTCCCAAGAGTTCGCTAGACGATGCGGTTACGCGAGATGGAATCGCATGATTTACCTCGTGTCCGTGGCTTTGTCTGACAGAGAAAGAGAAGAAGAAAAAAAAAACAGGAAGAAAACAAAGACCATCGAGGGAGAGAGAAATGTCAACGGTAGAAGGGCAAATAATAAGAATAAGATGGGAATGCAAAACATCGTAGCCATCATACGGATACAAGGATCCCGACGCAGTCAGATGACTTCATGCATTAAACAGCAGGCCATCCCGCACCTCTCGACAAGGGCCCAACGGCTGCTGTTTCCACCTCAACTTGCACCAAGAAATTGATTGTACAGACACAAGACATTTTTGGACACGAGTAGGTATATGGGAAGATTAGATTCGGGCCGAGTCGATAGTTTCATGCATGAATTGCTATGCTATACCCATCTTCCATCTACCCTGTGTTGTCTTTCTCTCTCGCCGCCAGATGAAGGAAAAAAAAAATGAAATTGTATGCGTGAAATAAAGGGGAGGGGGGAAAATGAAAAGAAAAACATTTCGATCATCCATGGTAACCAGGACAGCTATCCCGTGGCCCGCCAAATTGAGTGTATGAGGCCTTGCCCGTCCACCAACGAAAGTGGGGAGGAAGTATGTAGAAATGGCATTGCTCGACAGTTGGCATGCTTTGAGCGATTTGTTTTTTTCTTGCGTGCCTCGACGAAGAAGGTTAAAAAGCTTGTAAATTGCCGCAATGCATGGAGATGTAACGAGGCATAGTTAACTGTCGGTGCCGGCGAGGCAGATTTGAGATCCTCATGGTATATATATGTATATGCAATATGAGTGGATCGGGGCGGATGCGATATGGGTGGCTCTGGTATAATGTGATGTATGATATACGGTTTGTTTTCCGAAAAAGCTGCGAAATATTTTTCTTTTTGTGAACCAGGGATGCGATGCATGCAGGAAACAAAAAAAGAGTAAAAAGAAAAAGGAGAAGAGAAGTGCACAGAATTATATAATATTATTATGCCGAAAACCAAAAAAACAGAAGCAGAATGAAAGTAGATGATCTTGAAGATGAGAAGGAAAAAAAATTGTATAAAAAAAGGGCCAAAGAAGGCAGAATGATGTATTATGGTCCAACACGGGGTATCTCTAGAGAAATGAATTGCTGATAATGGAAGACGTCAAGGCAGCCGGCTGCCGAAAGATTTGATGATCGATGATGATGTGTAGTAGAAAGTTCGCCATGCATTATTTGAAGTTGTTCGAGGAAAGGAAAGATTAGGACGATTGATGAGAAGCGGAAGATGCGGTTGGTCTCGTTATTGATTGTCTTGTTGTCGTCGTTAATTCTTGTTGACGTTATTTTTTTTTAGTTCATCCCTGTTTACTTTGGGAGAGGCGGTAGAGGGCCCGTTGGTGGTGGTCCCGGGCAAGGAGGGAACTGTGTAGCGTATCCGGCCATTGCGAAGGTGTGTGTGTGTGTGTGTCTGCTCTGACTCCTGTGTATGTGTGTAGGTAGATAGGAGTTGGTATGTTGTTGGTAGTAGGTGGTGTTTATTAGAGTCGTGGATGTATAGTAGTTGATAGACTTGGTAGATGGCTGTCTATAATGTGTTTGGCGTCAAGGTGTGCGGAGTAATGATTAACAGGTTTGGAAAAGACTGGTTGGATGAGATGGAAGATGGCCTATATATAATAAATAATGGGTTAAGAAGAGTTGAAGATTTGGTCAAAATGTAACTTCGTAATAGTCTGGTACATAGGGCTCAGGATCCGCCCCATCAACATGATAAATTAGGGGGGGCCGGCCCAAAAAAAAAAAAGGGTAATTTGCAAATAAAAAAAGAAGGGGAGTGAAAAAAAAAAAAAAAAAAAAAAAAAAAACAGGGCCTGCGGGCTCCACCTGACAACCCAAGGGGCTAGAGAGAAGAGAAGGGAGAAAAGAAGAAGAGAGAAAGCCCCCCAAAGTGAGTCAAGAAGGTACATGCATGTATCTTCGATAGTACAGGATCGTAACAAGAGTATTAACCAGATGGCCCCGTTTTCCTTTTTTCTTTCTTTTTTTTTTTTTTTTTTGCAAACCTCGGCAACCGTTGTTTTCCCTAGAGATGGGATCGCAAGAGGAAGAGGAAGAGGAAGAAGAAAAGAAGGGCTTGCCTCTAAAGTCCTAGTGCCCGCTTTGAGCCACCAGCTTAAAACCAGCGAAAGAGGTGATGAAACCCCTGAGCAGCAGGACGTAACTCTCGGCTTGCCCCCTCTAATAATATTATCATAAATACAACTAAAGGAAGAAGACTATATCTATCACATGAGGCGCAGTTATTATTATATGCATATACATCATAAGGGACGGACTTAAATCGGGGGCAGATGGGCCACCATGTGTTGTGCCACAGTTCCGTCTCATCTTCTTGCTTCTCTCTCCCTCTCTCTTTTACTCAAGAACACTTCCTCTGATGAACAGGGGGTTGGACAATGCACGTCTCGCTTCCATGTGCGAGTTAAGAATATGTGTGACTTTTATGGCTATGTATGACGTGAAGGCATATCCAAGTTGCACGCGAGAGAGGAAACGCAAACACTTGACCTCTGCGTCTTTTTCTTTTCTTCTTCGTCCTCCATCAGCACATTCCATACACGGTTAATACATGTACATAGTTCTACTCTTGTTAGACATTGCCGAACGGCAAAATAAGAATAAAAAAAAATTAAATAAAAAGATAAAACGAGATTGAGAGATATATCAGAACTCGGGTATTAAACCTGTATACTCCTGTATACTTTCTTCTAAGCATGACTCCGACAAGACGACACATACAATGGCAACAAGGAAAAAACAGGGAAACCAAGAGCCAAAAAAAGAAACGACGATAATAAAAAAAAACCAGATCGATGACATAATTTAGCGCCTTGTCTTCTCTCTCCCTTCAGCCCATCCCATCGCAACGACTAAGTTGATCCTCCGTCTCCTGTTCCCTCTATCTCCTCACACCTCTTCTTCCGCTTCTCTTTTGCCCCCCTGCCGCGCGCTCGACTAGCGTTTCATGCAGGGGTTAAAAGAAAAACCTGCAAACTTAATTGCGGACCATGGGAAGAAGAACGAGCGAACCCCAAGGCGAGTTTCGTCTCAGCTTCCTCTTTTTACCTCCTTTCTACGATGTTTAACCACAGTCTCGGGAGCATGAAGGAGAGAAAGGGAAAAATAAAAACAGGGACCATAGATCTGACCCAAAAACGGCAGAAACTTGATGCACTGGCCTGACGTGCGCGACTCAACGCTCCAACGTCATGTCAATCCACCCTCAGATGGCTTACTCATGCTTCTGAGAAACAAGATCGGATCACCTTATTCTTTTTTCTTATTATTGATTGATTTGATTGTCCCTTCGGTTCGAAAAAAAAAAAAAAGGTACTCGGTATGGACGGTATGAATAGGCGATTCGGCCTGAGTCGACTTCTTTATCGGCTTTTGTCCCTTCATCCGCCTTTCAATCTCTTATTCCCCTCAGGACATGCATGAAAAGAAAGCAAGAGAAAAGAAAAAAGAGGCCTGGGCCATCTCTCTCTCTCTCTCTCGCACACCGTGTACATCTGAGCCGCATTACTGATCAGGTGGCTCTCTCGTTAGCTTATCTCAGCGCCCCCCACGTACATAGTACATGCATATACATATGTAATATATGTTATATGCTATCCCCTTCTCGAAGTTCGCCGACGTTTGTCTCTCTGCTCTCTGTATCGCTTCGTATCGAGGACGATAGAAAGGTATCTAAGGTAATATCGGGATCGGAGTTGACGGGAACTTTTCTGGGATTGGTATTATGACTAACCACCCCCTTACGTATGGAATATACATCCCTCATGATATCATCGTCCGCCCTGTATACATAGTACAGTGATTACCTGATAATCCATATGTATAGAAAAATCGGGGGAAGCACATCGCACGAAATTGCCGTTTCAGCTGAATGGAGCCTTGAGCTTGAGCTCGGGGCAGAGAAAAAGGAAAAGAGGATGCACAGAGGAAGGAAAAGAAAAGAAGAGAGAGAGAGATGGAGAGGAAGGGGAAAGAAAAAGAAAGAAAGAGATGGCTCAGCCGCTCTGCGCACCCAGACTTACGAATTCGTGCTCTTAGCATGCTGCATCCTGTACGATGTTCGGCGCCCGGAGCAAGGCCCTGGGAGAGAAGCCCCCTCAGCCCTTGGTTACACCTTGACTGCTTCAACTGAGCTTTCTGCAGGAAAAAAGAAAGAAGCATGCCTTTCTTACGTGCATACCTCTGATCTCCGCCTATCCTCTCTTCTTTTTTTTTTGATACAGGACAGTTGAATAGCATATACATGCTATCTTATTACTCCGTACAACCATGCATAGGGAAAAGACATATCTCGAAATGCTACAATGTGTATCTCTCTCTTTGTGTGCCTGTCGTCTCACCTGCTACAACCGCAGCTTGTTCGGTCCTGGGCAATCTCCAGCCTCGCAGCCCCGAACGAGAAACTTCTGCAAAGGTACATCATTGCAGATGTTTACTTCTTCAGCCTTGTCCGCCTTGAGGAAGACAAGAAACTTCTACTAATGGTATGTTTTGCCCTTTTTAGCGAACGCCATGATTTTACATAAGTATAGCATAATATTACACACGTCCATCGATTAAAAAGAAAAAGGGCTGGACTGTGCAAATATAAAATATTAAAAGAGGATACATAAAGGTACAAAAGGGGTACCTCATTCCAATTATTAGCATTAGCTGCGCCAGACAGCCCTCTCATTGGTCCTTAAAGCGGTGTTGAATCAAGTCCATTGGCTCAATTAAAAAAATAATTATATATATAAGGACGCCCGTCTGGATATGACGGAGATCGAAATCTTAATCAGGGACAGATCATAACCAAGGAAGAGAGCGAGAGAGCGATGCGAGACAATTGGCGCGGAGAGGTGCGGAGCAGGGCTTATTTAATTATCGCCCTGTAATAGTGCTTCAGCGAGATGGGGCCCCGGCTGTTTGGCGTTCGTTTGGAGAAATCTTATCGGCCATTTCCTCGCAGGGGGCCTTCTTATCTCCATGAGAGGGCGAACTGCTGCCGTTTCCTTGTTTTTCCATGGTCTGTATACATGCACACAGACACTGCGCCTCTGTCTTTTCTTCTTCGAGGCGTTTAATATACGGGATTTTCACACAGACCTGGACCGAGGTATGACGTTCACGGCCCTGTCCCTTCCCTTTTGGTCATCGGCAATGGGGGACACGACCCATCACTCCAATATGTAATGCACTGATATACGTAGCATTGGCATAAGCGCTTGGCTGACCGCTTAACCATGCTCCCTGCTCGATGCGCTACGCCTAAGGCATGCAGTCGTAAGCGCTCCTTGCTTATAAGTGATCGGTCTTTTCTTTCGGCATTAGTTAACCAGATCGCCGGATTCCGTCGATGCCCATATTAAGGCAATGGAGTTCATGCTGACGAACAAGGGTTGCCTTACATAATTCTCCTGAGAAAGGGGGATGAGTTCTTGGCCTGATACTGGTTACAAGAGGAACGCATATATGCCGCAGGAACTCGTCGCTTGTTTCAATTGGTCACGAAATCGTTTGACAAGCGTGTTGAGAAACGTGGTTTGTTTGCTTAAAATGGTGATCTGCACCCTATGTGCATATCCATACATCGTCTTGGGGGGACCTATGATTGGCTTGAATCAATAAGGCGAATTGGGGCCCTTTGCCGTTGAGCTTCGCCCAACTTCGCTTGGCTTGGAGAAACCAGCCTTAAACGGGCTAACGTTTCTGGAAGGCGACTTTAATTTCGTTCGGGGACTTTGCAGCGACTACAGGGTAGCCGAAGATCCAATATTTTATGGAGTACTCGTTTAACAAGGGCGAAGTGGTTCGTCGGAAGAAAAAATTTTTTTCGCTCTGCTTCTTAGCGCCATGTCAGGACAACTTTGTACGTAACGGCTTTTGCGTGCTTCTTCAGTTGAAACAGTCACAGGACTTCGCGGCCCCTGAACAATGATTTCCCCCCGCTCATGTGAACAGGAGGGAAAGCGATGTGTGACAAGTTTCGAGCCTCCCAAATCTCCCCTGTTTGCGTTGTTCACCGTTGTTATGCTTAATCTTCCGAGTTTCAGTCAGGTAACGCATACATATCGACGGAGGAGTTCCTCCCGCTGGTTCCCTGTGAGAGAACTCCAAAACGGCGTGATAAAAGATGCTTGCTCCCCTATCGATCTTGGCTCCAATTACTGTATAACACAACGGCTTGCGTTCACATAGCGCTGTATCCCTATTTCCTTGTATAGTGCTTAGCCGGGCTTGGCGAACCGTCGAATAGAAAGCCGAGTTTGCAAGGAGTAAATCATGTAGGTAGGGAAAAGGAGAACTCTTGATGGAGGCCTCCGTATAGTATCACCATTAATCGTCGTACTCTTGAGGTGCCTGCGTACAAATCCACTCTTCCATAAGAGCCTGTCCTGACGTTACTTCGTTCGCTTTCTGAGGAGCTTCCACCGGCTTCCTGCGTTTAATGATGAGGCACAGTACCCAGCCCCATATCCCAAATCCATCATACGTAGTCGTAAGGCCTAGCTTCTTTTTGTCTTCGGCAGGTTCATTTGCCACCCCAACGGTTTCCTGCTCATTTTCATCCGGCCTGCCAGGCGCTTCATCGTTTGCAAAAGGCATTTCCTCATCTTCGTCACTCTCCACCAATATTCTCGCCTCTCCTATAGTTTCCTCTGATATTTGAATTGGTGAGTCATTTGTCCCACTAGTCATCTTGCTCGAATTGCTTGTGATTTGGCCTCTATCGTTTTTGAAAACTTTCTGCCGTGTGAGAAGTGAATGTCGACTCCCGCTCTCCCGTAGAAAGATAGAGACCTCAAAATCATCTTATAATACGGTTAATGTACCGGCCCACATCCATTTTAAACAGGGTCAAGTTACCGACCTTCAACAAGGACATCTTTAACTGGCTTGCTCTTTTTCTTTGCCTTGATTCTTTCATTTTCCTCACGCAACTTAGGTTGCACTAGTGGTCGAATGTTTTCAATCACTCGCTTAAGCTTAGCATCATGGGAGTCTAGCAGCCATCGCGAGTCGGATGGGTTTTCTAGATATATCCGGCATTCAAGCACAGTGCACTTGCTAACGCGTAGGTATCTTCGAATCGGTCCCATCCTAATATCAAACCAGCCAGGCTACAGCACAAAACTTCAGCCTGGAAATAGACTGTTCTTCCATGTACCCGAGGACCCTCGTAGAGTGACCACGTCCTTCAATTCGTTGTGGTTGAAGCCTTGAATGATTTTGGGGTTTCGGGCAGCAGCATGTAGATACAAACAATGCAAACTTCAGCCCTATGTCATCATTGTACATGCTCATAAAGGAACTTCTCCTACCAAAAAGATAAAAGGGCTTGCTTTGCATGTCTCTTCTAGAAATTATTCTCTACCTTAGCTGGAATATAATATCCTCGCCCTGCTCTCTTTTCTAGTGGTCATTACTAAAGTTGATCTTACTCCCCAATACCCTTAACTGGACGGAGCGCGGGGAACGATAACATGGGGCCAACTTCCCCTCCGCCGCTTCCAGAGGGAGTATTCTCCTTGTTGGATACAGACCTCTACAAGCTGACGATGCAATGCGCAATTCTGAAGTATTTCCCTAATGCTTGTATGTGATTTCCCCATCCAACGTTGCTATTCGTGGTTCTGTTATCATGGTGCTAGTGACTCACGACCAACGCGGAACTATCTAGATGTCACGTACTCCTTTACCAACAGAACCCCGGACATGAAATTCACTAGACGGTCGTATAATTGGCTTTTGGAACAAATAGCGAGTAAGCCCTATTATACCATTTGGAGGCAGATTTTACTCAATTCACCGAATTGACCGTTGACCCTCAATGATTACTTGCAGGGCTCGAGGATATTGCGTTGTCAGGGGAGGAACTAGATTTCTTGCGGAACCATTGCCCGTACCTTAACCAGGCATACCTCACGTACCTATCAGAATTTCGTCTCAAGCCCTCTGAGCAATTGGAAGTGTCATTCATACCAATAGACGACACCGGCTCAAAAGACGACCTCGGAGAAGTCAAGATATCAATTAAAGGCTTATGGGTCGAAACAATCTTGTATGAAATCCCTCTGTTGGCATTGACTAGCGAAGCATACTTCAAATTCTGCGATCGAGACTGGGATTACCACCAGCAAGAGGAAAAGGCATTCAGAAAGGGCTGCACACTTCTTGAAAATGGATGCATATTCTCCGAGTTTGGAACTCGAAGACGACGGGATTACCACACCCAGAGCCTGGTGATGGAGGGTCTTACCAGGGCTGCGAAGAAAGCCGCAGAAGACGGTTTCAAGGGAAAACTTTCGGGCACGAGTAATGTCCATTTCGCCATGAAATATGGAGTTGAACCCGTGGGTACCGTTGCCCATGAGTGGTATATGGGAATTGCTGCCATCACAAACGATTATGAGAATGCAAATGAGATTGCACTGCGATATTGGTTGGGTTGTTTTGGTGAAGGAGTCAGTGCTCCCTGGTTTTCTTATATTACTAGATTAAATGCTGATGCAATGCTATCTAGGTCTTAGGTATTGCACTTACGGATACCTTTGGGACCCCAACATTCCTTGAAGCATTCAGGAAGCCAATCCCGGAGCTTACAACCGCTGCTGAAGGTCCAGGGACTACCTTGCCTTCTTCAGGAAATAATACCACAGAGATGGATTCTTTAGCATCGACTATCCCTCCTATTCACGCACCTATAGATGGTACAGCGGGGAATAGTCCAGCAAGAACATATGCCCAAGTTTTCACTGGCGTAAGACAGGATTCCGGTGATCCCGTCTACTTCCTGAAGATGGTAAGGGAGTTTTACGATAAGGAAGGCATCAAGGACAAGAAGACGGTTGTTTTTTCGGATTCCTTGAATATAGAGCTTTGCTTAGAGTATAAGATTGCTGCTGAAGAGTCTGGATTCCAGCCCACCTTTGGGGTTGGCACCTTTTTCACAAGTATGAGGTCCCATATACTTTTTAGTCATGCCCTGTGCTTAACTGATCTTGTGCTTACTCTGAATGAAATAGATGATTTCAAAAACTCTTCGAATGGGAAAAAGTCCGTTCCCCTTAATATAGTTATTAAAGTTTCCAGCGCTGGAGGGCGGCCGGCAGTCAAGTTAAGCGACAACCTAGGCAAGAACACTGGTGATTCAAAAACGGTGGTAGAGGTTAAGAAGCGACTTGGCTATGTAGAACACGACTGGGAGGCTGGAGATGAGTCGAGACGATGGGGAAAGAAAGATGATTAAGGGACCCAGGCTTTTATCATACCGTTTAGGTGAACTCAACTATCTCTCTGATCAGTTTCATACCTGGTGAATTCGCTGTTGTAAATTTACCTTGAGTGCTTGGACCAATATCTGAGAATGATTGAGGAAATGATATAACTTTCTACCAACTTGTGCTGAAAAAGGCCCTAAGAGGGTCATTTTTACGGTGGAACGCTAACTCCATAATATAGCCGCCTTGTGGGTTCATAATTGTGTATGACCTACTCTACCGTCACATTGGTCTATGATAACAACCACTCTGCTAGCAAGCAAGACTCTGACCAGGTAATGGTTGTTGAAATACAAAATGCAAACCTCACTTTACATTGGAGAAAGAATGGACAATCAAGGCTGCAAAAAGGGACTCGATAGATACGATAGTATCAACTTGGATTAAAGGAGAAAATGGCCCAACTCCTTGGCGTTGAATACCAGTTTACTATAGATACCCGTGAAAGACCATTTGAAGGTAGTGAGTGTGTCATCGTTGTCCTCGAAGATGCGGAGGAGCCAGCCAAAATGGGCTGTTCGCTTCTCTTACAGTTACACCAGTTCCTATACCATGCATGGAAAGGAGCAGAGATACATCAGGCCATGGAAGAGAACAGAATAACCGGTATACCAAAGCTCAAGTTATTCAGTGCTACGTTTCACAACCTAGCACGATTTCTATATATCGTCGTTGCGGGGCTAAAGGTACCTAGCTAATATAGACGGAGTCTTGTCCGAATATCCCATAACGAGATGAGGTTATTCGATCTATTGCCCACACGGCAACAAGCCTACTTAAGGTACGGAATCAAGGTACGCTTAGTTTTCTTGTTTCTAAGATCACTGGTTACTGACAATTGGCACAGAGCACACAGCATCTAGCTACATTACCACCCGTATAGACCAGGAGATGAAGAGTGCCAGGGATAACGAGCTACCCAGCGCTACATAGAATGGATACCTAGATCAGAAGGGCCTAATAACCGAGTATATTATACAAAACCTTAACTGAGTTCCTTGTGTCCTCATGCATGGTGATTTACCAACTGAAAACATCATTCTTGATGAAGAGTTCTATATCATGGCGTATAAGCCCTCATCTCTACTTAGTGTGCCTGTTGACCTCATGCAGATGCCCATAGGAGTGTTGACTCTAGCTTCGCATAGATTCTGCGTGTTTTCTTAACTTCTTGGTCCACGACTTCCAGTCAACACACGAGCCAGTTGGAGTTGAACAAGGTAGGGATATCGAAGGGCCATTGGTTTGGAAATCCAATAATACGCCGATTATGTGACGTGATCGAGCGTACTATCTGTCTGCAGTGTATTGAGGAAATCTCTCGTTGCGATGCGATGCTTGATGAGTACAATCGGCTGTTAGCTGCTAAGGAAGAAATTAGGAGATATTGGTAGCTTATGATAGCTACCAAGCTCAAAGTCGACTGCGCCATGGCAGCATGCAACTGGCTGCTGGTGTAATCGCGATGTTTAAACAAGCACGCTCTCCAAAGCCACTTTCTACATACAGCTGTATGTCGTTTCAACTCCACCTGGAATGAATCCCACCAAATCAACTTAGGTTGATATATATCAGGAAACCCTGGGATAAATAGTATGCCCTTCACAGCCCGGCTGACAAGAAAATTCGAGCATGCAGCTTAGCGAGAAGGGGCTGAAAGGACACCAAAGATTATATAAAGATTTGGCGAAGGATGCTTAGGCCGTTAAGGCGGCGTTATGTCTGCGCTGCTACAAAGGGCTTCCTCTAAAGCAGCAACGTAAACCTGCCCAGTTCGGTCTATGCACGTCAGTCCGCGCTAGCGCCAAAGAAGACTAGCGCCAAAGAGCCTCTTCGAACCGCCCGTTTTGCCGCGTAATTAATTAGTCCGAGACTCCTTTTCAGAAACAACAATCCTTCGTCTCCTTTCTTGCACGTCCCGCCAGCCTTTTCTTCTTGAACCTCGCTATCTAGCTGTCTGGCGTTGGCTATAGAATATCACCATAGTTCTCCTCTATAAAATCAGGACGCTCGTCATTTATCCGGGATCTCCACGTCTCCAGCTCCCCTCCAATCGCCATATTTACAACCTACGGCCGCAACCTTGCGCTGGATTCGCATTCAGCCACTCTCCATTTATAGCAACCTTTTTCCTCTTGCGTGTACATACCGCCGCTGCTTCTTTCTCTCTTATTAAACAGAAAGATTTTCTACTGAGCTCTGGTTTGCGTACATTTTTTTCAATTTCGACCTCGACCTTCAACACATAATCGCTACGCCTTTTTTTTTTTTAAAAAAAAAAGAGTAAATACACGCCTTGTTGACCACAGCCAGGCACTCCATATTTCACAATGAGTGTGAGTCGCCACTCTCGTTTGTCGAAATTTGATATAACAGCTGTACTTTTTGACATGAACGTGTGCTTTTTTAGAGGGAGGTTCTGCGGCTAATTAAATTGACTGTTTAGGGATATAACAACCAAGCACGAGGCTACGGCCAGATTGACCATTACTCTGGCTCCGGCGGCCCTGATAACAGATATAACCAAGATGTCGAAGCCGGCCACAACAACTATGGTATGACTACCTTGCTATTGTCGTCATAAGATATTTAGACTGCGGTGATTTGCTAACTCTCTGTACAGAGATGGCACAATACAATCAACCGCCTGCTCAAGACCCCAACGCTATCCTGAACCAGTGCAGAGACGTCGACCGTGGAATCGACGATGTAAACAGATACGTTGATCAGCTCAACACGCTCTACCGCCGTTTGCTCAGCGACGTGGATCCTGCTCGCGAAAATGCCATTCGTGAAGAAGTGGAAGATCTTGCCAACCAAACAAAACGACTTTACCGTAATTTGGTCGACCGCGTCAAGTCTATTAAACAGATGCCAGAATCCGGAAGCCCTCGCAACTCGTCTCAGGTTGGAAAGGTTGAGCGAAGCTTGAAGGCAGCCATCACACGATACCAACAAGTTCAAGCTGATTTTCGAAAAGAGTCTGAGTCGCAAATGGCTAGGCAGTACCGTATTGTTAGGCCTGATGCAACAGACGCGGAAGTCAGGGAGGCCGTGCAGGACAGCTCGAACCAGCAGATTTTTAGCCAGGCCGTAAGATTTTTCCGGATTCTTTTTTCGCTCTTAAGCTTGCCATTCTAATAACTTCTTAGTTGATTCAAAGTGATCGCCGTGGAGACGCCCAGAAGGTGTCACAGATGGTCCGAGCCAGACATGAAGAGATCCAGAAGATTGAGCGCGACTTTGTCGAATTGACACAGATGTTCCATGATCTCGAGGCTATGGTCGTGCAACAAGAGGAACCTATTGCCCATATCGACCAAACTGGAGAGGAAGTTCGAGAGAATGTTGACAAAGCTAACGAAGAGATAAAAGGAGCTATTGACTCGGCTCGTGCCCGTAACAGAAAGAAGTGGTGGTGTCTACTCATCTGCCGTAAGTGCACATATCTCCATTCAAGTTTGCTAGATCATACTAACTCTGCCATTCAACAGTTCTCATCATTATCATCATTGTTGTCATTGTTGTCGTTGTTGTCGTTATACAAAAGAAGTAGAGCTACTGGCTGCTTATTCCTAACCCCGACACATGGTTTAAACTCCTACCCACCACCCACGAAACCTCCCTTTCCCTTTGTACATTTGTTTATACCCTTGTCCTTGAATCAATATTGTAAAATCCTTCTGGGGAACCGCCCAGAGCATTCACTCTGAGTTACTAGAAAAAAATTCCCCTTTCCCTTCCCTTACTATATTTCCCTACATCGACCTGATAGGCCACATCCACATTTACCGTTGGAGCCTCCGTTTTCGTTTGTTCAATTGTCATAGCAGCTACAACATTATCCCCAGCTGTACTATATCAGCTCTTGTGGTTCAGTGACTCTTCTCCTTTGTTGGATTTCTTTATCTGTTTCTTCGAAGAGTACTTTTACCACCATTACTATATAATAATTACTCTTATTTCCTTTCTCTTTTCCTTTGGCTCTTCTCCCGTGTTATCCTTTTTCGTCATGTCTTAAATTTCTTGTATCCCAAAAGAATTGTTGGTTCTATATTTTCGAGTAAACATGATAATATTTTATTTCTAATACATTGGTTAACTGAGCAAGTATCAATACAGAGTACAGACAAATCTATTTATATCAGAACCGTGGGGATGACGCTTAGATGCAAGTGTAACCTTTAAGAGTCAAGACTTAGATGTGCCTTGATACATGGTTACTATAATTTATCTCTTGGACTATTATCCCTTGGGTTAATGCTGAAGCCAACACTAGGGTATAGATCCGCTTATGTTCCATCATATGGCCACACCTAACTCTCTTGTTGCCTTGATGCCCTCTCTTCCTCCTCAGGGGTTCTGGTCTTGAGTTGTAGAGCGTGTATTCCACCATCTCGGGCCATTTCTTCTTTTAGCAGGTTATATACCATTCTGTGCCGGGCAGGTTGGTTCTTTGACGCGAAGGCAGACGAGACTATTGTTACACTTCACAGCGTACCAAAGGCAGTAGTGAGTAAATTATCACGTTGCGCTCCGCGGGTATATTTTACGGCCTTTCTTTATTAAAAGACAAAAACATTATGCGCCTGGATACACACCTGAAATGAGTTTCTGTGGACGTATTTCCTTGCATGGGCGCATGGTGGGCATGGAGCTTGGAATCGTTTCGGATCGTGAGGGTAATCGGCGATAGTTCTTTTGTGACCTATATTCATTTCCCCACAGTTAGCTCGATGCTCAAACTCAGTGAGTTCTTTGCGCTCCCTCCCAGATATAAATGACTCGGCTTTTTCTTGCCTTTTCTCGAATTGCATCTTCCAATGGTGTCTGAGAGGCTGAAGTGCTCGCGGCCATTCTGGGTATTGGAGAGAAAAGCTGCAGGCGCCGCTGGCTTAGTCTAATCGTTCGAAGCATCTGGTATGTGAAATATCAATAGAGGTACAACAGCTTGTGGGCGTTAGTAGCTTGCTTGCTTGTTTGTTGAAGGCTCTCGGGCTTAAGGAGGAAAGAAGCCGGTTGTCGATGAAATAAAAATTAAGCTTTTGGGTTGTTCCGCGACCTTGGGTAAACTTCTTTAGCAAGTTCAACATCAAAGAAGCGACATTACATCGGCCATGACTATATACCGGCGAGAACATGGCTTTACTCTGACCACCTGCTCTAATTGAGAATTTAATGTGATATGGGAAGGAGAAATCATTTCAAAAAATAGCTGCTTGTTACTCCAAACATGATGATGCGACCTGGCTGTCGGCAATATTGTCGAGTTGCGCAGCAGCATTCATGGCACCAGTATAGTGCGAGGTTATGCTCTAAACGGAAGAGCAATCGAGCCCAGCAAATACGATTATTATCATGTCTTCCAAATCTTCCTTTTTTCCGCCCATTAGCCCTTCATGACCAGCTATCGACGTCCGTTGTCCATAGTGCATCAGGGCGCACCTTTAGCTATGGAAATCTTCTCGGGGACGTCACATTAGCTCAAGATAAGCTCGAGACCATTTGTGAACGGCACTCAAAGCCCCTTGATTTACGGGGGAAACCTGTGGCATTTTTGGCAGAAAACAGCTACGATTACGTAGGTACTGTAGAATCTCCTGGATAAACCCCGAGTAAAAAGAATATTGGTATTACGCAAAGGCTAACATTGATTTATTAAAAATAATATAGTTACCCTGCTTTCTATACTGGCCGCTGATGGCATTGCACTTCCTCTTTCTCCTAACTTTCCTGCAGCGGAATTAAGATATATACTGGGTAATTCACAGGCGGAAGTGCTGCTAGCGACAGATAGATACCGGGAGAAGGCAGAACAAGTGCTAGATGGAGAATTGGTGAAAACTCCCATTTTGGAATATATTCCAAAGCTCAACGATGGCGCTATACCTCCAACAAAGGTTGAGTTTCGGGATATGCAGTGCCCGCAGGGCGGAATGATGCTATATACTTCAGGTACCACCAATCGTCCAGTATGTAATGAATGAAACCTGGATTATAGCTATGATTGAGTGCAGACTGACATATACCTTAGAAAGGCGTATTCCTCCCCCACTCTGCGCTAGCAGCGCAGACAAAGTCTTTGGTTGAGGCTTGGTCTTATTCACCAGAGGATAGATTACTTCACATGCTACCACTCCACCATATTCATGGGACGGTCAATGCCATTTTGGCCCCATTACTCGCGGGTTCGTCTATTGAATTTACATATCCATTCAATCCCACAACAGTATGGGAGAGGCTCGCCAAACCATTCTTTTCCTGCTCCAAGACAAACTCGTCGCCTGAAACTATAAACTTCCTCACAGCTGTTCCAACAATCTATCACCGCCTACTAAATACATTTGATTCACTCCCTGATACCATAAAACATGCCGCCAAGAAAGCCATATTGCCCGAAAACCTGCGGTTAAATATTTCCGGGTCTGCTGCATTACCAACGCCGATAAAAAGGTCATGGGCTAATCTGAGTGGAGGCAACGTGCTTCTTGAACGGTACGGCATGACTGAAGTAGGCATGGCCCTCAGCTGTGGGCTAGAGTTCGAAGACAGGGTTGATGGGAGTGTTGGATGGCCACTCCCATCCGTTGAAGTCAGATTATTTGATTTGGACAAGCAAGAAGTGATACGTCCTGGAGAAGAGATAGATCAAGATAAACGTGAGAGAGTGGGCGAAATCCAATTACGGGGGCCGACTATTTTCAAAGAATATTGGCAAAATGAGCATGCTACGGAAGAGTCTTTTACTGAGGATTCTGACGGCAAAGGAAGATGGTTCAAAACCGGCGATATGGCTATTCGAAAGCTGGTGGATGGCGCTGGACAGAGCACGAGTAATTGGGCAAAGGGCCCCTTATATTTCATCCAGGGGCGCCAGAGTGTGGACATTATTAAGGTCGGGGGAGAGAAAGTGAGCGCATTAGAGGTTGAACGGGAGCTGCTTACTCTGTAAGTACTGATTTCCCAACTGCGATCCTATCCCTAGCTAATTTGATGGGTTTGTAGCCCACAAGTTTTGGAGGCCGCTGTTATAGGCTTACAATCAGAGCAATGGGGTCAAAAAGTTGCTGCGATACTGGTGCTAGACTCGAAACACTCGGCAACTGGGTCTCGTGAGGGGAAACCTTGGGGCATACTTGACTTACGGCGTGCATTAAAGGAGAAACTATCCGATTATAAAATACCACAGGAAATGAGAGTACTTGACGGCGGGATCCCGAGAAACGCCATGGGGAAAGGTAAGTTAAACACGCCCCTAACTATTATTGGACTTTTTCCTATACTATATAAGGGCTAATCATTAAATTTTTGATAGTAAACAAAAAAGCCCTTAAGCAAGAAGTTTTTGGAGATGCAGTATAGGGTTATCAGTGATTTGTTGCGTACGATAAAACAAGGTAGGGTTCTGTACATAATTGATAGAAGGGCAACTGTGATGCTATGACTCGATATCTTACACTATAAAAAGACTACCGGGTTGGAAAACACATGGTATGATATTGCCTAAGGAATCAAACGTTATACACGGCAAAAAGGGTATGTATAATCGAGACTACTTTATAAATTGCGACTGGAATAAAAGGAAATGAGCATAACTGCTTAGGACATTAAAAGGTAAAAGCGGAAGACATGTTAAATAAACCACGTTAGCCCCCAATACTAGCTCCTAAGAAAGAATCCAGGGGAAAAGATAAAGCTGCGCCGGAAACATCATGCGCGCGCTGAGACTTCATTAGACTCCATTTTGCAAATTGAGAAAGCGAAATATCCATCTCTACCGGTATTCGCAGTCTTGCCAATGGGAGAGGATGTAGCAACCTCCCTCCCAACGCCCACCACAATTGTCCAGAGAGGAACTGGACCTAGCGATACTGAGTTAATTTCTGGGATAAATTGAATTTCTCATACGATCAAAAGCTCCTTACTCAGACCGTATACTTGGCTTTAGCACGGGTGCTTCCTGAATTGGCACTCTCGGTATGACCAGAGAACTCCAGGAGCTCATTGTCCTTCAACTTGAGAACCTCCTTGAACCGTTTACCGATAGCTAGGAGAATCTTCTGTCCTTGCTCTTGCGTGCGCCCATCCATAGTGGCCTTTCCAACTGTTCTAGTCCATAGACCGATTCTGTAAAAGGACTTGCGCACGTTAACCACGACACCCATGACTTCGTTGTCACCATCATTTTCAAGAGTATCACCAATTACTGTAAGTTGAGCATGGAGCCAGAGTTCATCGATCGGGACTTGGTTTCTGTCCTTGGTGAATTTAAACGAATACGACCATTTGCCGCCGTGCTTGTTCTGTTGATCTTCCCATTCTGGCCTGATACCCTTTTTGAATAGATGGTAATCTGATTTGAAGCTGAGTTGAGAGGTGGGTGCGATATTATTCTGTTATAGGCGAGCGAAATGTCAGAGATCGTGCCCAATATAGCAAGTGAAAAACTGTACCCCTCATTGGGAAATTAAATCTAGACTTACATAAATTCCCCAGAATTCTTCGACTGAGTTGAAGGTAACAACTTCTTTGAGCAGGTCATTCCAGTTGTCTCCCTAAAAGAAGTAAATAGGGTTAGCATTTTCCTCGAGACGTGCAATGACGGGAGGGATAATGCGATATGCAACTCCGGGATGGTGCGCCTGCTCTCTATTACATACCTTGCCACTTGGAGGTTTTGTGAACCACAGAGTCCATTCGTTCATGAGAGGATGTTTAACGTTGAAATTGACGGGGTCATGGAAGACAGTAATCTGTTCATTCTTGTTCTGAGCCTCTGTGCCGTCTGGGGTGGAGTTCTCGTTGTTCACAGCCTGTTCAGGCTTGGTTCCATTTTCCGCCGCCATATTACGAGGAAAGGAGGGTCGGTGGTAGATTGGAGGCGGGCTGACGACTCAGTCGATATACGGGCGTTATATAGGAGTGCTATGGACGGGTGTTGAGAGGACGGCGGGTTTAAAACTGAGGTGAGGTTGAAAGCTGCAGGTCTGACTGATTGAACGATAGGAAGGCTCGATCGTAGCACTACCACACGGCGAGAAAGACGATTCAAGGTTGATATAACGCAGTTAAGCTGTTCTCTGCTCCAGGCAGAATTTGTGGTCTGGAACTTGTGATGTTGGCGTTGAGATCGCGATTCTTTCTCAAAAATTTTTATTTTTATTTTTTTCAATCTTCATTTGAAGCTTTGGGCGGTTGAGTTTGCACTGTTTGCATCTGACTCTCCTTTAATATTTAGATTTGGATAAGCTTGATGACTTGAAGGATATCGTATTAGTACATATCTAAGCTATTCTATGATATAAAATGGCACAAGTTCGTAGGACCGGTCTATGGTGACTCTAGAAGATCGAAGAAAAGGGGAAAGAAAGACGCTATTCGCCGCATGGGAAGTATAACCAGAATCCGCAAAACAAAAATGGACAGATTAGGTGGCATCCTTTTCACCTTTACTGTTTATAAGACTGAGTATACAGTTCCAGCCTGCGAAAGTGACGGTGCGTAGTTAGTAGAGAATTATTATAAAGACAGCTTCCCCCGAGATAAAACATACCAAGGCTGACGAGGTTGACGACAAGAACTCGGTGCTCTAATGGCACAAACGTGAAGTTAGCCGCCTGAACCCATGGCCAGAGCATGAGGTTGGTCTTGTAGGCGGTGCCAAATGATGTTCGTAGCCTCTCCAATGGGTCATTTCCTTCCAAGATCGCCATGGAGGATAAGAAGCAGGTCAGATGCGTTGGAGTGAACAGCGTCTGGTCTGCACACACTCTAGCAACCAATGTAAGTTTAGGGTTCCTGAAAACTATGTTCCGTTGCATGAACTTGTACCAAGTCGTTGCACCTGGCCCGAAAATTGCTATATTAAAAGACCACGCATCAGCATCTAAGATTGTGTAGAGCGCACGTAACCGGAACGAACATACCCCCTCCATAAAGAAGCATTCGACCGGTACGGGCATAATCATGTTTCTCGATTCCGACTCCGTCGACGAGCTGTTGCGCTAGAACATCTCCAGTTCCAAAAAGAACCTACATTTCATTAACAAATTGTAGCTTGAAAGCAGAATCGGAGTAGACTTACAGCACTACCGATGCTCTGTGTGAGCAACGGCCGGGCCGCCAACTTAGCTTGATACCTGTATAAAAAGGTGAGATAATCAGAAGATGATCTAATATCCGGGGGGGGGAAGAAAGGGAGAACTCCGATGACCGGAGAGAGAGAGCGGTACGGGGGAGCTCACCACCGCAGCATTATGAAATCCCCTGCCTTGTCATACAACCTATGGGCGAAGGGATGACAAGCTTCATACGCTCTCGAGTCTTGTAGAGGACGTTATTCACTGGGAATGAAGGCTGTGCCATCGCAGCTCCAACTTCTTTCATCTTTGCGCCTTGCTGGAGCTTTTTTTGCCTGGTGGAGCTGGGCTCGGCTTTATCGCCGGCGATTAACACTTGATCGTCTCTTTAAAGCCGACGCACTTTGAGGGCTTATTTCCACTTTAACGCTTTTCCTCTTTTGAACATAAGCTAGGGCTTAGGGCTAGATAAGAGGGTTCTCTTGTCACTCGCTTAGAGGGGGATTATGTAATGCTCCACATCGGGTTTCTTTGGTTGAACGAAAGCGAACTTGAAGCAAATAAGGGAAGAAAAAAAGAGTGACCTTTTCGACAGCGCAAACCGACAACGACCTTCAAGTCCTCCGAACCCTCTATATTCCCTTCCTACAACACCGTCGATTCGGATACCGACAATCATGGCTGACGCTGCACGAGGAGGACGTGGTGGCTTTGGCTCGCGCGGAGGAGATCGTGGTCGTGGCCGTGGTGGCCGTCGCGGACGTCGTGGCTCCAAGAGCGACGAGAAGGAATGGCAACCCGTCACCAAGCTCGGCCGTCTTGTTAAGGCCGGAAAGATCACCAGCATTGAACAGATCTACCTCCACAGTTTGCCAATCAAGGAATACCAGATCGTTGATTCCTTCCTTCCAAAGCTCAAGGATGAGGTCATGAAGGTACGGATATACACAGTTTTCCCCGCCTCTTTTTTTTTGAGGAACCCGAAGGGATACGGCACGATTAGACATTGGGGCCGTAATGCGCTGGGAGTTTATGGAGCTGTTTTATGCAACTATTTCAAAAGTGATGCTAATGGGGTATATTGTTCCATGGATATAGATCAAGCCAGTCCAGAAGCAGACTCGTGCCGGTCAACGAACCCGTTTCAAGGCCATTGTTGTCATTGGAGACTCCGAGGGCCATGTTGGACTTGGAATTAAGACCTCTAAGGAAGTTGCTACTGCTATTCGTGCTGCTATCATAATCGCCAAGCTCAGCGTTCTCCCTGTCCGTCGGGGTTACTGGGGTTCCAACCTTGGTGAACCTCACTCCCTCCCAACCAAGACCAGTGGAAAGTGCGGTTCCGTCTCTGTCAGGGTATGTAGACTCTTATCTTGCTGTTAAGGGGGATAAATAAGTTCATGTTCTAACTATATAATCCTCTAGTTGATCCCTGCTCCTCGTGGTACCGGTCTCGTTGCCTCTCCAGCCGTTAAGCGATTCCTCCAATTGGCCGGTGTCAGTGATATCTACACATCCTCCTCCGGTTCTACCAAGACCCTTGAGAACACCCTCAAGGCTACCTTCGTCGCCGTCGGTAACTCATACGGTTACTTGACCCCTAACCTATGGAAGGAGACCAAACTCATGCGAAGCCCTCTTGAGGAATTCGGTGATGTCCTACGGGAAGGAAAGAGATACTAAAAAAAGTAAAACAAATAGGATTTTCTTTACCTGTCCCTTTATCTATTTTAGTTAGCGGATAAAATTCCTTTCGAGCTTGTTAGGAGCCAAATGAGATAATGATTTCCATTTGATAGGGATTAACCGCCGGTACTTTGATTGCTTTGAAATGGAAATCTCGGGCTTAACGCAGGCCCTTGTATGATATGTTCACAACGACTGGCAAGAATATGTTATGGACGAGATATGCTATTCCGTAGCCTGTCTCTTAAGTCAGATAGTAACGTGATCGAGGCCATCATGAGACATTAGAGGTTAACAAATAGGATAACGGAATCAAATTATGCATCTGTAATCGTGATTTTTATAGGATGGCCCTGGGAAATAATGCGTTGACCTGCATAGGGTCATGCATGTATGTACAGTCAGACTGCCTGACAAAGGAACGGAGCAGAGAAGCTGCGAATCCAACCCGGCGTATTTGCAAGTTAAGACACCGCTGCGTTTCATATCTCGATAACTCTCAAAAAGGGACTCCTTGCATTTATATTTCGGAGAATAAAGGGAAAAGCGGGCGAGTTTAATGCTTGATGTTGAAAATACATGATATATTAGATGCAACAGCGGTAGCAGACAGGAAACTAGAAGAATAAATATTTCAAATACTCAAGTAGAGAATACAGATGATACCTTGAAGAAGTTATTACGCTTCTCGTCCCTTTCTTTTGGTAACCCATTCCCCCTGTTTGACCCAAGATGGTAGACTGTCATGCAAGTACATATCCCTTCCTGTCTAGATGTACCAGGACTCATCAGGGCAGCAACAACAACACATTTAGCAGCTCTCACAGCGCAAAAATAAAACTCCTTCATATTACAAGTATCACAAGAAAGGGAAAACCCGCAGATATTTATTTGATGAGACTTCTCTCACTCTGCCTTGATACCTCCTTTTCTTGCTTATTATCTTATTATCAATCAGCGGACAAGGTCCACAAGTTCAAGAGCTTGAGCTGACCTTTCACATATAATATCTGCCATTATAAAGGTCCGGAAGGGCCTATATCGTGAAAGAGCTCTAGGACTTAAAGCAAAGCAGTCACTATGGTGTGTTGCCCAGCAGCCTGTTGTCTTGTTAACCAAGAGGGCAGTGATGAAGACAATCACAAACAAATGATAGTAGGTGAGTCAGTGGATAACTTCCATACCTCTCTCTTTTTTTTCCTGGTAAGAAGGTATTTCTATCACCCAGCTGAGAGAAGGTTTGACCAAGTTAACAAGCCTGCTGCTTAGTTCCAAGAATAGCAGCTATTCCACCGTGTCGAAAAGTCGCATCTATCGCGTCAGTGTATCCTCCAACTCGACCAAAGGGAGGTACCTCTTGCCAGAAAAGGAGATCCAGTGTGGTTGATATCGGCTGTCTCCCCTTCAGCCTTAGCAAATCCAAACCATTGGCTTCAGTAGGCCGTGTCTTCATGATTGGTCAGTCGAATAACTCGAGAAAGGGAAATACCGCTAGATCAGCTTCTCGGTCATCTTTCAGTAGCAACATCGCGCTTCTACGCGCCGCATTTTCAAGCAAGCAAAACAACATGAAGGAGTACGAAGATACATTTGACGAACCATTCGAGGATGATGACTCCACAGATGGCTTTGATAAGCCCATCATTTCTTTCCGTGGAGGTGCTGCGTGGCAGTCACTCGACCAGAACTGTGAAGTCCTGGCATTAGACTTGTTTTGGCCGACGAAGAAGAATGGTCCTTTTGATAACCCATTCCGCTCGGATATCATGCCCGTCGAGGAGCTTTCTCCACTCTGCAATTTCAGAAACCTTCGAAAGCTCAAACTGACTGGAATGTCGCGGTCTTATCAGAAGTATATTTGGCAGGCCGTGTGGCTTAACCCTGGCCTCGAAGAACTCGAGTTAGAGATGGCGTTGGAGCCTTGTATTCGGCGTACTTTCAATGCAGACTGGCCATCCATCAAGGGAGATTGGTCATACCGCACTGCGGATGAGGCTTCTGGAGTATACTAGTGAGTGTCTAAATGTCCAATGTGAGATATTGTAACCATGAGATTACAACAGACAACATAGTTCTTTCCTTTCTACGGTAGAATTGAAGGAGCCACAACAAGCTAACTCGTATTTTTCTACCCCAAAGTGGAGAGGCCGGAGAGGGAGAATTGCACAGACGTGCTGGGGTCGGAGAATATTTAGACAAAGAAGCTATCGGCAATGCAAAGGCTAGAGCTTGGGAAATGGGATGTTCCCTTGATCGACTGCCCGTCGTTCAGATAAGCCTCACCGGTTTTGTTGTCGACGCCGACCCATTCTTTATGTGGTTTAACCCACATCGCCTCCGAGTAATCAACTTCAAAAACGACTGTGTCGATGCAGGATTTTCTCTCCCAAGATCCATGGCCGATCGAGTTGTCGTGTCTTGGCCAAATACCGTGGCAGAGTACGCCATGCAGGTTAGACATGTCCAACCTGGAGAGGTTAAACTCATTGATATTCCGAAGAGGAAGAGCAACGGTCCCGCCCTGGAGAAGAGTAAACTTGTGGATATCGCTAAGAAGGGAAAGAAACCAGCTGACAAGGCAGATGAGAGCAAGCTTGTCAATGAGAAGGTCAGTCAATGGAGAAAAGCCAGCATCGGCAGAGAGGATGCGGCTGTTGAAAAAACGAACCGCTTTCCGGACAACGACAGACCTGCGTTCAATATCCGAAATTTCACAAGAACTGGCAAGCTGATCGGAGGCGCCTCCACGCCTGATTGGAAGCCAACTGGCAAGCCCACGAAGAAATAGTTACTTAATACTTTGCTGGCTCGCTGGTTGAACCTTGGAAGTTCGAATAGAGTGATCACGTGTTGCCCAGCAGCCTGCGATGACGTCGTTTACGCCTGTACGAATATCACGACTTTCTCGCCTTTTCCTTTCCCTTCCCTACTTCAACAACCTTGGAAGCTTAAATGTTTTTAATCGATGCTTAATTGGGGGCTTGAAACTACAATTAATAATGCCGACTGTTTATCCGGCGAGTTAATGGCTAATAACTAATCTGAGAACCCAAAAATAGAATAGCTATAAGTGACATGTATTTCCAGACTTTAAGTAGATTGCGAAATAATCACTAAGCACTGTAGCTGAGGAGGTAAGGTGTTGGTAATTTTCAAGTAAAAGGTATAGTGGGAGTCCCGAAATCACATATTGGTATTGGAACAAAATTGGCCTTTCCATAAACTTTTGCGCTGGCGGATTAACTGGGGTATATATGGATTATAGATTAGCAGCGTATTTGCAAGATACCACTCGGTAATTCCAATCTTTGACAAAACCATATTTCAACGGAGAACCAGGTGCTTAAAGTGCATTTTTGTTTTAGCTCCCTGGATGCAGTTATTAGGGTCGTATCCTTTAGAAATCATACGTCCCCGTTTTCTCCCACACGGATATTTCCTTCACCGTTGACACCATTTGCCCAGAAGCCATCTAGAGTGACCACACTGGTTAAACAGCCATATTAGTAACTATAAATATTCCAATTTCCGTATATCTAGGGTTTTCTTACGCGGATCTTATCGTGTCATGGGAGACTAGAAGCCAGTAACCGAAAACACCTTGAAGCAGGATGTCGAGGATAGCATAGGCAATTATCTCTGCATTAATGTTCATCTTTCGAGCATTATTGGAGATTCCCCAGATTCTGCATGTTTCGTTATTCATCTATTCGAAAGAAAATCGAACGAATTTTGACTTACATAGGGTAGATAAGCATAACGACCAGGGAGAAGATTGCAATGGAAGAGTAAAAGTTACGGGCCTTTTGGTCTTTGGCCAGCGTGGCTTTACGGCCCTGGTAGCCCATTTGATACACAACAGTCAAATATGCTAAACAGGCAATTGTGTACCATGCCCACTGGTAGTGTTGATTCATGAATGCACTGCCGAGAGCAGAAACAAACATAATGAGGGACGCAGAGATCGCCACGAGCAAACTGGCTCCATTGATTCCGGATAGAAAGGTAAGGCAGGTAAGAATCAATGGAACTGTCAGCATCCAGTTGACATATCGAATCCAGTACACTTCACGGTAGGTATCTAAGAAGGTATCCGGCGAGTGCTTGCGATGCTCGTGGTACGTATAATGTTTATATGATATTCCGTATCCCATAGCCATTGCGAAGTATGAGAGGAATGAAATCGTGGTGACGAGGGAAACAAGAATATGGAAAAGACGTTTTTGCTAAAATTATATGTTAGAGTATGCACTTTCTCAATAATGGATAGCTAGAGACTTACTGCGGGGACTCTGGCAGCCAGAACATAGAAAACAAGAGACGAAAGTAGCATTAAAATTGCAACAACCCTAAGAAGCATAGTTAGAAAAAGCTTTATGTCTTCATCTTCTGCTTAAGTATAGATCTTACCATAAGCACCGTCGGCCAACTCCAGATGCCTCCTCCATAATAGGACTTGGACCCGGGATAGGGTTGATGGGAGGAACCCCGATATCTCCCATAGTATGCATGGCTTCTTCTAGTATGAAGTATTGATTCAGCGGCCGTTTATCGATCCAGACGATTTTACGGGTCAAAGACAGAGGGGTGCAGGATAAGATGCCATGTAGTGAATGTTAGCAGCAGCATCTATCCCTCTTAAAGTGACCTCCAAGGTCTAAATCTATCGCCTCCTTGGAGGTAAAAATGAGAGTTCCAGAAACCAGGAAATGACTTCATCGCCGTCATCTCTTACGTTGCCACATATTAGAGGCCAATCGGACTCAAAGATTGCTTGGGGAGAGTTTGGAGAAGATGAAGGGATGCTGCCAGGTCATCTTGTGGTAGTACTGCATCAACACTCATTTGATCCTGGGACGTAAGAGGTTATATTGTTGGACAAGGGACTACTGCTGCTAAACCCTTTGCAAGATATACCTATGTAACTTGGCCAGTAAGAAACAAGGCCTCGTATTCTCAAATCCAGGTGTGCTTATGACGTCGAAGTCAACCATTTAGAATATTAGGTATCATATAGTTAGCTAGTTGAGCGTTTCTGCTCAACAACATGAATCTGATTTAATCCACCCTCAAAATAATTTCATGACCAATTAAGTCTAACAGGTTATTTACTGATCCATCCGAGAATTGTAGTATCAACTGGAAGTTCTAAATAACTGGCTCGATTGTAAAAGTTCAGTATAATGTAGCATAGTTGTAATACACAAGAGGTAAAATACAGGAATAAAAAGGGGGTAGAAGTGCGAAATAGATGGTTTTTTCCTATAATGTTACATGCCTTAAGTGACTAGGGATATGGCAGGTTTAAGTGGCAGCAGCTTTATCTGCTTCATTCTGGTCTATCTCGCGCACGACGTCCTCACAGCGATGACAGAGTTCCTCTTCGTCTTTTGGTTTGGTTTCTGTAGGTTTGACTGCATAACGCCAACACCGAGGACATTTGGCTTGGCTTGGAGTATACACATAAGCTTTTCCAGTCTGGTCGTCTGGTAGCTTGAACTCAGAGTGGTACGTCCATTCAGCCTGTGCAAGATCATTTGGCTTAGGATCGGCTTCCGACCCTAAGGTAACAGATGATACGACAAAGAGGTCTGGGAGCTCTGATCGCAATTGCTCAGATAAGGTGAAGCTTCTGGGTAGAATAAGATGCACAAATGATTGTAAAGAGGAGCCCATTTGCTTCTTAGATCGAGCGGTTTCCTGCATAGCCTTTATTGCAGAGTTAGCTGCCACCATAACGGAGTACTCGTATTCCAAAGTATCATTTCTCCATTCGATATTAGGGGACTTCAAGGTTCGTTGAAAAGGGTGCCTCATCACTTCCTTAATGCTTTCAGGGGTATGCTCCCAAGTCTCTTCAACTAGCAAAGGGACTATGGGCCCAAGAAGGGTTTGAATATGCGTATATATATGGAAGAGAGTCGTCTGTGCAGCTCGTCTACTTATTCCATTCTCTGAATCCGCATATAATCGATCCTTGATTGCTTCGATATAGAACGCAGAAAATTCTAGATTGGCCCATTTGTTCATTGCGGTCACTGCTTTGAAGAATTCCATTTTGTCTATTGCTTCCTGACTTGTCTTGACAAGGTTATGGAGCTGTAACAGTGCAATCTTGTCAATCGCATATAGGGATTCGTATGGAACTTCATTCTTTGGATCGAATCCCTGAAGCGCACCGAGAAGGAGTTTGAAAGTCACTCGGAATTTATGAAGACTGATGTTCACTGCTTTTAATACCTGCTGGCCAATAACTACGTCTTTCGTATAATCGCTTCCAGCAGCCCATAGTCGAAGAGCATCTGGGCCAAGCGCATCGTATATTGGAACTTCAAGATTTGGTTTCGGTCCCTTTCCTTTTACCTTCTTGGGCTTAAGTGGTGAGAGCAGTGTGCCGCCCATGATTTCGTCTGGCTGTATCGTATTTCCGATCGATTTGCTCATCTTACGACCATGTTGGTCAAGTGTAAACCCGTGTGTGATTAGTGTTTTGAATGGAGCTTTAAACCCAGAGTTACCACCCTGGGAGAGTTGATGAGATATATATGTCAAGAGACTGGACTGGAACCAACCACGATGTTGGTCGCTTCCTTCAAGGTACACGTCAGCAGGGGCTTTGTCAGGGCTATCATCCTTTAGTTGAGCCCAGCTAGTGCCGCTATCAAACCAGACGTCCATGGTGTCTGTCCCTCGCTTATATTGCGGTGAACTTGAATTGCGAAGGGAAGGTGGGAACCACGCTTGGTCAAATTCATCATCGGTCCACCAGGCATCTATGCCTCGTTCCTCGATTATTTTCATAATATGGGAAACGCTTTCCTTTGTGAGGATAGCTTCGCCAGTGGTGCGGTGATATAATGCCGGTATAGGAACACCCCAAGCTCTTTGGCGAGAAATACACCATTCACTTCGGTTTTTGACGAAAGTTTCTAGTCTTGATTTTCCACTCGGTGGGATAAATTGGACAGATTGCAAGGCTTGGATGGCTTCTCCCCGGATATCGCCTACATCAGCAAACCACTGCTCTGTAGCGCGAATGATGACAGGAAGTTTCGATCGCCAATCGTAGGGGTATTTATGCTTATAAGCATGTTTGTGCATCAATATACCTTTTTCCGAGAGATACTTAATAACTGCAATATTGCCATCTCCAAGGACCGCTTTTCCCGTTAAAAGATCAGGCTGTGTTGGCATAGTAGCTTGGGTAAACCGACCCTCACCATCAACAGGCGCATACGCTGGAATCCCGAGAGCGAGGCACGTTTCGTAGTCTTCCATACCATGGCCTGGTGCGCAGTGAACAATTCCGGACCCAGCATCAGCTGTCACAAAGTCTGCAGCAATTATTCGTTGACTCTCAGCTTCAGGGCCTTTGAAATGAGGACGGTAGGTGGAATCTAACAATTCGGAACCTAGAATAGCAGGCACAATAACCTTAAGATTATCGTCGAGTAGTTCCTGAAGGTATTGTAACCGAGACTGCGCCACTAGGAGCTTGCCATGATGGGCAGAATCCACAATGGTGTATTCAAGGGTAGGGCTAACAGCCAAGGCAGCATTTGCGGGGAGTGTCCACGGTGTCGTTGTCCAAATTACGGCAGATATATCACTATTGGAAAGCAGAGAATTTTCCCGGATCCGAGCTGGTAGATTTTCCAGAGCAAACTTAACCAAAGCTGCGGTTGAGACATGATCTTCCTTATACTCTAGCTCTGCCTCAGCAAGGGCAGTGCCGGACGAGGGAGACCAGTACACTGGCTTGTATCTCCGGTAAATGAGTCCCTTTTCAACCATTTCCAAAAATACGCCCAGTTGTCTACGCTCGAAGTCCTTGTTCATCGTGGTATAAGCATTATCCCAATCTCCCATGATTGCCCATTTTCGAAACCCTTCCATCTGCTGAGAAACGGTCTTTTCTGCGAGCTGTCGCGCGGCAGACCGGATCTGTGCCGCTCCATCTCTTCCGGCTGATCTCAAGTCACCTAATTCCTTTTGGCCTTGAAGCGCTTTCAGCTCAATTGGTAAACCATGGCAGTCCCAGCCAGGCACATATTGTACTCTCTTCCCTTTTGCCAATTGAACGCGACAAATTATATCCTTCAAGATCTTATTCAGGGCATGTCCAATATGTAATTCGCCATTGGCATACGGAGGCCCGTCGTGGAGTGTGAAGCTAGCCGTTGCAGGTCTGTTGCGCTGCTGCCAGCTGTAAAGGTCATCGCTGCATCGTTTGAGATATTTTGCCTGGTCAGCTAATGCTATTCGCGGAGGGAACGTGGATTTGGGAAGCTTTAGCGTCGATGACCAAGATCGAGCGAGAGATCGCGACAGCCCCGGCATGCTCCCCTTGTTGCATCTCTTCTCGCTGTTGGAGTTGCTGATTATAACTGGAAGGAGAGAAAGCTGATTAAAAAAATATACCGGAGTCACAGACGTTTGACTATAACTACCAATATTAAGTTTCAGCCAATAGAAGCATGCTTTATGTGACAATACCGTAACTCAGTGTACAATACAAGCTTTATAGCTAAAAATGTTGAAAATATTGATTTCTCCCCTTTAGTTAATCAAAGTCAACGTCCAAAGTAGATGAAGAGTTCTCTACAATATCCGTACTAAATGGGTTATATAAACGCCTGCCCCGTCCTGTCCTTACCCGGAGAAGCGCCATATGAACAAAATCATCACAGAAGAGGCTAAGTTAATACACGGTCAAACAGTTGATAGACCCATTCTTGAGAACTTCAAAAAGCAAACCAGGGAAGCCATATAGTTCAGTATTTCCCAGTGAACTAGACATTCCAGGGCCGGAGCCTGGTTTACCCCTAGCGGAGGGGTTTTCTTCCCAGCTGCCTAGAAATTCAACGCTGCTACCGGGTGTCTCACCCCAGCCACGATTCAATACCATCCCCCTCTGGAATGAAGCTTCCTCTGCAGGGCTAGAATAGCTACCTCGCCATCGTTCTTTGAGTACTGAAGATACATCCTCGTATGGCGTTTCGGAAGTGATGAATTCCTGGCTAGAGCCAACGTGCAATACCCATCGACATCGTCTGTGTCGGTTAAACGGATATGAACCTGGCACGTTGCCATGTAGCACTAATTTGGTGGTAACAAGTTCCTGCGTACCCCCAGTTGTATAGGATTCTCTTGTGGGGGATCCGGGAGAGCGGCCAGATGAAGACGGGGCAACTAAAACATCAAAACCGTGACTGAAATAGTTATAGAAGCAGTCACTGGGCAGTGTACCCGATTCATGGTGTGCTCTTGGACCTGAATCCTCTTCTGATTCATCCGTTAAGGCACTATCAAAATGTGGATCAATGTCTGAGGAATCAGTAGGAGGAGTTGGTAAGTTGCCTCCACCATTTGTTGCCCCCTGTAAATGTTTTTCCCCTTCACCGTGAATCAGAATCCGACTATCACTCTTTCGATAGATCGCATCCGGGGGTCCCAGCTCCGTAATAAGATCTTGAGGGGTCGTTTCACCAAGAGTAATCCAGAAAGGATTGCTCGACCGTCTTATAAGCTCGATGTGCCCACCCTCATGTACCTTGACAAGCTCCACTTCGTCCGCAACTGATTCCTTATTTTTCCCCATTAACGCGCTCGATCGTGGGTACTGTGGTTGACGGGTAAACAGATTGCTCTGGCCATCAGCCCAAGACGAACCTTGGAATATTGCCATCGAGGTAGCAAAGGAAGCAGCCGAAGAAGACATGAGGGATACAAAATCCCGCTTTTCCGACCACGCACTGTGGAGTAAGGTGAAGGAGAATGCGACTCCCGGATAGGATAAGACATAGGTACCCTGTAGTCCCCCCGCCGCGGGAGGGATATATTCGCCTGGATAAGTAGGTCCAAACAATCTGTTGTATATATGGCGAAATCCAGGGCCAGAGGCCGGCGGATCGGAGGGTGACTTTGAAGCCTTTGCTACATCCTGAGTCTTGTAGACAAGGGCGATTTTGCTAAAATCCAGGACTTCAATCAGGCGTAGTCTTTGGTCAGGCCCATCAAATCGTAGCCGTAGACCGTTCTCTGGCAGTCGTAATATGACAGGTTCTTGCAGAGGCCGGGAGGAGTCGTAGATCAGCTCTAGTGCTGTGTATATCTCAGGAAGAGACTTGAGACGGGTAACAACATGGTGTAGAGATGCTCCGAGAGCTGTAAGAATGTTAACTAGAGCTCGGCCAGTTAGATAGTAGGGGACAAGCTGTACATACTTAGGAACCCCAGTGCTCGACCAGGCAGCACTGGCGCGGGGCTATCTAGAGAGGTAGCCATGACGAAAGATCGCTTGGAGTATCAGCAGCATACTAGATGGGCATCCCATCCATAACAACCATAGGAAGTAGCAAGTCAAGAATCTCTCATCTGTGTGGGAGGCAGAAGACGTCGATATCTTCCCTCCCAAGGCGGCCATCCTGACCTTCCGGGCTCTTTTGTATGAGGTCATCCCCCTTAAGAAGGGCTAAGCATGTGATCTGGGTCATGTGGGATGGATATTATATAAGCATAAAGCTCGGGCCATAGGTAAGTTTGTTTACTTTTTCCCTTTTTGGATTAAAACTGTCTTTGGAAGAAGAACCAGCATCGCTTTTTTATCTTGCAGGGTTTATCTTGACAGGATTTTCTTTTTTGGGATCACTCACGAGACAGCCTGTGTGATACATACATATGAAGGTCTCATTGCTCCATATATCTTGATATATAATTCTGGAGATGGCCGGCGGTACCAGGCCTCAACCCACACGGGAATTGAAAAAGCCAGCATTACGAGGTCCAACTAGGCCACGAGCTTCTGTGGTCCACGAGCGAGTGGAAACCCCGAAGGCATCTTCACGGACGCAGACCCCCAGCGCGACACGAGCGCAGAGTTCGCCTACTGAACAGACTAGCAATAAACGAAAGGAGCGCGATTTCGAACAGAATGTTTCTGGCGACACCAATATCCGCGTCATTGTCCGTTGTCGGGGGAGGAGTGACCGCGAAGTCAAGGAGAACAGTGGCGTTGTTGTGTCTACTGAAGGGGTGAAGGGGACGACGGTCGAAGTGTCTATGGGGCCAAATGCACTGGGAAATAAAGAGTATCAGTTCGATAAAGTCTTCTCGCCTGCAGCGGACCAGGCTATAATATTCGAAGATGTTGTCACGCCAATATTGAACGAGGTATGTCCATCAAGTATTATTTAATGATGAAAGGCACTAAGTTATATGTCTAGATGCTCTCAGGGTATAATTGTACCATTTTTGCATATGGGCAAACGGGGACCGGGAAAACGTATACAATGTCTGGCGATATGACTGAGACCCTTGGTCTGTTATCGGACGGTGCTGGCATAATTCCGCGTATTCTTCACGCCCTATTTAAAAAAATCGAAGACGTCGACAGTTCCGTCAAATGCTCTTTCATCGAACTTTACAACGAGGACCTCAGAGATCTCCTTTCGTCTGAAGAAAATGTCAAATTGAAAATATACGAGGAGGGCGTGAAAAAAGGCCACAATGGTACCATGATTCAAGGTGTGGGCGAAACGTATATTAATTCTGCATCGGCCGGAATTAAACTGCTTCAGGAAGGGAGTTATCGGCGGCAAGTTGCTTCGACAAAGTGCAATGACCTCAGTTCACGAAGCCATAGTATATTCACAATTACCACATTTCTCAAACGAGTTTCGGACAAGGGCGAAGAGTATATATGCAGTGGAAAACTAAATCTTGTTGATCTCGCTGGAAGTGAAGACATTCGACGTAGTGGCGCCGAAAATAAGAGGGCTACGGAAGCAGGATCGATAAACAAGAGTCTACTTACACTTGGGCGAGTCATCAATGCACTTGTTGACAAAAGTCCTCATATACCATATCGGTGAGTTGGCATAATATTTTTGGCGCATGCTATAGACAGCTACTGATGCATTGTAGGGAATCTAAACTTACAAGGCTCCTTCAAGACTCATTGGGTGGCCGTACAAAGACTTGCATTATTGCAACAATCTCCTCAGCCCGCTGCAACTTGGAAGAAACCATGTCCACGCTTGATTACGCTTTTCGGGCAAAGAATATCCGTAATAAGCCTCAAATAAATTCATCTATTTCCAAAAAAGCTCTGTTGCGAGAATTTACGACTGAGATTGAGAAACTGCGAAGTGATCTGATTGCTACAAGGCAGAGAAACGGTGTTTACCTTTCGGCAGAAAATTACGAGGAAATGACCGTGGAAAGCGAATCTCGCCGTATTCTAAGTGAGGAGCAACGGGCGAAGATTGAGACCATGGAAATAAACTTGAAAACAAAAGTTCAAGAGTACCTCGCCCTGACAAGCAACTTCAATGACATGAAAAAAACCAATGAATCAACGCAGACCACCTTAGATCAAACAAAAAGCCTTTTGGAACAAACAGAACTAATTCTGAGCAAGGCTCAGAAGAATCTAAAGGAAGAGACGGCTTTGCGCCATGCACATCAAGCGACCGAACAGAAGTTACACGAAGTTGGCTCAAGTCTATTGTCGGTTATTGATCAGTCTGTTACGGATGTTTCTGGGCTTCGCTCCAAGATCAGAAGGCGATCAGTTCTTCACAAGCAGAACAAGAATGCTTGGGAAGACTGCACTGGCAGGGTACTGGACGTTGCTAAGTCAGTTGACGATAGGATGACTCTTCTCCACTCACAACATTCAGCACTTATAAAAAGCCTCACTTCTCGAGTCGAAGCTTTTGTAAGCAGTGAGCTAGAGGCTCTCAAAAAGAGTCGGGCACTTTTTGCCGATCAAGAATTTTCACTTTCTACGTTTGAAGAGGACTCCAAGGCCCAAAATTACAGGAATCGCGATACTATGAATAAGGTACTGGAAGAAATTAAGGTGCTAAGGGAAGATGTTCAGGTGAAAGTTGGAGAAGGTTTAAATGGACTCTCCTCTGCTGCGGCTAGGATCTCTGGGGAAGTTATACAGGAGCTTCAGCAATTTGACTCCGAGGTATGTTTAAGAAACGTAATAAAACCTGAAATAATTGGCTAACCGTACTAGCTACACTCAATGTATGGTCTTCTAAGCGGCGACTTTACCGATTTGTTCAAATTGATCGTGGACCACCTTCGCTCTCAAAGAGAAGAGGTCGACAGTCTCCGCACGCAGCTCCGGAAGGCCAACGAGAAAGCTATAGAAGCAAATGAAAAAGCGGCTTTGCGATTAGAATCTACGATAACGGAAGAAAGACAAGCCGCGGATGCGGAACGTTCTATCCTTGCCTCACAAATACAAAACCTCTTAAACGAGTCAAGTGACCGACAAGCCGCCCGCTTTAAAGATAGTATCGATAGCGTCAAGACTGAGATGCGAATGTCAGGAGAATCACTTCAACAGTCTCATGACAAATCCTTTGATGCCTTGGATAACTGGGATAGAAAAGAAGACGAATTGCTTCGGAAAGTGCTTAAATCGGAATCGGAATTGAAATCCAAGATGAAGGACCATTTAGATGTGAGCTTTCTTTTACCATCTCTTTTTTACCCTTTCTAATGCTGTCTTAGCTTTTCATATCGCGAAACACATCAATACACAAAACCACCAACACAGTTCACGAGCAAACAGTTCAAATTGTTGATGAGCAAAAGAAAGATATGGCTGTTCAAATGGAAGCCCTAGATGATTTTGTCAGGAGAGCCCGATCCCAGAACAACCAGCACTGCGAGGCAAGCAATGGCGTCGCCCATGACCTTGGGCAAAGGGTCCGAGAAGGGCATCAGCAACAGCTTCAGCACTTAGAGGATTTTGAGGAGCGCGGAGCCACATTCCGTACAACTATGCAATCTGAAAATAAATCACTTGGGGCTCTGGTGAAGAGTGCTACATCTGACGCGAAGCAATCATTATCGGACTTGCAGTCTCAGGTCCAAGCAACGCCTATGGCAGAATACGTCCCAACCGGGACCACCCCTGAGAAGACCACATATAAATATGAAGCCACGCTCCCACGGACGGAATCACACTCCGTTATACTTGCAAGGCTAGGATCACCACGTGGTCCGTCGGCCTCACCATCTCCATCCTATACACCACTAGCCTCTCCTTCATTACGACATGAGCAATCGCCGACTAAGTCGATAGTGTATCATGATTCAGATAACAATGTTGAAGACGAAAAGCCCTTGCCTGCTGATTCCCCTGAGGAATTGGATCCATCATCGCCGACGAAGCTGAGAGAAGTCGATATAAATGTCATGAATAATCCGATCCTAGAGCCAGTGGTTGCTGAAACAGGACACAGCAATGAAAGCTGTAAGGACACTGAACCCCCGCCTCTTAAGCGACATCTTTCCTCGTCCGTTGCAGCTGCATCAAATTTGACTGGCGAGACAAAAATTCCGACAAAACGGATGACTCGCAGGAATGCCAAAGGAGCTGTAGGCGGCGTTGGCGGCGGAAGAGAGAACATTTCAATACCCACTCTGAATGCAAGCTCGAGGATCAATGCAAGGAGAGTGAGAAGCGGCCCTGCGCCTCACTGAGTTTATATTTTAATAGTAGAAAGCAATTTTTTGGTTTCAGGGCTCTTGGATGCTAGTTACATATCAAACGTTTTGTGTATTATGAACCACGCTTACCTTGGATTGTACATTTACTAAACCCTACTCAGGTCATAGGGCAACCTTATACATAATCCTATACATAGATAACCATTACTCAAAGATTTTGGATAGGCTCTCTCATAAGCTCAAAATCGACGCAATAATACATATGATAACTCCACATGAATAACATCAAGAGGTGAATAGATTTTAACAAAACCACAGCCAAACTCCTTTAGCCTAGACAGACGCGAGCAATCATACATAAAAAATAGCCAACACAGTATAGCGACATCATCCATGGGGCAGACGGTAGATAGGCAGAATATCCCTGGTAATCCAATCTCTAGCTCTGATCCTGTTCTTCTGTTTAGGGATTGTCTTCCGGTCTTTCTGCATGTTCCACGACTTGTGCAAATATGTGATCTCCACTTGCTTCGACAACCTTCTTCAGCTCCGCCATACGCCTAGCAAACTGGTCCATCATTTCTTCCAATGTTTGCGCCTGTCCTTGTTGAGCCTGGTGTCGCCCGCTCATTCCATCAGAAGCGAAACCCGAGGTACCTTCGATCATGAGCACCGTATTGCCATCGCGATCTGTTGATGTAGGGCTATTGGAGGAAGAATCAAAATTCGGGGCAGGGGAAAGAGTCGTATTGATCACCTGCCAGGCAGGGGATAGGCTGTGAGCGGATGTTACCTTGAAATCCTGAATGCTACGAAGTGTCGGATTAGGGCAGCCAGACGTCTCCTGGGAATCGTTTTTAGCCACACCCGCCGCAGCGGTAGTATCTCCGGTACCATTCGTAGGTTCCACGTCAAGGATAATGAAATGCTCAGTGGTGGTTTCGGCTTTGGGAGCAGATTTTCCTTTCTTCTTTTCTTTTTGGGAGGTTGATTCCGTGTCCCATGAAGTCCTCTGATTGCTTGCTTCTAGAGATTGAAGGGCAGCTTCGGTTATGATGCCGGTATCATCATCGGAGAATATATAATGTACTGTTGGATGAAAGTACTCAGACGAAGTCGCATCTCCTATAACGGTAAATAAAGGCCTAAATGGAGGATGTACAGGTGCAGAAGTATCTTCTACTGTCTCGTGTGTTTGGGAGACATGACCACTCTCATCTTCGTCCTGTTGTTCTTCTTGATTTCCATGGCTGCTCTGGGGAGGTTGGCTGCTGGTATCATATTCTGTGGGCGAGAATGATAAACCGGCCACTTTGGGCGATAGTGCGGCTGGTGAAGTAGGATCCTTCGGAAGAGACATCTCTGTACTTCAATTCTACATTGCCGGCAATTCCTGCTTTCTCTTGTATTTGTTAAGATGGAAGATGAAGATGGATGGCCCAAAAGAAGGAGGTTGAGGCGGCGATGACATAATCTTTAACTATTAGATCACGTGTTTATGGGTAGTTTTTGACTCTAATACAAAATTTGGAGATATTATGGGTGTGTATTGATTGTAGCGAGATCTATCAATGTACTGAGTAAAGGAAAGGGTATACCGACAATACCTAATCCTCCTGTTAAACGCTGCGCCTAACTCCTGATACCATAAAACACTATTCATTTTGTTTCCATTCGAATTCTAGAATAATTTTGTTAGTAGTAGATGGATGAAACAGGTTACTAATGTAGAACTTACTCTGTCGGCACATAGGGCAGAGACCCTTGGAGGAGTCTTGCTGAATCCATGTCAAGAGACAATGCTAGTTAAAGAGTTAAAAAAAGGTAGTCAAAGCGAAGCAGGTTAGAGTCAAGTCTCACCATATGAAAAGAATGTCCACATTTCCCAATAACTAGAATTCATTATATTAGCCTTTATCATGATGGCCTTCGACATCCCTCCTGGTAGACTCACGTAAGGTGCATTCATCTCCAGGATATTTACATGTCGGACAAGTACCATCGAACTGGACGCGACATATACCACAGACGTCATCCTCGGGCATGTCCCATCGCCATGTTGCAACAGCATTCCACTGCTTGATCGACACTTTCATAGCTGCGACAGCAAGTTGATGTATCAGGAACCAGGGGTTTGTTCGTCCTGGTAAGATGCGATCTGCTTGATACCCTTCTTTTGCATCAGCTACCGTGGACAGCTGTTCATGTCATGGAACATACAGCGTGAAGTTGGACTTCATTCCCTTCTTTCCCCGTAATCCACCTTGCTGCAAATATGCGTGGATAGAGCTTTATCGTGAAACGGAGAAGAACAGCTCATGTCCTACCTAGTAGTAAAGAAGTAGATGTTAATATTTAGTTATCTCGTGACTGGCTTGACTGTTGCCCAGCCAACTTTATCCACACGACCTTGCATCAACTACCTAGACATTAATCAACTTATTAATGACCACAACGTTCACCTTGAGCGGTGCAGCCAGCTTCTTGGAAATCTTCGTTATGTAAGAGCATAGAAACAACCAAGAAGACCCCCGAAAAGCCATCAAACCATGGCTCTTGCAGTTCTTCGGCTCGCTCGTTTCTCACAGCGTGCCTCTTTTTTCACTAGGTCTACACTAGCAGCAAATACCACCCATCAACGGTCTATATCGCTTCAATCCTATGTAGTTACGCCAAAGGAGCTCCACGAGGCCTTGAAACAAAACGCGCCAACGAAAATATCATCCTCTCCTCGGGTTATCCCACTATGCGCTGCCTGGTTCATGCCGAATGACCCAGAGGGCCGTACTGGAACCGAAACCTTCAAGAAGAAAAGAATCCCCAATGCACGCTTCTTCGACATTGATGTAGTGAAAGATACCAAATCCCCCTATCCACATATGCTTCCGTCGAAAGAAGAATTTGCCGAAGCTATGCGGTCAATGGGCATACGTCGTGACGACCGAGTGGTAGTCTATGATACTGAAGAACAAGGCATTCTCAGTGCTCCTCGAGTTGGATGGACCTTGAGAATATTTGGACACCCAAATGTGCATGTCCTAAACAACTTTAGGATGTGGGTTCGTGAAGGATACCCGGTTGAAGAAGGTGAGGTGGCTCCCAACGACACCTCGGACTATATAGTCGACGACTACCATCCAAACCGAGTGGTTCATTTCCAAGAGCTGAAGGAGATGGGTGAGAATTACGGGAAGGAAGGCTCGGAAACGGCGCAGATCTTGGACGCTCGACCAAGGGGCCGATGGGCGGGAACAGACAAGGAACCCAGGGCCGGTCTATCCTCTGGCCATATGCCAGGTTCAACAAGTATACCACTCGGAGAGCTTCTTGATCCGGAAACGAAAGCTTTGCGTTCTCCGGATGAGTTAAGGCAGCTATTTGAGTCAAAGGGGGTTGACCGAAACCGACCAGTCATCACCACTTGTGGATCTGGGGTCACTGCCACCGTCATTGATCTTGCATTGGAGCAAGCCGATTACATGCCTCAGGAGAACAGACGAGTCTATGACGGAAGCTGGACGTAAGTTTACTATCTTGTCCCATGCTCGATAATGCCACTTCAGGTCTAACTATATATAGTGAGTGGGCATCAAGAGTAACTGAAGAAAGCGGCTTAATCCGAAAGATCTAACAGTTGACATCTTCTGGAACTGTAATTTGATTGTCCATTAGTTATCCAAAGATTGGTTACTGCGTTCTATGTATTTTCATAGCATTATTGGTGTATCCGAACTATCTGAGCAGCATAAGGGTCATCCAACAACAACATAGCCATTGTACCTCCTTGCCTTGTATCAATAATTAAATCCATACCTTGCCGCAGTCCTTGTAGTTATTAATTTTTGATATAATTGTTGGTAAGCGGGAAGTTGCCGCTTAGTCATGTGGTCCCCTCCCCGACTATCTTTTTTCCGCAAGTTCTCGACTTCAAGTTTGAATCATTCTGGCTCTTCGAGGCTGTGTTTCTATCTTCAAAGGTTGAAAACAGTCCTTTGTCGCATCCACAGAAACCCGCGACTTCGTCCAGCACTGCATATATGCCTAGCTGGTTAAAGATGCTTGAATTATCCTTCTATCCTGCCTTCAACTATTCCTGTAAGCCGATAGGAATAAAGTCCCCGTCAAAGGCGCTTCTGCCTTCAGCCATATACATATTGTGCAACATGAGTTACTGACAGCATTCCTATTTACTTGTTAGATCATCTAGAAACGTTCTTATAACTGGCACAGATGTGCTTGATTCTGCAAAGATAAAACGCCCTACAAATTCATCAAATACCTTCTCCGCGTCATTCCTCCGCATGGTCCTCGTTTAACAGACAACCATCGCCTCATACTTCCCCGGAAACCCTGCCTCATACAGATTTCACTCTACAAACCATCATGTCGGTTGGTCGAAAGGTATTCCACTGTGTTGTTGATGACACATCTCTTACCACCAACCTCGGAGAAATCAAGAAGTGGACTTCGCAGGATGCTATTGCTCTCATCGTGCCGTTATACAGTATGTGCCGTCAACTCGGCGAGTACCATCGTGATTGCTTCCGATTACCCTCGCTAACTATGTCCAGCCCTCGAGCGCCTCCATGTTTTGAAAAAGGGTGGCTCCCAGAGTGGTATTAACGCGCGCGAGGCCGTCCGTTTTCTTGATCGTGTCACGTCTGGAAAGCATAACATCTCGGCTGACAAAGTGACACTCCAAGGCCCTATGGAACAGTTTGCAACATGGGGAGATGCTGAGAAATATATTCTTCCTGAATTCAAGGAGGAGGCCCCAACTACTCCAGTTCATGATGCCGTTGATTCCGTCACGAAGGAAGAGAAGCCCCCAGCGGGAGACATCCAACCCGAAGCTGCTAGCCCTCATGATCTGAACGACATGTCACAAATGCTTTTGAGCAAATTGAACTTCAAGAAGGAGAAACAACCCAGCTCTGCCTCTGCTGCCTCTGCGGGAACTTCCAGCGCTCCAGCATCACCTACCTCTGGTGGTTCCCGTGCGAGCCCCGAATGCTCGTCCCGTCAACTGGAAGACAATGGGGACTCGGGTGAAGCAGTCACTGGCAGTGATGAAGACACTGATAACAGCGTAAAATACGTTGCTCCGGCTGTTCCTCACGTCTTGAAGCCGCTATTGAACGCTGTGTTATGGCGGTTGCATGCCCTCCCTACCATAGCTACCCAACAGTCTAGCTGCATCCTTGTTACAAATGACAGAGAGACCCAGGCCTGGGCCCAGAAATTCGGTATCATTGTGAAGAATGTTGCTCAGCTTCGTACGTCCATCATCTACGAGGATAAAGAGTTCAAAAATCACTGCAAATACCTGGAAAAGAACCAGAGCCAGAGCCTGAGTCAAGTTCAGGCTGAGCCAAAGCCATTGCTCTCCTACGAGGATGAAAGTGACGAAGATGTCTTGGTTTTCGTGCCACGAAAGCAAGGCAAAGCTGGACAGCAGACGCCAGCACGAACTCCTACCAAAAATACGCCGGGTCGTGGCAACAGAATGGCTAACGGCAATGCAAACGGCAGCGGAAGACCAAGAGCCCCTTCAATCGCTGCTGAAGCTCCGCTTGAAGTTCCTTCAACCCCAATCGACCCTGACTCTTTTAGCCGCAGTATCGGAATGACCAAACAAAACGTCTGCCTGAATGCCAATCCCTCTCCAACACCAGCCAACCGCGGCTTATCTAACCCAAACTCTCGACAAAATGGGAATCGCCGTGGCGGACAGCGTGGGGGAGCATTCAGGGGAGCCGCCCGAGGGCGTGGAAAACTCTGGGTTCCGTGAAAAGACTACTTGTGTTCCCAGCAGCTTCTCTATTCCCCTCTGGCTGCTGGGAGCTGGTACAAAGTTTTTCTCAAGAATTACCAACCTTTCTCGACGGAGCAAAGAGGTTTAAAATGGAAGGATGAAACCGACCGGGATGCGCACGTCTTTTCCTTTTTTTTGAAAAAGGCTTTTCACAATCGTCCATGTTGTCCAATAATATAACGGCTGGTTGCAATGGGTTGAGGGTGCAACTCACTCATTTTTCACAAAAAGTTATCTCCTGGTCTTCTGTCAATCCTAGACTGAGTTTTCTTCTGGGTCTAGGTTGCGTTGATCTTAACATAACGGATCAGCCGTGGCGACGGGAGGAACCTCAACATACGTTGTTTTTCACTATTCGAGGATATGTCGTGGTCCCTGAAGAGCTTTCTTTTGGTCGAAAGATAATAATTGGGTGACCTAACCCGAAGTTTGGAGACGGACCTTACACCAGTATCGCAGTTGATACGCTTCCTCTATTTCTCGTTGCCTGTTCTCACTATCACTTCATCGTTGGCCGTGGTTATGGTGGATATGTCGTTTCGGCAGGGATGCCTTAATGAATTTAGGTGTGGGTTGGACGGGGTTGGTGTCGAGGCCTGTAGGAGAAATCGTTTTGATGGCTTTCCCTACTTCCCTGACGATACAGTGATAAACGATGTTTCCCTAACAGTAGTATTATTCGCAGAGATAGCATCAATGCAGCCGTTCCTTTTCTCAAGTTCAGTTCTATATTCCGTCCGTTTCAAGTCAAACTCATACACAGGAGCAAACTTCTCTACATTATGTACTCAAAATGAGGTCTACAGCCCCGAGTTGTAGTACGATTTTAAAATAAATGATAGTGGACGTTTGTCTAGATTAATTCTTTCATGAGACCGTCCATCAACATTTCTCATTAATAAACTACATATAAGCAGTGGAGGAGTTTGATAGTTGCGAAAAACCAGGAACTTTTCGAATATCTTGTAGTTCCTGCTTATTAGCGATGAAACATGTCACTTCATTCATCGAGAAATCTGCAATTCGGGAGGCTTTCCCTCTTACGAGGTTTAATGCAAAGCTAAGCACGTCCGGGTGAGAAGACAGGAAATGAACATGACACCAGTCCTTGTCGATGTCCATACCGTCAACAAACATTTCCGCAGCGATTGCAGCCGTAACCTCCCTTGTCTTGACATAGGTGCTACAGAGCCCTATGAACAGCGGTGCAAACCGCGGCAGTGGCAGAGTCGCAATCTGGTCAGCAGACATAGAATCGAGTATCTCTTTGCTGTAGGATCCCTGAAACTCCTGATGTTCCTTGCGAGAGATGATATTCTTTTGTAGGGGATTCAGGCCATAGTACTGATCGGTAAATAGGACGATATAGAGGGTTGGTTCGGAGCGAGAGCGGAATCGAGGAAACCCCCTCTTATATTCTGTGTAGATATTATAATCACCTTCCTCCGCGATATTAAGTAGCTTCGTAGATGTAAATATCGACGCAGCGGCTGCAAGGTCGTCCTCACGTACACAGAGTTCAAGGTCCTTTTGCGGCTAAAAGTTAGAGTTATAAAGAGAGCAGAGGAAAACACCCAGAGAAACCCACATGAACTATACGCGGTGCATTGTAGTAGTTGGGAGCAAGTTCACCTATGATACACACTGGGATTCCACCTTTCTGCAGTAGGTCTAGCAACAAGCGAACGATCGAAAATTCCATGTGAGCGGCTGTAAGGTGGTGGTAATAGTACTAATGATGAATGCCTTAGTTGAAGTCCTGAATATGTTATAACTACTAAGTTAACCATGTAAGTTGCCATTAAAAGTTCAATTTGATGCGCCCCAGGCTGAGAACTATTTCTGGACTGTTTAAGTATCTTCATTGAAGTAATTTCTCAACATAACTTACAACACACTCCGTGCAGCGTACCACACTGGCTTTGCGTTCGATCTCTGAGAGAGACTGGCTTTAAAAGAAAATCTCGTCTGATGGCCCTCGCTAGGCTGACGCTACCATGGCAGTTACGAAAAACCACGGCCTTTCAGGTCATGTCCGATCTGCATCTCGAAGTTGGCCAGCAATACGCAAAATTTCACATTGAACCACGAGCCACCCGGTTAATCCTGGCCGGTGATATTGGCCGGCTTGCGGATTATAACGTCTTTCGCGACTTTCTATACAGCCAGTGTGAGAACTTCGAGGCCGTCTACCTCGTGCTAGGCAACCATGAGTTTTTCGGCGTCTCTCGCCAGGAAGGCCTACGCCTAGCCGACAAGCTCCAAGAAGAGCCGCAGATGAAAGGCCGGTTGGTTATAATGAACCAAAGACGTGTCGATATCGAGAACATCACTCTCTTAGGCTGTACTCTACACTCACACGTACCGACTGAGTCAGAGCAGATCGTTAGACATAAGATTAACGACTTCCGCCGTATCCTGGACTGGACAGTTGCGAGCCATAATGCCGAGCACGCACAGGACGTAAAGTGGTTGACGGACGAGATTGATTCAATTAGAAGTACGGAATCCGGATTGAAGCGAAAGATCGTTGTCATCACTCATCATGCCCCTTCGACTAAAGGGACATCTAGACCATCAGATGAGAGTAATCCGTGGAGTTCTGCGTTCGGAACTGAACTCCTGGATGATACGCAGAAATCGTGCTTTGATCATGTGCATTTTTGGATTTATGGTCATACGCATCACTCGTCTGAATCGATACGCGGGCGTGTAAGGCTTGTGAGCAACCAGAGAGGCAATGTGTTTCCAGGACAGAATAATCAACGGCCCGAAAGCTCAGGAGGCATCATATCAAAAATATTGAAGCTAGGGAGGCATAGCAAGCACAATACATTCGATGCGGAAAAGGTTATCGAAGTATAAACACACTATCTTCATGGCGTGAGCATGTATCAAGCAAGCCACTCTGGGACCTTTGATCAAAGATACTTACCTACGTTGCATGTACAAAGCTGCTCTTCCATCTAGATGCTTCATGTTTCCCCTTTTGTCCTTCTCGTTGCTCTGCCAACCGCCGGTCAGGTGACTGGAGCGGGGGCGTGACCTCGCCACGAAGTTGCTGCCCCTAAGTTATCTTTATAGGTACAAGAAGTTGAAGTATCTAACAGTATAAGTCAGTTAGAAGAGATACTTAGAGACAAGTACCTTGAGCCTCGCTGTGTTTATCCTTGAGGCAAGGATACTGGCAGTCGACGTCACTTCTTCTCTCTAGGCAGCAAAAAAACGTCCTACCAACTTTGAACTTCTCGCCCTCAAAAACATTTCTACAGCTAACTACTCACAGCCATATAGCCTCACGATATCGCTAGTGGAAACATCCTACTCGTTCAATACAGATATTAACGCAGCTATCGCCATGTCTGACGCCCCTACAAACTCGACAGTCGAGGTTCCCACCTCCCCTATTAGCGAGCGACGCGACTCTTTAGCGAGGTCTCTCCAGTGCCGTCCGGATGCACAGGACCTGAAGAATAGACATATCCTACTTGATACCAAAGCAGCTCCGTATGTGCCTGCATATCTCTCACTACCTACAGGTCTATAAAGAAAAAAAAAACAAGGTTATAAAAGGAGGCTCATTGTTTTTGATGCTGGATACAGTTCTCTCCAAGCAGCCCAGCAGGAACTCGCCCGCCAGCAGGCCGCTGATGCACTGAAGAGAGGCCTGGAGAGGAGATCTGATCGTGATTCTCTCGTTGAACGTATGTGGCCTTTTTAAATTTCTGGTCATCTATATTCATTTTTTATCTTTTCTTCTTCTTCAAAATATTTGGGTAAGATGTATGGGGTTTTTTATGGTCTGATGCTGAAAATACCGGCCTTGTTTTCGTTTCTCTCAATAGGAAACATCCTTCCTGCATCCAGTGCTGCTCCGGCTCTTCAGGGCCCTGCCCGTGAACTCGAAAAGCACATGCGTGCTGATTCGCTTGAACACAAGATCCAGAACCGACCAAAGCCGGAGGACTTGATCAAGGCTGGAGTTCTAACAGAGGAGGAAAACCCTATCAAGGTCTAACCATCTGAAATGTGTTTTCGAACCTTATATTCGTCGACATCGCGTTCGGGTCCCGTTTTACGCTTGAAGGAATAAGTTCGTTCACTGCGAAAGTTATGGGTGTTGATGTTTATGCGCTCCATGGAATGAAATGAAGGGGGGTCGAAAGTCGACGTGCAGTTGAGTTGATCGGTTGCGTGGATTATCCTTATTTAATTACTTCCAAGTTTTTCAGCGGGAGAATTTGCCTGAGCATGCATTTCGGCGGATCATACTAGGGATATTACAGCCCCATAACCTCCAAATTGAGCCCGCAAGGGGCCACAATAGTAATTAGTGGGTAACAGCCATGTAAAGAATTGAACCTCTTGCTCATCTTTCATGCTCTTTCAGAAACGTCATAATGAAAGAAGCCGTAGCACATGCTGGAGCTTCTCAAGGCATAACACTATCTCATATTGTGATGTCCAGTCCATGGCTCTTGCATAATTGACACCTCCAAAGAACGACGTAAGAGTTAGTGTGACTCGACTGCAGCCGCACTCGCCAAATCAGGCACCCATCCAGATGGGCGTTCCTTTCCTCGAACCAACAACCCGTATACAGCTCTCTCTACCTTTTCAACACTAGCCTGCATAACTTCCATCTTCTTGTCTACATCTTTCCACCCACTCAGGCTGCGAGGGACATCAAGTTGCTCAAACATAGCTCGAAGCTGACGTAGATCGGAAACGACTGCTTCTCCGCCTATGGGCCCTTCGGGTTGTGAGCTATCCTCGACCGTACCGTCAATATTAGAGCCGGCCAAGTTGGCCGTGCTGGTGCCGTTTCCTTGCTTTCCTCCTACCGCTCGGCCGGTGGTCATAGAGGTGATGGCAAATCGCATCATTTCACCGGTTAAATCGTATAGGCCAAGTACATAGTCCGCCTCCGTTACAGCGATACCGGCCGGCAACGACTGCGATACCTCCTCCAAAGTGATGAGTTGTTTCTTTTCGAGATAGCGGTGGAATGATATAGCCTCGATATACTCCTGGATGCCCCAGGTGATTTGATGGTATCGCCAAGCATTTACTCCGGATACATCTGCTTCGATTGACTTGAAAAGCTCCTGGATTTGTTTTATACGGTCGTTTGTTTCTTTCGCGATGTTTGAAGGAATCGGCGCATTCACAACGCGGACTCTAGGAAGGCCATGGTAATTAACATGTATTCCCAATGCTGGTGGCTAGGGAGATGCTACCTCTGCAAAGAGAATATTCTAATGACCAGCACATGGTTAGTTTTTTGTTGTACGTCATAATCCCAACCTTGCATGGAATCAGGTTGTAAATGGAGGTTACGGCATGGGTGGGAAGAGGGTAAGCTCTTTTAAACATACATCTTCTTACTTAATGCCGTGATATCCCGGGAGGCCTTCACGACACGCTCTCTGCGGTCATGATGCTCGTCAAGCTCGTTGCGGAATCCAGTAAAGATCGTTTGAATAGAAGATACGTCGGCTGTGGTGTCCATTTTTTCCGTCTTTGAATGGCCTGATATGAGGTTGCCGTCCCACGCTCGCTTGTTACCGGCCATAGAGGAGTTATAACACGCTGCTTGTCTGCTTCATTCAAGTTGTGTCTTTTTGATATTTCATTCAATCAAACTGAAAGTAAAGCCGGTTCGATAAGCGGGATTACATAAGCTCGCCGCGTTAAACTATATTATTATTCAGCTTAGTCATTATTTTTGAACCAATAAAATATGTCAATACTTAAAGATAGTCCGAGCGCCCCTCCAGAACCGCGCAAGTTTTATCTGGGGTCAACAAACTGCATCAAATCTACACGTCAACCTCCCCTTTTCTTTTTGATAAGAACTCGCCATAAACAAGTGGTCTTTTCTTTTCTTTTCTTCTCTCTCTTCAACACACTCATTCAGGCCCAGTCTTTGTGCATTGCTTGGTTAACGTTACCGAATTAACCAGAAGACCCAAATGTCCTTGTTTTCCACACAAGCGGCAGTGGCTTCATCATAAGGCCATAACGTTAAAACAAATTTACTGGTACATAATATTTGAACGGGAGACGTTGAAATAAGAGCTAAAACCCCCGTAATGTCGTGGTTCTTCAATTGTCCTTTCCGCGTGTTTGCGGCCGCAGTATTACTTCGAGCTGTTCTCCTTTTTTACGGTCTCTATCAAGACTCTCATTCGCCCATGAAATATACCGATATCGACTATTATGTTTTCACCGATGCTGCCAAATTTGTTTCTGAAGGCCAGTCTCCATACGACAGAGCAACTTACAGATATACGCCTTTGCTTGCATGGATCCTGTTACCCACCACCTGGACAAGCTTAGGTGGCCAGCAAGTCTGGTTCTCGTTTGGGAAAGCTTTATTTGCAATCTCCGATATCATTGCCGGATGGCTGATTCTACATGTCCTCCGTTCGCATCAAAAAATGGACATGGAAAGGGCACTCAAATTTTCAAGCATCTGGCTACTCAATCCGATGGTTGCTACGATCAGCACTCGAGGAAGCTCAGAGGGCTTCTTGTGCGTCATGATAATGGCGTTACTCTGGGCTGTATTGGAGAAACGTATAACTCTCGCTGGCGTACTTCTGGGCTTGGGAGTGCATTTTAAAATATACCCATTCATATATGGGGCTTCGATTATCTGGTTTATGGAAAACAAGGAAAACGACAAATACAACAAATCAGAAGGGTTTACTATCAGCAACCTGGCCAATTATGTCTGCCGGCTTCTTACGCCTCAGCGTATAATCTTCGGCTTGACTTCCCTTGGGGTTTTTGCAGCCTTGAACATCTCCATGTACATGCTTTACGGCACCCCTTTCTTACAACATACCTATCTTCACCATGTCACCCGCGTCGACCATCGCCATAACTTTTCCCCTTACAACATGTTACTCTATCTCTCCTCATCTGAAATCTCCCAAGGTATCCCTGGAAATAACTTTGAATCACTTGCCTTTATACCACAATTAGGGCTTTCGGCCATTCTTATCCCGCTCGCATTGGCGAAGAGAGACCTTGCAGGAAGTATGTTGAGCCAAACATTTGCATTCGTTACTTTTAATAAGGTCTGCACAAGCCAGGTATGTGCTTCATTTTAGCAAGTGTACACACTGGTTAGCATATGGCAATTCCTCGCTAACGGTCTATGCAGTATTTTCTCTGGTATCTCATATTTCTACCACTATATCTTCCTTATTCATCGCTCATCAGACAGCCACTCTTCGGAATCACCGTCGCTGCCCTGTGGGTAGGAGCGCAGGTGAGTTAACTTGTTGCCCCCATATGCTCCTATTCATGGCTCTTCCTAATTACTTCATTCATCCAGGCACTCTGGCTTCATCAGGGCTTCCAGCTTGAATTCCATGGAGTTTCAACGTTCGTTCCAGGGTTGTATCTCTCCTCGCTTGCTTTTTTCGCTATAAATATTTGGATTCTTGGGATTATTATTTCGGATATCAATCATCTCCCTCAGGTAAGAGGAGATAATGATCACGGTAAAGCTAATAAACCGAGTCCCGCACCGACCAAAAAAGATATATAGCTTTTGAATTCATTCTTTTTACTTCATCAACTATATGGGTATTGACTCATGTTGGAAAATCAGGAAATATATTATATTAAACCTGGCTACGTATTTCAAAACAGGAGAGAGTAAAAGAGTCCCCACGAGGATAGAAAGAAATCAAACAGGTAATAAGTAAGCAAGTTCGATTGCTCACAAGTCAAGACGCCAGAACCAACGAACAAGCAGAGAGTCGGAATTGCCTAAGATTTTCAGGCCCTTTATCGTACCGCTCCACTTCCCTAAATGTCTCAACCTTTCTTTCAGCGCCCATTTCTCCTGACACCATGCAATATAGGCCAAAAAAAATCAGGTAACTCGACAATCCCTAAAAGGGAGTATGTGAAGAAATGATTTCTTCACGATCTAGCCATGGAAGAAAGTAAGTTTTTAAATAAGATAAATGTTGATGTAAAACGGAAGCAGGAACAGGTATGATGGCTAAGTCCAGTAACGCTTAAACAGAAAGATTATATGTTGACTGTAGTTCAAAGTATTCTGAGGTGGTGACGATATGGTATCAGGAAATAGGTATTATTAGTCAAGGTTTTGACTTGTCGGCGATGATCCTGTAACAACTTGTTTTGATGCTTAGAGGTCGGGTACGTGGATAGGAGCGCGTCCCTGTCCTTGAGTTGATCCCGTAATCTTCAAGGATACCGTTGTTTAGTTCCACGAATTGTGCTTCAGGCCTGCTTTCTTCCAGGGTTTTGAGAATAGCTTCACTCCACACGCCTGTGCAGGTATTGTCAACCAATTGGAAATACGGGTTCAGGAGCCCGCAAATAGAGTCCAGATCTATAAATCGGATACGAATGTATTGAAGCGCTGCCAGTGTACCGAGAGAGTGAATAGCAGCGATGACTAACTTTTCAAATTCGATGATGAAAGACATGTTTGTAATCCCGGATATATCGGTTGGTATTAGGGAGCCATCGTCGGATTCATGGCCCCAGCAGCAGGCCTTGACGACCAGGTCTACTGATTTCAGCTTTGACTTTCTCTGCGAGGATAATACTGCTGCCCTGCCGGAGAGGAAGAGGCTAGCACAGACTTTTCCTGTAAAGGTCAGAGATTCTAGCTGTGGCATTATCGCACCGAAGAGGCGGCAAAGGTGCTTTTCGTCTTGGGGGTTCAAAAATCCACGTGAGCTCGTCTTACTGCAGAAGCCGTCAAGGCTGATGTTAAGACGGGTCAGCTGAGGCGGGAACGTCCTGAGTACCTTTGAGATGGTGATGTGGGCTTCCCGTTTAGACTTGGCGTAGAAGCAGTGCCATTCACGAAGATTCGGCAGGGCTGTAGATATATTCGTCCAATGGCTGTAGTCTCTCATGATGTTCCATGCACCCTTCATAATAAACGTCTGGATGTTAGGAAGTGGGGGGAGCGACTCCAACCCGCTATCTCCCCACGGGTCACTTTCAAAATGCCGGATCATGGGCGGCTTTTTGCAATGTCCACCCTCCAGAGTCATCATCTTTGCGTCGGGGAACTGGTTCGCGACGCTCTGAAATATCTGTTGTAACGTGGCATTGTGACTGGCTGACTTGAAGTTGCAGTTTGTCCGGCTACTGGCGAGCGCGTCCAGGCCGTTCATAAACGCCTCCACAGTGTTCGTTTCGATTACGCCGAAGTTTGCCTGCCCGCTCTCCCGACGGCTGGGAGGTGAAAAATGCGATTTTCTCAACCGGTCGCCCCAAACTGGAACCCAGATCTCGATGTGTCTAACGTATGGTTTAAGGTGGGGGTGCGAGTCAAACCACCTGGCGCATTCTGCAAGACAGTCTGTCGTTCCTTTGATTTGAACTGAAGACGGACAAAATATTAGCCCAGACACGCTTGCCATTGACAACTGCGTAATACTCACTATGACGGTAAATTCTGCCCTGGACCAACGCTCTGTATGCCCGAGACACGAGAGCTAGATCGGATAACGCCTTCCTACGGGGGTGTCGGAGTGCCTTGCTCCAGCTTGACGTAGTAACGGTTGCAGAGGTGATGGATGCCAGAGTCGAGCCACGAACTCCGAGGATGTGATCAAGGATTGTTTCGTGGATTTCAGGAGGTAGGTCGTTGAAATGCGTAGGCAGGTTGTATGTGTCATCTGTGGTCGCTGCATCATCCATTTCTACCTCTGTAGAGCGCGGAGAAGGCGGGAGAAGACTTGATTGAAGGTCGTCTGTCGAGGGCACGGAGAGAGTGATTGTGTGAAGAGGAGCTTGGGCAGAGTTTATCGAGGCCGTCGTCGAGGAGGAGACATCGTCCGGCTGTATATCGACTGACGATAGCATGGTTTTAAGACAGAACGAGTAATTTTAATCTCAAGTGCAGACTCATCCAGTGGCCTGTTTTGTGAAACTGATTTTTTTTTTCTTTCTCAGACCCTACGGTTTAAATAATATATTAGCAAACACGGAAAACAGTGGCTGATGCCATGGTTTATTCCGGATATGACGGTGGTCCATCCTTTTAAAATATGGTTGTTTTACCTGCAGTACCGATCTTTCTTCGACCGTTGTGAGCCGGGTCACCCAGAACCCCCTCACCAACCCTGAAATATATAGTTTTCTTTTTGTTATTTCAGTCGAGATAAGGACACGGGCAGGTCGGGCCAGGCTTTTTTCTTTTTGAAGGGAGAAGTGCCAGGCTGGCGAGACAGACAACCAGGGGTATCCTATATTACTGTTACAGTCGAGATTTTTTTTAAGGGATGGGCAGACGATCAAGCAGGATAAGATAAGGGCAGGACATGTGACTTCCAGGCGCGTAAGAAGTTTTTTTCTATCGTCTCTTCCAGCGGCAATGCAGAGTCGACAAAGACAGAAGAGCGAAAAAGCGAGCGAAGGACGGACGTCGAGAGCAGCGCTGAAGCAAGCAAGCAACCAAGACGAAGACGAAGCAAGAAGAAGAAGAAGCAAAAAGTTGGATTTGAAGTCTGGAGAAGGAAAAAAAAAGCTTGGGCGCGCTGGGAGGAGAAGGCGGTGGGGACAGGCAGAAAAATAGAGTTTCCCAAAGGTGTGACCTGGCAGAAAAGCCATTTTGGGAAGGCGGCGAAGGTTGTCCACGTGGTTTGGGCTTTGATCTCGTGGTCACTTTCTTATAGAAGACAGATGGAGGCGACGATGCAGAAGTATAGAGAGGGAGACGATGCAGAAGTATAGAGAGGGAGACGATGCAGAAGTATAGAGAGGGAGACGATGTGGGGACATAGTATAGAACAGATGGAAGAGATAGATAGACGTGATGAAGAGCAGGGTGAATTGAATCTATTACTATTCTAGTACATATTCTAGGGTCTTCATATAAGTTAGAAGCCAGGACTTTAGAGATAACTGGCACTCCTCCAAGCTATCGATCTCCCTGAGCCATCCACATCTAACCAGAGTAGCACCTTAACACCGTCCTAAAGGCTAGACTTTACAGCTCTCGATCCCGTATACATCAGAGTAGGGGAACAGACTGACTATCGAGAAGAAAGGTCTGTCTCTAGTCCAAACCTATAAGGTCACCGCAATGGCAGACGCTGATGTTGCTATTGTGAAGAACAAGAGCGCCAGGAGTGCTTGGGCTGAACCTGCCATGCAAGCGCTGCCGGCTGCAAGGAACAAGGATCACAATAGGCGCTTTATAGGAGTAACGCTGCCATCTGCTTATTCGTATCCGTAAAAAAAGGCACGGCTTTCAAGGGCGTCAAAAAGTGATAGTCCCGTATCGCGGCTTGGTTCCCCCTTGGATCACCTGCGAAGCTTCCCGGTATCCCGACAGCCGAAAGCCGGGCGGAGACAGTCATCACGTGATATGGCAGTCCAGAGCTCAAGTATACAGATGTTTAAACCAGTTGCGTAGGTTCCGCTGAGTAGGAGGAGAAATATGGTCATCATGCGAGGAGAAGGCGTCTACTGCCATGGGACTTCCGTGTTGCCGCCCCATCCTCGAAGGAGCCAGTTGCCAATCCCCTCATACTGACCGTAGAGAACCTCATCAGGGATGATGGACGTAGGCTCCTCCACCCCGAACGCAAGCTGTGTGTTGTGGTCTATCACCGATGCAAGAGGCAGGTATTCGTCAACAGGCGCTGAAGCGGGGTCCATGGGTGTTTTCAGCTCCGCTAGTATTCCCGCAGTCATCATGTCGGAGACTGTTCTGGCGTACTGGTCGTCTTCCTGTCTGCCCGTGTCGACTATGTCGTGCGGGTAATGAGCCAGCATGACCTCTCCAAGTCGGCATAGGTCAGTGCCAAAGCCGCAGAAGGTTGCCTGTTGATCGGTGGTGAGAGGCGTAGGCTGAGGCCTCTCCGCGGTCCGGGCAGCTTTTGCAGTCTCGTCAATCATGCTTTGCAGGGCCTTTAGGCTGCCGATCGCGGACGGCCAGCGCTTTGAGAGCTCCTTGAGAGAGCTGCATATGATTCGGAGGTCTTGTTGGGCTCGTTCCCACAAGTGCGGGTAGGAATAGCATGACGCGAGACCGACGCCGGATGCGAGGAGATAGAAGGTGAAGATGGGACCGAGGAAGCGGATTTCATCTCTCGCCAGGAAGTCTTCGAATATCCCAGCCACGAAGGATGAGGCGAGGATGGCGGCTGCAGAGGGGATGGTGCCCGGGGAAGAGGCCCGATACAGGATGGCCAGGATGACGAAATATGTGACATGTAGCTGCCGTGCCTCGAAGTGATAGGGCATGAGCACTAGTTTTGACGCTGTCGAGCCTTCTGGTGGGAAGACTCTTTGGAAGAGGCGGAGGTGTTCCGGCAGCTCTCTCGACCATCTGTAGAGGGCATTTTCAATGCAGGTCCTCTTTTGCTGTGTCAGGGCTCGTCGACAGCAGGCCTGGGTAACGTCACCAAGCAAGGATGAGACTTCCACATGTGCTAAAAACAGTGCATCGTCGGCGCCACAGCCATAAAAGTCCTCTGGCGTAAGTGGTCGGACATCGTTGTCTTCTGTGTTGATTGCTCGTGGCCGCCCATGGCTGGCAGATATCAAGCAATCTCTTGCCTGTTAAGAAAAAACATATAAGTCCTCTACCACAGAAGCAAGGAAAAGCAAGGTGATGCTTACATAGAGAGTCCACCACAGCCTCCGCCGTAAGGGGGCCTCTCGTCCAGGCGGGGGCTCCTTGTGTAATCCGATCTGATACGCCAGACCAACCCCGATGCGGCTCCAGAATCCGCTGGTGTTAATCGACACATGCTCTGGACCTTCGGGGTTATACCAGTGCAAGATACACACGGCGGTTATGACGGTGATGGTGTTCTTTTCATACCCAGACCAAAACAGTGCCTTTGCTCGCCGGTAAAACTCATTAGACGAGGCATAGGCTGTGACTGCGGGGGCTGACGACACCCGACTGGCGGCAAGAAAGACTGCCTGGAGTAGCAGTATGGACGGCTGGCTGTCACGGCGCTCCATGAGCCAGCTTCGCTCCACGATGGGCATCCATGACGCACATCGTTTCATGAACGTGTCTATGAGGCCATCCCTGACGGCGCGGGGAGGGAGATCAAACGCATGCTGGAGCTGAAGTATCTGAATGTCTTCTTCCATCAAGCTCTCCGTAGCGACGGCGGGGTATGCCTTTGCGCGATCTTCGTTTATCGGTACCTCGCCTCGTATGTACTCTGACCGGCCCAGGAAGGTCGTACTGACCCCTGAAGCCGACTCGTGTGGCTCCAGCTGCTGCTGCTGCTGCTGCTGCTGCTGTGGCCGAACAGGCACAGAGCCCGAGGTGTTTTGTGAATAGAGGGTGCACCCGTCTGCATCCTGTGTCGCAGCCGATGGAGTCGCAGGCGCCTGGCTCGTATTGTTGTTGAGGTTATTATTATTATGGTTGCTATTATTATTATTATGGCTATGATTGTTTGGCGCCGTGGAGCCGGGCCCCCCTGAGGACTCCGATGTGCCGGAAGGCTGGCCATCGGCAGGGATAGAGCGACGGGGTTCCCATCCTGGATACCCGGCCTCCCGCTGCGATCGCGAGGGAGGCAGTAAAGGGGCAACGCAGAGCTGGTCCGTAGGCGTCGAGTCTGGTTCTTCCTTGGTGTCTGATGCGACCTTCCGGCGTTTTCGCTTGCGTTCGCGGGGCCTAAAAGACATGCGACGAAAAGTCAGCCAGCGTAAATAAACACCACAACGCCGGAGTGTCGATGAGAGGTAGATGAAAAGAAGAAGAGTCATCCATACGAGCATGTCCAGTGATTCCTAGCACAGTTCGAACACTGCTGGCCGCCGTCCGGATATATACAGCGAATCTAGCAACGCCGGCATCATCGGCCTTCGGGTTAGTACAGACGGCAGTAAAAAGAAAGACGAGCAAGCCAGATAAAGATCAGACGAATAGAAAGACGGCGGCGTCACCATCGTATACACATCATCGTAAGGAGATAGGAGAGAGAGAAAGGAGACTTACCTTCTTCTTGTTACAGGCAACACAGGCTGAAGCGGCTCGCAGCCGGGGTGGACTTTCGCCGGCCATAGCGCTGGAAGTCGCCGGAGTGTGTGAAGCCTCGTTATCGCCCATCCAGCCGCGCGCAAAAAAGAAAAAAAAAAGGGGGAGAAAGAAGAAGAAGAAGAAGAAAAGGAAACGATAAGAAGAAGATGCGTTATGAAAAAAAAAATAAAGGGAGAATGAAAAAAAAGGCGGTTTTTCGAAGCGGCAGCCGAGTTCGATTTTCTTCTTTCTTCCCTTTCGCCTTGGGTGGATTTTTGGCACTAAAAATGCTGCCTGGCGAATGGGTTTTCTTTGTGGATTTTGGGGGGGTTAAAAGGATGGTTTACTGTGTAAAAAGGAAGCGGGAGACAAGGATCATGCCTGGCAGTCTTCCATATCGACGAGACGTGATTTGATGGTGGAAAAAGGCGTCCTGCTTATACATGGTATACGATCGGGCTGGTTGGGCTGTGAAAAGAAAAATAAGACGAGAAGAAAATTATCCGAGCAGCCCGCGCGCGCCCGCCGGATGGTTAAAAAGGATAATATTGCTACGGACGCATATCAAACCAACAGGTCACATAATTTTAAAACAAGGGGGATGAAGTCTGCTTCCTCTTCGTCGCTAACTACTGGCGAGATGAATATGTAACCGTGATCTTCAATAGACGTCTGCCATTGTCCGAACCTAATCGGTCGACAGAAATCCAGTACGTCAGGTAGTTGCCGCATCCCGGAGGACGCAGGTCAAGACCGTCAATCTCAGCACATCTTCGGCACAAAAACAACCATGGAGGGAGGGTTGTATTGTAATTTGACATCCGTGCTGGTGGTCGGAGGTATATCTCCTCCTCCTTGCCTGTCTGGGAGAAGGGTGAAGGGAAAAAAAAGGGAGGGATGAAAAATGCCCCCTCGCTGATGTATTACATTATTAGTATAGACGTCAAAAAATGTTATCATACAGTAGAATGGATCGTAGATGCGAAATAAGGGAGGGCACTTTTTTCTTAAAAAAAAAAAAGGCCGAAGAAGGTCGTAAATGCGTATGACGGCGTTAAAAGCTGGACTTAGAGCTCACCACCGTGGGCCTGGGCTGATCCCGGGGTGAGTCGTCCTTTTTTGAACTCCTCGAGGGCCAGGTCGAACCTGGCACCAAATATCCAGGCGACGAAGAACTGCACGCAACATTAGAACGCGAAACTGGGTGGAGGGGAAAGACTGGTGTACGCACCATGGTGAACGTGACAAAGACCAGGACACCAAAGATAGTCAGGATGATGTACATGGTGTCCTGTCTGGCCTCGGCGTCCGCTTTGTCTTTGGCCAGTTCATCGGCTGACTTCTCGTTGGTTAGCCGTCGAGCAGCGGCTTCTGGTGACTGGGAGGGGAAGATGCGCTCAACGATTTTCTCGACCTGGCCGTGTCGGATTAGTATGATATAAGTAGAGAAAGAGAGAGGGGAACCGACATGTCCACAAGCAATACTGATCTTTAGGAAGTTTGGATCCCTGGAGGTGTTCTTCTGGTGAATTGCACGAGCATATCGGCGGAACACGTCGCAGGCCACCCGGACGTTTTGTGTGGAATCTATCATGAGTCGACAGGCTGTTCCCTTGGTTATCTTGATGTTCCTCTCAAACATGGTGCCGTTTCGGAAGCAGAGTTCCAACGTCGAGATGGCCATGGTCTGAGGGATACAGCAGAAGTTGAACACGCTCTGCTCCCTCAGCGCCGAAAGATAGTAGATGCAGTGCTCTACGTGCGAGAGCGCATTGAGAACCATGTCGGAGCTACAGTTCAGAGCTTGCTGGCGGAACTCTGGTTTGAAAAGGTCGCCAAACTCCTTGACGTGTCTCGACCAGATCTCTCTGGGCCAGAAGCGGCGCTTATCGTCGTGGTCTTCTCGCACGTCACGGATAATGTTCGTCTTTTGAAGGAATCGGCCCATGGATATGAACAGCTCCGGACGATCGAGCAGCTCCGGCCGCGCGAAGCCGGCCTCTACAAATAAACGGGTCAGGCCCTCGCCCACCAAACCGGCCACATAGTAGCAGTAAAGGTCATAGTCGTCGATGGTCTTGACTATCTCCTCGTCCCTCTCCCCGCGTCTTGCATAGTCAGCCATGCCGTTGCCCATCTTGTCGGCGATATCCTTGATGATGGCCTTGTAGGCCGGCTTTATCTTCTTGAACTCTGTGATAACGTTGTGGAACTGAACCAGCAGCTCCCGGTCCTTCTCCTCGGGTCGGTTCCCGGTGAAGGACCAGCCATCCTCTTCAAGAATGTCTTTGAATCCGCGTAGTAGAGGTTCTTTGGAGTCAAGCGGTATCGAAGTATCGTCCTCGACCGTGTCCAGGCCGCGAAGGACGAGATAGAACAGACATATAGGCATCAAGAGCTCTGGATGAAGTTCCATAATGACGGCGTAGAAACTTCTGCTGGTGAGCTTGAGGAACTCGTAGCATTTCTTCTCCGTTGGCGTTTCAGACGAGGGGTCTCTCGTGTGTACAGGCTCATGATATGTTGTCCTTTTTTGATTCTTCAGGTCAGCGACATGGACACCGGTGATGCGTGCGCGCGAGTGGGTACAAACCATTGGATGATTGACCTGAGCTCCTGAGGGTGGCAGAGGTAGTAGACGATCTCTGCTGCCTTCATTGCGGCGGTTTATGCAGGTGTCAAGAGAAGTAGAAAATGAAGTATGAAAGAAAAGAAGCTCGAGAACCTGCTCAAAAAACGGGCCCACGTACAGTCAATTACAAGTATACAAACTCAGAAGACCGGATACGGCAGAGTGGAAGAAGATGCAGGAGGAAGAAGGGTGAATTGAGTAATGGTGGTGGGTGGGCGCGGGTCGAGTGTTGTATATAATATGGAGAAAAAAGTCGAAGAGTCGAAGGGGGAAAAGGAGAGAAAAAGTAGGAAAGTTGAAGGTTTGACCCCTTTGTGGGAGATGAGCTTAGTCAGCATCTGCACCATTCAAAGTAGATGGCAAGCTAGATCAGTAGCATCAATAGATCAGTAGCATCAATAGCATCAACATAGCACTATATATATCGTTGGAGTCGTGTGCTATATATTTGTACTAGGAGTGCACAATATCATATCCGACGACCCCTCCGTCTTATTCCATAACGAGCATAGCAACACCATGCAATAACAAATGCCACGGCGAGCATAAGAGCAGCACCTCTTTCAATGGCCTATCCGATACCGACACAGCAACAAGTATCACCGCGTAATGCTTGTGCTGTCAACTATCAAAACGTCTTCTACATGTAAAACACGTGCTTTATGCTTTCGGGGCGGCGAAACGTCCTTCCGAGCCTCTCCCTCCCGACCTCCAAACCTCTAAACTTCCCTATAAGGTTCGTCTGTCAACGTCTTTTCTCTAGTACCTAATTTTCCCAAGCTCTACACCATCCGGGCTGTTCATGCTCGTCTTCGGACCAATCCCTCTGATCCTCCAAGGGCCAACCCCGTTGTGATTTCACTATTTATTGGACTGGACAACCGGCTTCTAATAAAAACCGACCTCAAGGACACCCCACTTTTTGGCTTGTCAAGGATAGCACACAAGGAGAGAAGATAGGCGGGCTTTTATTTTATTTTTTATTTTGACAGGTTCGCAAAGACCGCAGCCGTCGGCCAAAGGGAAAATACTTTGGTTTTTTTTTTTTTTTTGAAGATGCGGTTGAGGACACTACCTCGCCTGGAGCTGCCGGCTGCGGCGGACATGCATGTCCACCTCCGTCAGGATGCCATGATGCAGTTAGTTACGCCCTACATTCGAAAGGGAGGGGTTGATACTGTCTTTGTGATGGTATGCATAATTCCTTTTATATCGTAATCTCTGTTTTTCTTTTTTTTTTTTTTAAAAGGTACGTCGAGTTCTGACCTTGTTCCAATTGCAGCCAAACCTTCAGCCACCCGTTACAACCGTTGCCCAGGCACTAGAGTACAGATCCAAACTTCAGGAGATCGAGCCCAACGTTCACTATCTCATGTCACTATACCTTCATGATTCCATTACCCCGGAAGTCATCAAAGAGGCCGCTGCCGCCGGTATCGCTGGCGTCAAGGTCTACCCCCAAGGTAAGTAAGCTTTCCCCCAAATTTTAACTCAACATTTCTATAACTTTTTTTAGGGGTGACTACCAACTCCGCAGCCGGTGTTACCAGTCTGGATGACTTCTACCCGGTATTTGAGGCGATGGAAGAGCATGACCTCGTCCTCAACTTGCATGGAGAAGTCCCTGATGTCGATGTAATGAATGCGGAAGAGGCATTCTTGCCCACCCTGAAGCGTATTAATGATAGGTTCCCAAAACTACGGATAGTGCTTGAACACTGTACCACTTCTGCTGCCGTTGAGACTGTACGCTCCTGTGGACCGACAGTTGCCGGTACGTATACCACCCTCTATTTTCGATAGCCGAACACGAGTTACTAACGGCCAAGCGGTATAGCCACTATTACCGCACATCATCTCTATCTCACAGCCGATGATACCGTTGATCCACTAGCTTTCTGTAAACCCATTGCTAAGACGCCGGCAGATCGAGACGCCCTTATAAGGGCTATATGCAGCGGGGACTCGAAATTCTTCCTGTAAGTAGCATACCCTTCCACGGCTTTTATAATCGAGAGGCTGACGAGTTTCCATAGAGGAACTGATAGCGCCCCGCATCCGAAATCAGCCAAGGAACAGCCAAAGCCAGCAGCCGGTGTTTTCACCCAGCCATATGCAACACAATATATCCTCCTCGCTTTGGAGGATGCCACCGAGCGTAGCATCATCCAGGAGTCTGCTGTCACTCAAGAACGCCTTGAGGGATTCCTTAGCAGGTTCGGCAGACGGTTCTACAAATTGCCCGAACCAGAGCCAGGGAAGATCATTCTCGAAAGAAAAGGGGAGACCATAGAAAAAACTATCAAGAACGAAGACGGTAGCGTTGAAGTCTCTCTGTCAAGAGGTGGAGCAGAAATCTTCTCCTTGCGTTGGGCTTAAAAATAGCCCCTTATACCCGCTTTATACGCCCGTACCCCATTTATCACAGTTTGATTGTTCACCGTTAATGAATCTTGGGTATCCGATCGTCCGCCACTGGCTATAATACACATATTTTTAGATATCTGACTGATGACTGGTGGTAGAATTTTAATAGACTTGACCCTCTAGATTCTGCTTCCGGGCCTTTTTTGGGCGTCTCGAAAAAAAAAAAAATACGGAGGATATTTCTTGCATCCAGGGCCCCTTTTCTCTCTTAACCGTTTTTTTTTTTTTCTTTCCTGGCTTTATAATTTTCATTCTTAGGTCGAGATAACACCATATCATATCTATAGCAAGATGTAGGTACATCTCGATGATTCTCCTTTGCAAGATGACATTCATTGGCTTATTCACTATAGGACATAGTTATCAATGTATCGCATGGAGTGGTTCATGTAACTACCATGTAATGGTTGAATGTGTCTGGTACGCCGAGGGTGCGATGTCCCGCGCCACAGAGACGGTGACGTTGCAGGCAGAGCGGACAGAGCAGCGGCTGTGTAGCTGCTCAGCTGTTGGTATGTCATGGCCTTAGTGGTTGGTTGACAAGAGAACCTCATCATCTGTGGCTGTGGCTTGTCTTTGTCGGAGATAAAAAAAATAAAACTAAATAAAGATAAAAATCAGCTGTGAAAAACCTTATTGGGAAATATTTTATGATGACGATCGAAAGAAAAAGCTCTCCTTTATTTCACTTCTTATTATAAACAACAACAACAACATCCACACATCATCCTAGAACGGATATCAGCTGAGGTTCTGTCGACGTTCTTTTCCTGTCATCGGTACATAGCGCTCTTTACTGAACTCCGACTTGCTGCTGCCTTGCTCAGCTCCTGCGTCCGAACCGCCCCTCACATCCTTGAATACGGAAGCCTTGACATCGCCAGTTCGTGAGGATGGTGGTAGATACTACATACTATGATGCCCTGGGGGTACCTCCCACGGCCACTCTGCTTGAGATCAAGAAGGCATACAGGAAACTAGCCATCACAACCCATCCAGGTTCGTTCTTACAGCCCCCACCTGGGGCATTGCGATTCGCTACTTACCGTCTGAGATAGACAAGAATCCCGGTGACGAAACAGCACATACCAGATTTCAAGCTGTAATTCTTTCCATTCCTCACTAGCCTGCTAGCCTTTACCGTCATCGGTAAACTGACTGACAACCGTCCGGGACGTTGACAGATCGGAGAAGCCTACCAAGTCTTGAGCGATGAGACTCTACGAAAACAATATGATAAGTTTGGAAAGGATAAGGCGGTGCCCGGTGGTGGATTTGGTATGCGAATACCCTCCTGCCTATGACACTTTAGAACGGGGGTGAACTGACAGAGACGCTTTACAGAGGACCCTGCGGAGCTGTTTAGCATGATATTCGGTGGAGAAGCCTTCGTCGACTGGATAGGCGAGATATCACTAATGAAGGACCTCACCAAGACAATGGATATAACCATGCAACAAATGGAGGAAGATGAAGAGCTCTCAAAGGAGACAGATGCCAAACTCAACGTGAAAGACCCGGCGAAGTCGCAGTCTGGCGAAAAGCCCACCACTGCTACTCCAGCTGCTACCGTTGCCGATGATGAGGAAGCTAAGAAAGAGGGAACTGCTGGAGCTACTAGTGAAGCTGCTTCCGGAACCAGCACTCCTAGACGGAACTGGGGCCAACAAGCGATCATGGATAAATCCGAGGAGGAAGCTAGGATGCAAGCTGAAGGTCTCTCGCAGGAGGAGAAAGAACTACGAAAAAAGGAGAAGAAGAAGGGTCTCTCCAAGGAACAACGGGAACAACTGGCTGCATTTGAGCTGGAGAGGAAGAAACAGCGTGAAGAACGAGTCAACACCCTTGCGCGCAAACTGGTAGATCGACTCAGCGTCTGGACCGAGACTGACAAGGGGCCCGATGTCACTACTGCTTTCCAGGAGAAGATCAGACTCGAGGTCGAGAACCTGAAGATGGAATCCTTCGGTCTGGAAATCCTACATGCCATCGGAAGCACATATCACTCCAAGGGAACGTCTTTCCTCAAGTCACAAAAATTCCTCGGCATATCTGGATTCTTCTCGAGGCTAAAGGATAAGGGTAACCTAGCCAGGGAGACGTGGACTACCATCTCGACTGCACTAGACGCACAAATGACGATGGAGGAGATGGCTAAGCTGGAAGAAAAGGGTGGTGAGGATTGGACCGACGAGAAAAAGGCAGAGTACGAGAAGAAAGTCACTGGAAAGATCCTTGCTGCCGCTTGGAGAGGAAGCAAGTTCGAGATCCAGAGTGTCTTGCGTGAAGTCTGCGATCAGATATTGAACGATAAGGCTATCCGCCTGGAGAAGCGGGTAGAGCGTGCCCAGGCTCTTGTTGTCATTGGGAAATACTTCCAGCAGGTATGCTTTCCCTTCCACAACCATTCTAATAAATAAAGCCTAGCTAACAATGCTTCTGAACAGGCTGAACGTGACCCTAACGAGGAAGGAGAATATATGGCATTTGAAGAGCTAATGGCCGACAGCATGGCGAAGAAAGATGATAAGAAAAAATCGGCAGCCTCAGCAACGGCGGCAAAACAGTCTACACCAAACCCCAGCAGCACTTAGAAAGCGATAATTACCCACACCACTCGTTTGCTGATCGTTTATGTTTTCTAGAAAGCAATCCTCTCTCATTGTTCGGTACTTTTGTTTCCTACCCTGACGAGCTTCTCGTTCTTTTCCTCGTTTTGATATTCCCCTCCCTTACTCGTTTCTAAAGAGATAATTCCATCCTTCACTGACCTTCCCGTTCATTTCCCGGGGAAGAAGTAAAATGACTACTTTCTGTATGTAAATGGTTCATCAAGTAATGAATAGCATGGCTTGGTAGCTTCCGTGACCACGATGTGTATATTAAACAATCTTCTTATACACACTGTTTCTAACAGGGTAACCCAGACCACGAGGGAAGTGGGGTTACAAATAAATGGGTATCATATTATGTACAGATGCAAACGATCTTCTAGTAGCAACAAAGAGAGAAACCGGATCAAAGTAATTATTGCATTTGCCAATCTCCACCGGATAAGGGTGTGCATACCAAAAATCGCATGATGTCGCCAGCAATAAAGAGAGTAGAGAAAACCGAGTTCGAATAACGTATGTGAATGGACCAGTCAACCAACGCCAGTCGCTGTAAAGAAATCCCCTTGCCACGTAAAACCAGCCTATAGTATCTTAACAATAAAAAGGAAAAGCCGTTTGAATGAAGAGAAATGCAGGAATAAAAGTCATGTGTAGAAGGGTCTGGTACATATGAGAAATGAAAAAATTGTGAAGGACGGATTGACCATGGAACAAGATGACAGTGTTATGTCTCTCCGGTAGGTAATGGCAGATCACTTGTATCTCTATGGGGTATAGAGGGAGGTGATTCAAACGCCTCATGTCCTTTGAAAGACGGCATACCAGAAGAAGGCATTGCCATAGTAGGGCTTAAAAGGCCCCGGCTATTACTGAAATAATCGACATCAAACTCGTCAGGACCAAGAACCCGGCCGCCAACTTCTATGTCGCTCACATGGACGCTATATTCTAGCGCCTTCTTGGCTTCGGATATCAAATTCTCTGTCCATCCAAGGCAGCGTTTGATGCTTTGGTTCATCTTCTGGCTATCAATAAGTAATTGTTGATGTCTGGAAAGATCGAGGAGTAGCCGGCTTTCGTCTTTGGCTCGGTGCTTCTCGTCGTGCTCTGCCACACAACCAGAGCTCATATTGTCATCCTCTGAGCTCGAGGGGTCCACTTCATCATCTGTGCCGGTTAACTCGTCACCCGAGTAGCCAGATGACATACGGGAGGTTGAATGGCCATCTGTATCGTCTCCGTCTGCTTCACTGAGTATTGAAAGCGCTCCTCCTGATACTGACCGACGAGTTGATGTCATGGACAGCCTTCCTGAGCGGCTCAAGCGACGGAAACGGCGGAGTTCTGCATTCTGTTTTCGCATTTCTCGTTCTAGAGCCCGATTTATGGCCAGTAGGGACGAGTTGCTGATTTCTAGGTCTAACACTTTTCGCTCCCGCCTTGCGTTGGCAGCTAGCTCATTCATTCTCTGTAGTTCATTACTATCGTCTTTGGATGGACTTGGGGCTCGTGGAAAAAGATGTTGTGATATATCCTCAGATGAAGATGACGGGTTATGTGAAATTCTAGGGCTCTGCTCGGCCGATTCACTCGCGGCGAGGCTTGCACCATCTTGTGCGTGCGTAGGACGGTGTATCAGTGGACTGGCGAGAAAGGAGTGTTTTCGGCCAGCAGTCTGTGTTGAGTCGCAACTAGGGGATTTTACATGACCGAATCTGCGGGGGCCCTCCGATATAGGGTCACTATGGCCGGTGATATTGGACATCTGAGGAAAAGCCTTTTCTTGTGCCGGCACAAGTTTCGGGTTAAAGACATGTTGGTCTGTTGCATTGCCTGTAAACTGTCTAGGTTGGGGCGCTGATGGAGTGGTGTCTTGAAGTCGAGGAGAGAGGAATAACTCTGACGGTTTTATAGGGGTTTGTTGTGAGTGTGCCGGTTTCTTTACCGGTGCCGAAGGTTTGTATGAGGGTTCAGCTGAGCTCGTAGGGCCCTCTGTTCTTCCATCAGCGTAGATGAATGTTTTTGGGGCTAGATATGGATTTGGCGGTGGTTGGGGCTTTGATTCCGTATCTTGACCGGATGTCGACGACCGGGCGTCATCTGCATGAAAGAACATTGGAGTACCGACAGAACTACCGCACGATGATGCTGGCCGGTTGTTTGGCAGGTAACCGTAAGGTTCACTTCCTATGCTCTTTGCCCTTGAGATTCGCAAATTTATACTGGTGTGTTCACGGGGGCTGGGTGACGTCTCTGTGTGATGATTCCCCTTTGAGCCCCCCGGGTTGGCTAGACGGGGAGCCAGATGGCCCGGAGGAGGGGTGATTGCAGCCGGAGATAGGTTTCCATCCTTTCGAGCCTTCCTCTGGCCCGATCGAGGAGTTATATTCGCGTTATTGATGGCGGAGGAGTTGGGGGTCGATGCCTCAGGGGTGCGGGCATTGCTCGGGCTAGGAGAGTCAAAGTGGGCGAGTTTGCGAGGTAGATGAGAATTGAAGCCAGCCAACTTCGGTGTCAGCGGAGATCTGGCGGTTCTAAAGGCAGGGCCAGTCTGTGGGACAAACGGTTTGCCTGCCGTGCTGTTGTTTTGTTTATCTGATAGAGACATCGTGATCAACGGTGAGATAAACAAAGCTCGCTGTAGGACATAGCGAGTGACGAGACGGGGCAGGGTTCATAATGGCCACAGCCAAAACACAAGAGAAAACTCTCAGCCTGAGCGCGCCTCCAAGGCTTCTCAAATCGTCAGCCGTCGTTGTCGTTTGTCGTTGTCCTTGCGATCAGACGTTTTCCTCCCATCAGCAATAATTTCTCGTGGTCTTTTGTCTCCGTCATTAGAGCCACAAGACACTAAAACGGATCTAGCGCCGGCGGCTCCACCAAATATTTTGCATCATCGATTATTATTTTTTTTGTTTTGTTTACTTGTCGGTCGGTATCAGAATCAGACACCCCCTAATTATCTCCAGGACTGCCTGGTGGGCTGGTCTATTATTATTACTTCTCTCGGGTCATGGCTATATATACACATATTATTATGTAGGGTGTAAAGTGCTAGCTGAAAAACGGTCGTTTGCGGGTGCCGTTGGGCTCGACAGCTGCCTTTCTCTTGTTCGGCTGACTAGACGGGTTGTCCTCCGGTTCCAGCGTTCCTTGAACGGCCTCCTTGATGGTCTCCTTCGAAAGGCAGTAATCCACATGTTGGTTGAACTCTGCATGGTCCGTAGGCTGCGGGATCGAGCATATTGGACAGGGCCACTTTTCCAGTCTAGCCGTCTTTGCAGTATCAGAATCCCCGTCGTTTCTAGTTCGTTGTGTTTTGTCGCTTGATTCCAGTTCCTGGCTGAGGTTTTCCAGGCTCTCCATGTCATCCATGCGTTCCTGGGATGCCGCGGCCTCGAATTCCTCCTCCGTGCTTACTATGGTCTCGTTGCCGGTCTCGGGGCTCGCGGCTGTTGTCTGGGTAAAATCGCTCCTGTTAAAGAAGTTGAAGGCTTCCCTTTTTGTGCTGACCAAGTTTGTACAGCGAAGCCCCATCAGGCGGATTTTCATCTGGGGCCTCTCCTTGTATAATTTTGCCAATAGCGGAAGTGAATACTTGTAGAGATCGCCAGCCAGCATGAGAGGCTTCGGGGCAACGGTTTGTCGGGATAACACTTCAAACGTATGGAGCTTTACTTTCAACACAAGGGTGCGGCCTTTTGTTTCGGCAGATCGTAAGTCTTTCTCCAGTTCTGAGGCTGTCCACTTCAGTTTCTCTTGAAGTTGGTGGAGGTCGCCCAAATCTGCGAAAGTGTGCTCGGTGCCAATGCTTTTCCTCGGAAATGTACCCGCAGGTTGAATTCGCGTTCTTCCAAGGCCCAAATAACACTGCATCAGGAAACAGAACGCCTTGTGACCGAAGAGTTGGGTCAGCATTCCCCGAAACTGATAAATGTCTCCACAAGTTGTTATCCCTATTGCGCCAAGCTCACGCTCAAATACCCGACCGACACCATTCACCTTGCGGACCGGAATCTTGGCCATAAATTCCATTATTGCGGCCCGTTCACTCGGGACATGAAACTGGCCGTTCGGTTTATTCCAGTTTGACGATATTTTCGCAATTTTGGCATTGGCGGCAATCCCTGCAGAAACAGTTACCCTTGTCTGCGCGGCGATTTCATCGCGTAGCTGCTGAACTGCAGCTTGGGGGTCAACATTGTTTGTTGCACAATATTGCGTAATATTGAGATATGCTTCATCAACGCTTGCGCTCTCAAAATCTGGGTCATAGTTCGCCAAAATAGCTCTAATTTCTCGTGCTTTTGCGTTATATTTATCATAATTTTGGGGTATACAAATCAACTGGGGGCACAGCTTCTTTGCCACGAAACTGGCCATGCCGCTTCGGCATCCAAATTTTCTAGCATGGTAATTGCAAGTCGTTAAAACACCTTTTCCAACGGCCATTGGGACATCCCGTAACTCGGGCCTGTCTAGTTCTTCCACGGCTGCAAAGAAAGCATCACAGTCAATATGTACAATCCATTGCGATAGATCACGGCGTAATTCAAGGTCCGCAATGTATTCATCGGCCTGACGGGTGCTATAAGATAGATCCTGTTTCTCTAGCTTTTGCTTGTGCGCCAATATCTTCTGGATCTTTTCTGTTAATAATTGGTCCCGAACTCTTTCATGGTTGAAGAATTTTGACCCCTTCGAAGCGTTGTATATAATCTCCGATACCTGTGGTAAATTATCAGTTACCCTAGAATAGATAATAAAGCATATGTTTATCAGCCCTTCAGTATAGAAACGTACTCTTTGCTGGTCTACCTTATCCTGCCCTGCCTTGGTCAGTGATGGACCTAGGAGCTGATATTTTAGGGTATCATGTTCGTTGCCTGGCCCTCTTGCATCCTGCTCCTCATCAGCCTTGTCCTGCTGGCTCCCTTTACCTGTCGGATCTGATGAAGTGGCTGACATTTTTCCATGACTACTGCTATCGTTCGATACCGCAAAGTCATTATTTTCAATTCTCGCCGTCCATGTCGGAACTTTTTTGTCTACTCTTTTTGGTAGTTTAAATGGAAAGTTCAGCCTCAAGATCCTATTATTAATACTCATACTGCTTATATAAACTTATGGAAAAACTTTTTTCCATAACTAACACGTGATATCGCGTTTCCACGCGTTTTTAGATAGATCGCAAAGCGAAGATTCGCAAATTGATGAAAAGAAGCTGTTTGGGAGTTGAGTTGCCTCCAGCTCTATTTAATATAATTACGTCTATGTGTGATTGTTGCTGAGCTTTTACGGTGCACAAAAAGAATTATGTGGATACTCTCATCCGATGGAGATTTCTTGCAAGGTTCTCAAGTCCTGTAGTTATTTCGTCACTTCTATTGTCCAATGCTGACTTTACGATGGCTGATAGGAAAACGTATATGGCTAAAACCTGGTAAAAAATATCTGTTTGGGCGGGTTCAGCAAGATGGGAGTGGGTTAATCCCAGTATTTTGAATTTCATTTACTTTCCGTTGTACTAATATGCTGTTTCGCTTTTAGTTACGCATACGATTGACAATCGGACGATATCACGGAAGCACCTTATAATCGAAGTTGGGAAAGTAAAGCCAGGCGATGGGGTTCGTTTAGCAGCTATAGACGGCATCCATGTTCTCAGCTAATACGGACTCTTTCGATTCCAGTCACATATACATACCAAGTCAAAGCTGGTTATTAGTGACCCAGGCTCGAGATGGGGGACTACCCTTGATGGAACGCTTATAACTGGGGAGAGCAAAGACCTTGGAAGTCGGGATGAATATAAACTATCCCTCGGGCGATACCCTTCCGTTCTCCGGTATGGGACGGACCCTTCATCAATTCTTGACATAAAGACTGGCTCTAACTAAACCACAGAATAAAATGGTGTCCGGTTGTGTTGAGCTTTTCGTTCCCAACAAAGCAATTGAAGGTGAAAGACCCGCTTGCACACGCTCGTTCCCAACTTGAGGAATTAGATATTAAAACGGTTATTCCATACGTCGTCGGGAAAACCACACATGTGGTTCAAAGCAAGCGTAATACCGCCAAAGGCCTCCAAGCTCTCATCAATGGATGCTACTTAGTCCAGGACTCGTTTATTGAGCGTATAAGATATGCTGCCTCTCCGAAAGATGTAGAGCACGAAGAATCTCTTTCGCCCCTAGAGGAGGATTTTGATAATGCATGGCCGAACCCCGCGGAAGATCTACCTCCTCGCGGCAATGCACCTACTGAATTACCCGACAGTGCGTACGAGCCAAACACTGATAGGATTAATGTATTTGAAGGCTACACGTTCGTTTTTTGTGATAAAAAACGGTTTGAAGATTTACAGGGCCCAATATCCAATGGCCATGGGAAAGCATTGCTCTATGAAATTGATCCGGAGACCACGAAGGCTGAGGACATGGTGGATTACTTGAACAAGGCAGCTGGTGTCAAAGGACTTGCTTGCGAGCAGGATGGTACTGGGGGAGTACTACTCATGCAGTTCCGCATCAAAGGACATGAAGATTGGTCTGCTGCACTTGAGAATAAAGTGACCCAGTTAACTGGTCAGCAACCCGTTGAAGCTAGTGACTTCTTAGACGCAATCCTACGAAACAATGCTTCACAGCTATATCGACGATATGAGAAGCCAGTTGATCAAGACCCTAGTCCTCCTGCCACAGTTCCAAATACGGACCCTGAACAGACCCAAATGGTGTCTTCTAACTCGAATACTAATGTACTTGTAGAGGATAGCCAAAAAGAGGCCCGGTCACTCAAGCAGAATAAGTCGAAAGGCTATGTTCCAAAGTTCAAGGATTTTGATGACGGTTTTGATATGGAGTCAATACCCGTTTATCAACTTGAAGAGGAAGAAAGAGATACACAGGTATATTTATCTCCATTAAATATAATTTGAAATGTGCTTACTTTTGACTAGGCAGCTGTTCCGGACTCGATACACGATATAGTTCCTTCGAGCGTCCCATCTGATGGAGAAAAGGATGATACAGTGATGGATCTATTACCCGGAGCCGCCGCGATGAAACAGCGTGTTGGCAATAAACGACCACTGGAGCAAAAACAAGCAACCCCGCCGCCGCAAAAAGCCAAGAGGCCGAAGCTGGATATAAAGGAAGCTGCTCGGCAGAGACGTGAAGAAGTGGATGAAGCCGCAACAGCCCGTCGAAAGGAGGACGCAATCTCATTCCAAGCTATCGTAGAAGGTATGGACCTTGTACAGATTCAAAAGCTCGTCGCGGTGGAGGAAATGGAAGTTAAACCCAGGCAATCACATCGCAACAATCCTGCTGATGATAGCCGATGGGATGAGCGATGGAATGGCCGCCAGAACTTCAAGAAATTTCGAAGAAAAGGCGATACAGATGTGCTTCGTCGGCGACGAGCCATTATCGTTCCACTTGAGGAAGCTAAGAAGAAAGATTTTGGAATTGGGGACGATTACTGGGGGGCGAGTACAACTACACCTTCTGAGCGGCAGAGGAGTCCATCCGTGTCAAATATTGAGTCTGTGACTACATCACAGGAGATTCCACAGCCTGCAGCTCCCGCAAGCCGTCCGAAGCCCCAGAAGAGGTCAAGAGATGCTGGAGAAAGTGATGATGGCCTTCGGTTCCGTTTCCGACGAAAACGCCAGCGATGAAAGGATCTGTCTCTATCTCTTTCTATTCGGCAACTGCCGTTCAGGAGTACAGTTTCCTACCACCCATTGACGAAGCAATGCTCCCGCCTTACAAAGGCTATGCTGCTTAGAAATGCAGCCCCTAACGGCCACAATGACGAGCTCTAGTCCAAGGTTCTCGGCACGCCCTATGCAAGAGCCGCCACTTCGTCAAAGTTTGATAGTTTGGAATACACAGTGTACCAATATTCAATCCATAACATCACCCTCTGCCTTTGAGCCTCCCAAACCAGATAAAGGGGCAGTTTCACTTTAGCCACGGTGGGAACTTGTCGGCAAAATCATTTATTTACCGACTCGAGGGACTCACCTTATGTATATTAGTGTACAGAGTATAGTCATATAATTAAGTCAGTGGATCTCGTATTCATCTCCCCATTTTTGCCTTATATCCGACTTGTCAACACTATCTGGTAGTTATACTATGATGTTCTCAACGTTGAATCAAACCGGACTCGCCCGCTCTACTTCTATCTATAAGATATATCACAGTATCTTATACTTGGGAGCAAACGACCAAATCGAAAAAGGAGAAAAGATTAAAAAATAATTAAAACAAGATACGTTGAGAATGACTCTCTCCGTTCACCCCGCAACCGCCGAGGACATTCCTCGCATCCTCGATATTCAATCTGCCTCTCTCAAACAAAGTGGATTCTTCCGCGCCTGCGGTGAAATCAGCAACCCGGGCGGTTTTCAAGCTCATGATCAAAAATATCCCGAGCCGCTACGTCGAGAACTTCAGACGAAGCGTTTCATTTATCTTATGCAAAATGACCCAGGATTCCACCTACTCAAATGCGTTGATGATGAGACAGGCGAGATCTTGGCTTTTGCAAAGTGGAATATCTACGTTGGCGGGCCTGAGGCACTGGAGAGATGGAGGGAGCAGGTGAAGACTGGTGAAGATATGATTGTTCCAGAGGGGGCGAATGTCGAGGGCTATAGGTATTGCATGGGGAAACTGTTTGAGAACCGGAAACTGTTCTTTGGTGAAGAAGGGAGGGAGAATTGCGGTATGTGCTTATCTCTCTTCGTTTATCTATTGAGAGACCTTGATTCTTCTGACATGTTTAGTGCTTGCACTGCTGGCTACTGATCCGGCGCACGAACGGCGTGGTGCAGGAACACTGCTGGTGAACTGGGGCTGTGATATTGCTGATAAACATGGTGTAGAAGCATATCTGGAGGCATCGCAGAAGGGGTATCCCGTTTATGCACGGCGAGGTTTCGAGGTGATCCCTTCTACTGAAAGACAGTCGGCGGATTTGCACTTTGACGCAAGCAAATATACCGGTAGAGGCCTAGGGGAGGGAGGACAAGGAGATTGGGCAAGACTGAAGCTGATGGTGCGGAAGCCAAAGCATGTACAGGGACGAATCAATAGGTCAGGGGATAGAGTCTCATACTTGAATTAATTTTTGGTCTGGCACATCTTTTTTCTTTGGAGATATATAAATAAATAGATTCCAAGATAGAGAAAAAAGGGGCAAACCCAACACCATATCGCCTAAACATACCAGCTCCCTTTTAATATATTCAGATCCGGGAAGAAATACAACCGATATTTTGGGGTTTCAGCCCGCCTGGTAAAGAGCAGGTCCTGCAACCACATGTGAATCGATCAGACTCAAGTTGAACGGGGATAAGAACAAATCCTGATCCGTAATAGCAATGAATACGGTCCCGTTAACGGCTGGGTCTCCTGCAAATGTGGACAGATCCGGCTGCACAGTCATACCGGTGGACATGCCTCCAGCGGTGCCGTTTGACGAACGACCACCACCGCCACCTGATGGCCCAGTACTGCTAGAAGATCCTCCATTCCCAGTAGGCTGAGCCCTTCTGATTGTGTTTTTGCTATTCGACGGACCACCACCTCCGACACCACCGGTGGGCTTAGTGCCACTCGAAGATCTTGTAGCATTGCTACCGCCAGAGCCTCCTCCTTTCCCACCATTACCGCCATTACTCGTCACTTTTAGCGGAGTATAAGTAACATTTAACTGTGTGATCCAAGCGACAAACGCAGGTTTTTTTGCCTGAGAACTGGTAACGTAGCTATTATTCGGACCGACGAGCCGACCAGCCGATTCCCATTGAAGGAGAATCTCGCGGCCCGGCTTGCTAATGGGTTTGGAGCGATTAGATGCGATACCGGGCATGCATTCGGCGCTAAGGCTACCGCTGCTTCCACTTCCACTTCCACCAGTTCCTGAAGGCTTAGCCCCGCCGCCAGAAGTAGAGGTGCCGCCTCCCCCACTGCCACCGGTCGTATTTGTAGCTGCGACATTCTCGTACTGAGGGCTAAAACGGCCTCGGGGTGCCTTCTTGCTGCCGCTGGAACTAGAACTACTACCGGAAGTAGAACCAAAGCACGACTTTCCGGCCGGAATAGCGGTTGAGTTTACCACCCCGAGACCGCCGCCCATAGTCTCGTTCATCCCTGATCCATCCTTCCTTGCTGAATTGGGTCCATCCATAACTTGCAAGGCGGGGAAGTTTCTCCATACAAGTCTGTCATTGCCGGGGCATGAGCTAATGAACGGCGCTAATAAGCTCCATCCCCATGACTGAGGAACACCCGCCTCAAACCACAAGGGCATAGGCTGCAGAGCCTCAAACTGGCGGAATACCATGTGTTGACGCGCAGTAGTCGCAACTAACTGTAGGACCAGCATTGCTGTTTCACGGGAGTCTAGGTGCGGGAGGAAGTTGTAAACGGTAGACTGGGCGACGGCAGTTATCTTTTGGCTGAAATCAAGGAACTCATAGGCCGTTTTGAAAGGGTAATTGTACGTGCATGGCTCAGGGGCCGATTCACCGAGGATGTTACTGAGTAGAGTAACATGGCCCTGGGATTGGTTAGCCATGAACGAGATCAGGTTATAGTCTGACTGGGTTAGGCCAATGGCTTGGAAGTCTTTGGGTTTGAACTGCGAGGCGCCCGTTTGGAAGAGGTCGTATTTCATCCATTCCCAGTGTAGAGCTAGGGCCTATAGAGAGGCTAATTAGCCAGCTATTCATTGGGAAGCGAACATGGGGGAACATACAATAGATTGATAGTCATAATCGCTTCGCACATTATATACTGGTGCGGTTCCATTGGTTCCTAACCCGCCCGCAGGAAAGTAAGGTGCAGGCTGCGCTCCGTGCAGCTCACCGTCAGATGAATAGCTCGTTGCCTTAGTCGGTGCGGGTTGGCCGGAAAGCGCGGTTGCTAGTACTTTTGTTCCTGTAAGAGCTCCAGTAACACTGGCAACACCACTAAAGGCACCATGGCTTTCATGGCTTTCAAACGTGGCACTGCGTACTGGTGGGGTGGCCGGGACTATAATATCACTGGCATAAGTGAGAGATGGGCCACCCACACTGCCAATGCTGCCAGTTTCGCTTCCACTAGCACTTCCGCCGCCGCCGCCGCCGCCGCTTCCACCTCCACTTGAAGGACTAGAGCTGGGCTTGGAACTGGAGCTCCCAGAGCCGCTGCTGCTAACGCTTGGTCTCGTGCTACCCGATAGAGTAGACTGCGCAAGGGCAAGAGGGAGGAGCAAGAGGGGTATAACCCGCGAGAAGGCGTGTATTTTCATCGTATGAGCTTCTAGTATGAAAAATGAATATATATGAATGTGTATATATGCGTATATATATTCCCTTCCTTGTATCGAGGAAAGAATATACAGGGTATTGAGATTAAACCAAAACACGATGAAGGAATCAGTCCTTCATCGCCTCTTATGATTATGCCATGAGATAAGAGGTAGTGCGGAAGTCCTGGGAAATGACGTAATTCCATGTTTATACTACGACGGAAGAGAATAGAACGTTAATCAACAAAGTCAAGGACTGGTTCGCTCTGGGCCTTTGTATTGGATGGATGGAAATGGCTTGATGTGAAAGGTTCCATCAATGAAGGAACCAGTTGACCATTTGAATGTGACGTTGAAGTGGAATGTTAATCAAGAAGATTTTTAGTCGGGCGGTTGAGCGATGGCAATTGTATACATAATTCAGAAAGGATGTCACTAATTGCCGCTTTTGGCTATCTTAAGACGAAGAGGTTGAGATAAAGACTGACACGTGATATAACTAGCTAAGTAAGCACGCTCTTATCTTATCAACACGTGATAAAAAAGTTATTATATAAGCTCTGGTAAGCGATGAGCTTAAATTACATAAACTTTTTATACAAAACAGTGAGGTGACCATGCCAAGGCACTGAAGGCAGATTGTATATATTATGTAGGGCATGCAATAAATAATCAATCGCTTCCAAACGAAGGTATAGACATATCATAACACACAACATTATAGAGTAGCATATATTAAGGAGGTATCTAGAGGCATAAAAAGAAAGCTTATAGCCAAAAGGCGTATGGGTAGCATATTGGATAGATAAATGGAAAATAAAAAAATCAACTTAGATCTATCTCGACAGCCCAGGCGGCACGCGTCGGAGATGATTACTCTTGGTGAGGATGTTGCTCGACGACATCGTCACTGCCACTGTCGTGGGCCGGAGGAAGCTGATCGTTTATTGGGACATTCTTTTCGCGTCCCAAGATCATCGGGCTGGTGCGCTCAAAGTACTTGTGTACGTCATCATGGACATGCTCGTAGTCGTGGTGATCATCATGATCAAACCCGCCCTTCTCATCAGTTTTGCGTGCCTGAGCGGCAGTCCACTCCTGTCGCATCTCGGCAACTTTTTGCTTGTAGTCGGCCTCTGGGTCGTAGTATTTGCCTACTCCCATCCAGCGCTCATAGACAGATAGATGCTTAGGGTGAACAGCGGGGCCGTGGTATTCAGATTCTCTACCCTGGCGGATGTAGAACCATCGTCGTTCTTGTTCTTTCAGGTCGAGGCCGGTGGTATCGGGGAGGAAGAGATAGGTGAGGATGACACCGGCGAGACCGAACCAAGGGACGACGTGGAATTTCTGTGACGTGCTTATGTAGTTGTACATGATCGCCGCGGTAAGAGCGCCAAGCTTGCCAATAGCGGCCGCGAATCCGTGGGCTGTGGCTCGGATGGGGGTGGGGAAAACCTCAGCAGCGACAAGGAAGGTCACAGAGTTAGGGCCGAATTGATTAAAGAAAGACGAAAGGAAGTACATGGCCTGGAATTCCTTGATGTGCTCAGGGGAGGTGTAGTGTTCGAAGTTGAATGCCGGGATGATGAAGAAGATGAAATCCATCAAGAAACCGATGATCTGCATCCACTTGCGGCCATAGAGTTTGTTGTCGATCAGGAAGGAAGCAAGGTAGTAACCGCAGAGGGAAACTCCAACGTTAAGGAGGTTGTACAGCCATCCTGGCATGACGGAAGTGGTGTGTGGGGAGATGACGCTGATAAACTCAGACTGGAACAGTTTGTTACCGTAGAAGAAGACATCGTTGGCGAACCATGTACCCGCAGTGGCAAGCAGACGGAAGCCGAAGTGTTTGAAGGTAAGGCGCAGGGACTCGGTGTCGTAACCAGTGACGCGTGACTTGGCCTTGGCGATGGCTAACTGCTTGCTTGCAGCGCGCATCTTATAGTATCGGTAATAGACAAGCCAGAGAGTGCCAATGGCAGGGATGGCAAAGGAGACACGGTATGTCCACTGGGCAGAAACGGTTGAGTATGGCGGGTTGCCGCTGCCGTGGTGGAAGATGAGGAGGAGGACGATGAGGATGGCCTGGTTGAAGAACTGACCCCATCCCTGCATAAGGAACGCAGACGTGACTTTGCGGCCACGGTGAAGACGATCTTCCTTTGTGGAAATCTTGCCCGACCCAACCGCGTTCTCCATACCAGAAGTGGCCGTCATTGGATATTCACCACCGACACCGATGCCGTAAAAGAAGAGAGACCAGACGTAGCAGATCACCCAGCCGTTCTGGGTGACACCCCAGGCAGCAGTGAGCATGATAAGACCGAGCAACATGATAACTGCATCTTGAATCAGACCCCATCGACGACCAATCCTAGTCGCAAAAAAAAAAAAAAAAAATTAGCTTCTTTCAGCGTCGAACGGATATAATGTTAACTTACCAGTCACCCAGGATACCAACCAGTATCTGACCAACGATGATACCGCAAATCTCAAGGTATTCAACAGCCGCAAGCCAGGTGGGGTCACAGATCTTCTGGCTCTTCCAGCAGTCCGGGAACGCCTTTTGGAAGAGAGGCTTGATATTCCCGATGGAGAAGAGCACGTATCTGTTAGTTGCGTTAGCTGGAGTCTCTGCCACCATCAATCTATACGTTTCACTGACCCTTCCAAACCGAGACCTGCACCGGGCAGGACCATGTTCTTAAAGTAGAAGCCAACCGGGGCCAGGGGATCGTTCTTGAACATCTCCCAGAAGGAAGAAGCTTCCTTCTTGGACTCCTCCATGTCGACCGCGGTGACGAACTGGATCTTCTTCATGAGCGGCAGATCGGCCCAGTAGACTCCCTCCGGCGTGTACGAGTCGTCTGGACGGATGAACGCATCGAAAGCCTCCTTCTCGTGGAGCCGCATGTCGACGAGCGGGTCATGGGTGCCCGTCATGTCAGGCCCATGGGGGGCCCTGGGACCAAAGTCCGCCATCTATAGCCAGATATATAGTGATAATATATGTGTATAAATATAGATCGTGAACAAGATGGCTAGAAAAGAGTGGGAATCAGCTATTCACTGCATGAACTAAGGGTCGAACAAGGGCACAGGAGGTCTTGGAAGAAGCTTGTCGATGCTTGTTGATGCTTGGTATGTTTTGGACGGTGTTGCGAGGTTTGGGGAGGGACGAGGAAGAAGCGAGCCAAGGTCGACAGGCCGTCTGGGCAACGCTTCTTTCTTATAACAGCTGGCTGGGGGGACGACAAGGCAGCACGCACGAGGGCAGGCCGGCCGTCCTGACTGGTGCAAGTCGGATGGACGGCGACAAGGCAGAGACAGGTCGCTTACCAGGGGGTCTATTCGTGTTTGTTGCAGGCGTTCACCAGAGACTAGGGGGATAGTTCGTGAGGGCGAGCGTCTCTTCTTTGTGGCGTCCACAGGTCAAGGCGGACTCGACGGGCTGAACAAAGGAAGCGTCGGGAAGAAGAGGAGGAAGAAGAAAAGATGAGACGAGTGGCCTTTTTAAAAGAGTAAGAAAAAAATTCAACCCTTCGTCCACTTTCTCTCTATGGATTCTGCTGGGAAAGGCAATCTCTCGTTTCGGCTTTTCTGCCGGCGGTGGCCACACAAGGCAAATCCTGGTTTGGGCGGAGAGCGAGAGAGAGAGGGAAATGACAGGCAATGCGAGGCCTTGTACCCCGGCCATACCATGTGGGTGCATCCACCGGCGGACGGCGATGTCGAGGTACTTCCGAGGCCATAGTTGCGCATTTTCCCTACTATGTGTATTTTGTATTTTATTTTTGGTTTTTTGCCTTTTTTTTTTCTTTTTCGGGAGGGAAGTTGCTTGGTTTTTCCTGGCCAATAGTAAGCAGGGAGGGTCGCACGTGTGTCACGTGATGCCAAGAAAAGAGCAGGGGCGGGATGACTAAGATGCTTACATGTTTGTGCCAAGGAGCTAGTGTGTGTAGGGAAGGAGGTCACATGTAGTCCAGGTTGATGGAGGCAGACAGTGGTGGACGGTGGAGTGGGTTGTAGAGATCCTAGCGATGCCCATGCTGCAAGCCCTCGAAGAGCCTGATGTAAGGCAGTTGAAGGTGGGACCAGGCAGAGCTAGATCAATTGACTTTGGTCGGACATATATAACAGACACGGGTGGGACGGTGGAGTACCACGGCTGCTAGCCATATATGTGTATATATATATATCGGGCACGCGCGACCTTGTCCCATAGAGATCAGATGTATATATATTCCGCTATCCACTCATATTATGCTTAAGGGGAATAAGAGATTTCACCACGAATCAGCCTTTGCTAGAAAGGCGTACTCGTCTCCCGCCCCAGGCGCACACAGGCCGGCCTGCCTCGCCACAGCCTGTACGATGTTCACGGCTCCCTTGATCTGTGCACCAGAGGCCCCCATGTTGCGGCTGCCGAAGAAGTGACTAATAAGGGGTCAGCACCACACGTTTAACATGTATAACGTAGATAGATAGGGTGATACGTGCCCCTTGGCCTGTGGTGCGACGTCGTCAGCCAAACAGCATACAAATTCCATCAGCACCGTCTCCATCGCATTCACAACACGGGTCTCGGCCATTAGTTCCCCATACACGCTTGCAAGGGCATAGTAGCTTAGATCCCCGCCCGAGTTGCGAGACATGTTGTCGAGTATCCTGCCCGTGTGACCAGCGTACAGACGGGAGAAAAACGCGGTTCCTCGCTCGAGCTTCGTCGTTGGATCAACGGGCCTACGCAGTGAGGAATCCTCGGAAAGAAGCTGGTGCGTTGTGGGTGTATGTTTGGCCAGAGCGGCCTGGAGTGATGAGAGAGCGTTTATTCCCTATCCAGACGCCGTGTTAGTTAGGATAGAAAAAGTGTCACTCTCGTCCTGGGATTGGCTGGTGGCTCACCCGTGGAAACCCGACCAGCACGCTAGCCTTCAAACAGCTCTCCCTGATCCGTCGTGCAATCACTGCTTTCTCCTCTTCTGACGATGATTTATGGGTAGAAGCGATATGTTCCCACAGTGCACCCACTGCTGCCTCCCGATGGAACGCCATCAGCGCTGCGGCCACCACGATATACCACACTGCACCGCCCGGAGGCCCATCATGCGGTAGAAGCTTTGATAACGCTGAAAAATCGATACCAGACGATCCAGTTGTCGATTGGCTAAGTTGTCGGGTCTGGCTGGGCGAGATATGTTCCGCTACCGCCCGCAGCCGCCTTGCGGACGTGTTCCTGCTGTCTTCCATTTCCGTGCTAGACAACCGCTGGCGTGACCGATTATGGATAATGCAGCGGTTATAAGCCCAAAATCTCGGTTTGGTGAGCGTGCCGAGGCATCGACCGGGCGGGGTACCAGCCGAAAGGGACGAGTTTTCCGACCTCCAACTCGTGAGCCGGGGCACAACCGATCTTGTAGGTTGGTTGGCGGGCCGCGTATTGGGCTTGAGCTTGGGTTTGCCGGCCAGCCTCATGGGTGTCATCCGTTGGTTCGAATTCGATCTGTAGCGAATGAGCAGGCGTAAACGAACAAGCGGGCACTGACCGAATACCCGTTCGAATCTAGCGCGGTGCGCGTGGCAAAGAACGGCGGAATATATAAAAATCGAGCTAAAGTGCTATGTACAGACAGAAACAAGAGAGAATTTTGAGTATATAAGTATAATTGCAGTACGGAGTCTGTGGTTAACTTTGCATCCTCTCGGAGTTGCCGTTTGTTGGTTCCATCCCGACTATGCAAGCTTTTGAGGTTCCTTATCTCCGAATCAAGGTACTTGATTATGTAACCACACACTAAATAAGTGCAGGGATGAGGAAAATTCGATGTCTCTTGGACTCGTTCTCTATCTTACTTTGAAACAGTTGATATTAGCCTTGATCTCATCATGTCAGACTACTCAACGGTGCGTTTTATATGTATGGGTGTCAGGAATTAATCTATAGGACCTCGAGCTATGGATCAGTCACTATGCGGGAGCAAGAGATTGCGACCATTTATATCAACCAGATGACGAGAGCCTGCTCGCCCTATGGCCCTAGTGGAAGGTTACAAGGCAGCCAGTCAAGCCCCCCCTCTTTTGATCGACTCATCGCTAAGCCAAGGGTCTTCAATAAGCTCTTTTGCTGTTTTCCTATCTTCTGGAAGCCACCGAAGCATTTTTCTTGCAAACAGTAAAAATTGATCCTTTTGCTCCCCCTCGAGGCATGTCACTGTATCTTCGAGACAGAGGTCCTGAGATACGGCACTTTTGTGGAGAAACTCCCCTACATCCAGTTAGAGACTTGGTAGATATCATAGAGGGAAATAAGAGCTGTACCGTTTTCCCCAAAGAATGGACCTCCATACCACTCAGACGCCGTATTGCACATCTTTCCTGACTCATTTTGGGCAGCGGGAGCCCACTTCCAGCTTATTCCATCTCTCTCGCGGTCGATTAATTCTTTAGGAGGCGGACCAAGGAGAGATATCATCTCCGCAAGATGGGCTTCAGGATGGTAGTTCCCTTGAGCATCAAGTGGCGAAGTAAAGAGATCCCGAGACTCAAGTAAATTCCACATCTAAATTGTTACAAGTTAGCAAGAGCAACCTAATGGAACAATATTGGGATAGAGTAAATACCAGCAGCCCCAGATTCCAAATATCCGCGCTATACGTCCATCCAGCCCCTAGAATAACCTCCGGAGCCCGATAATGGTCAGGTTGAATTGGATGTCTGTTCAGTAATGATGGATCTTTTTGACGGTGTGCAAGGCCAAAGTCTGTTATTTTAGGTAGAATGTAGTAAGACCTCACCGGCCCGAAGTCGTTATGTGAGAGATAGACCGTACTCCCATTGTTTGATTTGTGAGGCATAGGATTTTGTGCTTGCAGTAATGCAAAGTCCTCCAGCACTGACGGCTCTTCAAATCCGACGAGAATGTTTTCTACCTTTAGGTCTATTGAAAGTATTAATAACTTAATAACTATAGTATGCGTACAAAGGGTAGCACTGACCTGTATGAATGATGTTGCATTCAGTGTGTAGGTAATCTAGACCTTTTAAAAGAAGCTTCACGTAACCTTTCAGAAGACCGAGGGGAAACCTCTTATTTCGGAGACGTGATTGAAAAAGCCATAGAGGCTCCCTCATGGGTTCATATCCCAGGCATACATGCATCCCACGTGGGCCTCTTTCCTCGAACTGTTCAAGAAACGTCCGAACATAATTACGGCCATCATGGCGGCAAACAATGCTGTCAATATGGCGTTCGATATTAAGCTCATGAGCAGCTTGTTCTGCATCCTTGAAGTTGTTATTGCCGACCTTTAGAGTCAGGTAGCGCTCAGCCTGCCAATTTCGCCTACCGACTTCATTAATAAAGCTACAGTTCGGGAGTCAAGAAGCTAACTTTACCGATGGAGATCCCGTACAAGCCATACCGTAGAACATCCTCCCCAGCCAAGTTTTGCAAGCGCCTCGTACCTCTGATTGAAAATGTAGCCAGGCCTAACAGGGAAATAGTGGCTTGCTTGGTAACCAGGTACTATCTCTTCTTCAATGGGGACATCTGGGTGTAACTCAGTACTCGTACCGCAAAATATCGTAGGTTGTTTGCGGCTGAGTGGCGACCTAGTCCAAAATGCCCGTAAAGCGCGTTTGGCCATCTCGTTGGGAGTCAGGAGTAAAAATAATGCCTTGTTCAAATCATAAATAACCTTCCGGCCCGAGATCCCATGTGCCAAGAGAGTTGCAGCCTACCAAACAACTTTATCGTTACTATGTGGAAATCAACAGATGTATGGTATGTTCTTGAACTGAGGCATTCTCTTCCAAGGGTGGGCTTGACATTGTGAAAATGGTCTCAACGACTATTAGTTTACCGCGTTATTGCCTCCCATACCCAAGAGCTAGGCATATAACCGTCTAGCTCCTGTATCCTGGAAATCCTGCTTAGGGTTGGCACTTGGTATCTTTCTCATCTAAACGACTAATCTAGATACTCTAATACTTTCAATCATTATTTACAACAGATACTATGTGACAGTGAGTGGTGGTTGATTCAATCGCAATCATGCGAGGTCTGGCCAATACTTCTTCACAATCATTTTCTTATTCACCTTACCCATGGCGTTCCTCTCAATACTGTCAACAAGTTTTAGGACACTTGGTATCTTATACGTAGCCATTTCAGACTTCAGCTTTGCGCGGAGACTATGCAGCTCCAGCGTTGTGGTCTGATTAGATAGTTAGCATTCAGTTACAATAGAATGAAGGGGTTAATAAACAAGGGTAGGAAACACTTACGCCTTCCCTCTGCTTAACAACAGCAGCGACACGTTGGCCCCATTCGTTATCAGCAATCCCCACCACAGCTACCTCCTGCACCTCTTCCAACGCAAGCATCTTCCTCTCCACCTCCAATGCAGATATTTTATATCCTCCGCTCTTGATTAAATCCACTGACGCTCTGCCCTGAATATAGTAAGCACCCGCTGAATCACGTCTCGCTACATCGCCTGTCTTAAACCACCCATCACTCGTAAATTCCGAGGCGGTTGCGTCGGGCCGTCGCCAGTATTCCAGAAATACATTGTCGCCTTTAATTTCTATCATACCGTCTTCATCACACGAGGAGGCAGGGATGGGGATTCCAGTCTCTCGATGTGTTAGACGTACCTGTACACCGGGGAGGGGCCAGCCAACGCTCCCTTCTATGCGGCGTGAGACGTCTAGACCACAGCTCAGCCCCATGCCGATCTCGGTCATACCATAACGTTCAAGCAATGTTTGTCCGCTTATTTCCAGGAACTTTGTCCTAATTGGTGTAGGTAGAGCCGCGGAACCGCTGACTACTAATCTTAGTGCACCTGCACCGGATCGGGCCGCTGCCTCTGTATCTGTTGATCGAATATTGGCATCAAAGTAGTCGACTAGGCGCGAGTAAACTGTGGGCACAGCCATGAACATGGTTGATGAGCCAGGATTGCTCCACCTATCCCAGACAACTCGGGGATCAAATTTGGCATACATTTCGACTATACCGCCGCTTAGGAGAGTCGCTGTAAGTCCGTTTATAATACCATGGATATGGTGAAGAGGGAGTACGTGGATTAGATGATCAGACTGGGAGTATTTCCATGCTTGGATGAGAGAGGTTGCCTGAAATGTTATTGTCTTATGAGTTGTGACGCAGCCCTTGGGGTTGGCTGTTGTGCCAGATGTATATATCATCAGAGCCCTTCGTGATAGGTCGAATGCTGGATGAAGGTTGGGAATAGAGGTGCAGCCCCTACTCTCAGTAACGGGTGAAAGTTCCATGAAGCTGGCGTCGGAGGGGTTGTCAAGCAAAGATGGTTTCAGGTGCTGGAAAGAAGTATGGAGAACGACTAATGATGGATCAGAGTCCGAGATTGTATATAGCAACTCTTTCGGTGGATGCGATGTGCCTTTTATCTTCAATTAGCGTTTTGTATCTTCAACGTAAAGGAAGCGCAAACCTACACAACGGTACGCAAACTCCACCAGCCGCCCATACCGCCCACTGGCAAACCACATAATCATATCCGGCCGGAACAAGGAACGCAACCCTTCTTTCCTCTAGATCCTGGACCTTTACCTCGGCCAGAATCCTCCTCTTCAATATAGACACATCGTTGAGTAATTGGCGATATGTAAAGCTCAGGTCCTTACTTTTATCAATTATCGCGATCTTCCCAGGGTCTTTAGAGGCCCATTTCTGAGCCTCTAAAAACAATGGGAGGGAAGGGAGGGACGGCGGTAGTGTCAAAGCTGTGGTATTCATATTATCATCGCGTGAGCGGAGGAAATGGATGGTTATCGGGAGGGACAGTGCGGCTACTGCGCAGAGAAGCGGAATCCAGCTTGGTTGGCGATTGAGGGCAGTTGAAATTGCAGACATAGTTAGTTAATAGTATGTCTCGTAGGTGATCCCTTAACCAAAGCCATCGACCTAGTTCATATATTGTCAGCGTCTGCAGCGATCAATTGTGCTTTCCAAGCCTTATCAACGTCCCCCATGACAGACCTTGGTAGCCTGATAAGGATTAACACGGCGTCAATGCGAGACTCAATGCGCCGGTTTAACAAGCCACAACCGTAGTTGGGTTATAATTACAGCACTCCCGCGGGCCGCATATAGAATCAACCACAAAGTCGAGGCGGACAGTGATATCAAATGAAACCAACTATGGATCGCTCGAAGGACGCGAACCCCCTATCTGATCACGTGATTCGAGCATGGTCCGAACAAAATCCTTGAAGCTTGCGGGAGATTACGTAAAGGAAGAAACAAGCAAGGCTTGTGATAATCTTAACTTGACCTTCGTTCAGCGTTTGGAGAAGTGAGCATGTCCCCTTGTCGCCCCTCTATGACGTACGGAACGGAACGGTCAGAAGAAGTATTCAAATCTCAACTTCAATCCTGCATTCAAAACATGTTTCTGACAGCACAGCTCGGAAAGTTATTGACGCTTCTCTCGCAGCCACTAATATCCTGGAGGCGCCTGTTCTCTCCGTTATGCCATGTCAAATAAGTCGATCTCTTCCTCATGCTGTACAACTTCGCCTATATAAGCCTATTTGCACCAATTCTATCTCAGGCTCTCTGGCTGCTCAACGTTAGAATCCAATTTTTGTGCTCTGACTACGCGTTTGATACGCAACACCCCCTATTATAGCACTTCCAACTCGACCCGACTCGAGCACCTAGATTATACTATGTTTTGCCAACCTTCGCTGACCTGATCTTCGCTCCCCGGGGTATCATGCTGATATACCCTATAACGAGAATTACCACATCACTGTGCTATGTCCGCTCTCTACGCTAGAGAAAATCTTCGCCATCGATGTTCTTTCAGAAAAAAGTATCGAGTGTTTTCAGTGTTGAGCGTGGCGCCGCAGCACACCACAACATCAACTGGAGTTTTGCCAACAGCAGCACGCTATTATGCTGCATACTCGGTAGTGTGATTAACGGTGGCTCTCAACGGGTATCTCTATATCAGTCTCGATCACCCTCTTACGTTCTGGAGCATGCAATAAGTACAAAGTACATCTAGCAGATTGTATGGACAGAGAAGGTCATGGTAAACGAGCTTGCAGGAGCTTCTCTGCTGCATCACATTTTGGTATTGAGCAAGGGGATGAGATCAGCTCGCCAATCAGCTGGCAGTTTATACGAGATCCATTTATTTGCGGCTAATCTATTGGCCGAAGCTTCCCCGCATTGACCCCCCGGCCAGATCACAGTCCTGTGATATCGCTAGCTGCCAATCCAGATTCCTTCCATACAAAAGAAAAGAGAGGCAATATTAACATTAATAGGGCCGTGGACGATCAATGGCACAGTTGTAATTCTGACTAGGTACCATGTACTGCAGAGCCTTCAGCAACATCCCTGTGCTGCAAATGAGAAGCGGCTCAGTGTTTCCAGTTGGGTGTTCTCGGGTATCATTCGGCCCATCGCTGGGGGATTAATATAAACACTCGCTTTTTCCCATCCTCAAAATCTATCGAAAGCATACACATCTTCCACTCTCGTATCTTGAAAAGCTCCTCACGTCTCAAGGTTTTCTTCTCGAGCGATCATGAGCACCTCAAAAACACCAGAGGCGGTGGGCGTCTCGCCTATCGAAGTTGACAACCAGGTTGAAAGGACAACCACCGAGGATAAAACGGACGAAAAGATCCCAGCACAAGATCGTGATTATGCCGGTGCTGTTACCAATTTATCTCCTGAGGAAATCAGGCTCGTCCGAAAGCTTGACTGGCGTATTATGGTACGCCCTCAACTAATGGTGAATTTGTTTTGTTTTCAAAGCTGACATTTAACGTAGCCGATGTTGACATTCATGTATTTTCTCAACTACATCGATAGGAACACGCTCGCCCAGGCCCGACTAAACAATCTGGAAAAAGAACTTGGCATGCACGGCACTCAGTTTAACACTACGATTTCCATCCTATTCGTTGGATACGTTCTCACCCAAGTTCCGAGTAATATGCTTATCACTAGGGTGCCGCCGAGCATATATATGAGTGCCTGGATGCTAGTGTGGTCTGTAGTTTCTGGTACGTGGCTCGTCTAACTTTAGCCTCTATACTTAGATTTACCCTGATTAATATTTATAGCCTGCACGGCATTGGTTCAGTCGTACGCTGGGATGGTGGTATGCCGGTTCCTTCTTGGGATCACGGAAGCTCCCGTAAGTTGCTTCTATATATGAAAACAAGCAGATGGATTGCTGGATTGCTTATTATCTATACATAGTTCTACCCCGGAGCTACATATATCTTGTCCATATTTTATACTCGACGAGGTATATACCTGTCCCTCTCTTTCTAGTTGCTTAGTATATAAAACTAAGCTAATCATTTTATACAGAGGTTGCCGCTCGAATTGCAATGCTCTATGCTGCCCAGATCCTGGCAACCGGTTTCGCGGGGTTGATCGCCGCAGGCGTATTCTCTGGTCTTGATCAAGTACGGGAACTATCAGGATGGCGATGGTACGGCTACAGTCGATTTTCATTTGAGCATATTATATATACTTACATTGAAACCTAGGTTGTTTATTATCGAAGGCTCTGTCTCAGCCGCCGTTGCGATTGCTGGCTTTTGGCTACTTCCAAACACTCCGCTGACGACTCGATGGTTGAAGTCTAAGGAACGCGAACTCGCACACGACCGAATTCAAAGGGATAAGATGGGGTTACCAGAAAAGGCCTCAACGATGGAGGGCCTAAAGCAGGCAGTCAGAGACCCCCGAACGTGGATCTTTTGCTTGATGCAGAATTTCCATCTGTCCGCTTGCGGGTTTAACAGTTTCTTCCCAACGTATGTATTTCACTTACGGTAATCTTGGCTGCAGATGAGGATGCCGGAGCAGCTAACTAATATCTTTCTCTTGGATTGCAGCGTGGTCAAGACCCTGGGGTTTAGCACAACAGTCACCCTAGTGTTGACATGTCCACCTTTCCTTTTTGCCGGAGCTGCGGGTATTCTCTTCGGATATACATCTGGACGGTTCCATGAGCGTACCTGGCATATCACCGCGGGGCTTACAACCGCTATCATCGGATTTGTGATTGCTGCTTCGACTCTCAACACCGCAGGTCGCTATGTTGCCTGTTTCATCTTCCCGATCGGTGCCTATTCGGTTAACTCAGTCATCATCGGCTGGGCTTCATCAACATTATCTCAGACCCGTGAGAAACAAGCTGTAAGTTCAGCTCTTTGCATCTGTATCTTTATGTTCGGAAAGCGTAACTGACGCCATGGTTATAGGTCGTCCTTGCTATGACGAATGTCGGCGGACAGATAGGATATATATACGGGGCGTACGTCTGGCCGGACTCCGACTCGCCCAGATATGGCATCGGCTTTGGCGCATCTGCTGGCTTCGCCCTTTGCTCCATCCTCTGTGCCTGGTGGATGAGATATCTTCTTAAAAAGGAGAACAAGCGACTGAGGGAGAATGCGACTGCAACCACCAACTTTTATGGATATTAATGACTTAACATAAAAATGACTATAATGACACTCTTTTCCCCATCTATATTACCCCTTCTATTTGTATTATTCTACCATCCCATGTGATGTTCAGTCAAGGTAGTGAAACAAAAAGCCAGCTGATAAAATCTTGGAAGATGCCAAGACCCACTGTCACCTTTTTGTTTTTCCTTGCTAAAATCCCAGCCTCGTTTTTTGTAGTCGTTAAATATCTGGGCACAACAAGCCTGTCACATCCTTCCATCACCCAGAGGTTATGAAGTTGTTGTCTGGCCTGTCAGGCTTACAAGACACATGTCATTGCTCAAACAGTCCTCTATGCCTAGCGACTTCTTTTTCGATAGCCCGGTCCCGCCAAAGCTGGACTTGACGGGTGCGAGATCTCGCTTCTACCACACACCACAGTCAGCCTCGGCAGCATCATCGCTGTGTCGCACCATCTCGACACCGCTAACGAGCAGTCGCAAGCGTGCTCGATATGGATACGGCGGACTAGATGGCAAGACGAGCGGGTTTGATGACCAGATTCTCTGGGACCACCCCCCGTCCATCTCGAGGATCTCGAGCCCTGTTCCTCTGGCCAACACGGAATATCTCCTGGCAGAAGGGGGTCTTGATACAGGGTTGCTGACGACGGCAAAGGCATCGATACTCGGGTTCTCCTCCCAGCGAGATGGCGAGAACGAGGAGTCGGAGTTGGATTACCGTCCCACCAGGTATCGAGAGCCTAGCCGGACGGTGGCGGCTCGGATGGAGGTCGATGGGGGCTATACACCACCTACGCCCTCATCTATCGAAGGAACGAAAAGGAAACGGGAGCCTCAGACGGTACAGGATGATAACACAACCGTGAAAAGTACCCCAGGCTGGGGTGAGGCGGTTCTCAATCTTGTCGGAGGAGTTGCTGGGAAGGTATGGAATTTCTGCTGGTCAGCTCCGTTCCGAGGGTTCCACGCCGGCGGAGGCAGGGGATATGATATGGATGCTTCCACGACGACAGTGCAACCAAGTCAGACATGGGATACGCCCTCACCGCCACAGAAGAGGCGCCCAAGCCATCAGATGGACGAAACACCCATCCCTGGGCGTTATCCGGTAGACGACAGCTACTGCATCGATAAGCCACATCGAGACGATATACACAACAACTGGGTCCTAGTCAAGGAAAACAAAGGCTCCCAGGAGAGTACCCCTTCCCCTGGGCCAAGGAAGATACCTCGTCGAAACAGTGTCGTCCACCATGTTCCTGCCCGCCGTTCGGCTGCTAGGGTACAGCCTAAGCGGCCCGTTACCCCCCTCACGCCTACTCGCTCCCCGAACTTCTCTCCGCAACTCTCTTCTCCATCCATCTACAAAACGCCACCCAAGCATAGCACTGTGTCCAATCCCAATGAAAGCCCATTATCGATAGAGACTCAAAGACATGCAGCCAAGCTGAGGCGTAAGGAACGTCAGGAGGATGCCAGCATCCGAAGACTGAATCAGCAGCTGAAAGCCATGATCAGGGAGGGCAGAGAAGCTCTGGGAACTAGAATAGAGGTGGATGAAATGGACCTGGATGAATGGGATTAACCCCTTTTTTATGATTTTCCTCTCTCTGAGTTTTTATAGCCCGCAGATTCCTTTTTTTTTTTTTTTTTCGACACGTTTGTACGATTCCTCACAGTGGATTATCTTTATATCCCGGTTATGCCTAATGACCTGATGATGCCATGTCTTTCTTTTTTCTTGCTCTTTTCCTGACTCTACTACCTGAAGGGGAACATGTTGAAGACCCCCAAGTTTTACCAGTTTGTACCTACCCTGATAGAGGGTAGAAAGTATTATGTATGAATTGAGGTCACCTCTCGGGATTTCCATACCACTATACATTGCAGTCTGCGTAGCCTCATGGTAAACAAGTTATGTTCATCGAGCCGTGTATATATGTCCAAATGCCATGTACATCAATATAACCAGCTGTTCCTTTCACAGCTTCTGAGAAGTCCACTGGACTCCGGCAGCATCTAGCCCAGCGTCACCATCTACTAGAACGCACCAGCCCTCACTGCCCTGTCCTCCTGGTCCCCCGATGGCCGCCTTGAAATTCTCACGAGCGTATTCGAGCACCTCGTCGTCGTAAGTGCCTGGCTGCAGCCACACGGCTGGCACGTCCACCGACTTTGCGTCACGCAGGATCTGGATAGTCACCTTTGGCGGCGTCACGATAGAAAGGGATGTCTGAGAAGGCATAGGAAGGTCCACGGGAGATGCCACTGTGGTGTATGATTTGGATGGCAGCGAGATCGATGGCGCTCTCGGATTCAGCGGAGTGACAGCCAGCGAATGTTGATGGTACCACGCCAGAACTGAAGAAGATATCCAGTCAGTATCCCTGTCATGATCATCATCATTACCATCTCAGAGACGGAGGTTGATACTTTTATATCCGAACTTGCTGGCATCAGTGCTTGCGCCAGCGACTGCAAAGCGCGGGGAGGAGAAGAACAGCTTGACGGCGGCCTCCATATCTGACGAAGACATTATCGACTTGATGCAGAGACGGTATCAACAAGAATCAATATCACTATCGACAGCCTGAAGAAGCATCTGTTTAATACAAAAGCTCACCCCGCGATGTGGTGGGATTCTTATGTATATACAAATCAACTATTAATTGCTTTTGCCGCCCACAAGGTTTGCCCGCCAAACGGAGTAACATATGTAGTTGTCAAGCTGCTTGACTGGCGGCTAGCGGACAGTTAGCGATATCTCGCAGAATCCAGAGAGCCAGGCTTGGTTCTGGTATGCCAATTCTGTTTGTCGATGGAAGAAGCGGCAGCGGTATCAATATATACATCGGACTTGGTCGCATACTGATTGCGCTTCCTAGTGCCCTGCAAGTCTACCGCGCTTCATCCCCAGCCTTCTTCGCCTGCAACCCTGCAATGGACGACCTGGCAATCCACCCACGATTGTTACCGAAGCCTCTTTGCAGACAACACGGAGCAGTTGCTGTCGCAAGACGTGTGGAAAAGAGAGAGAGAAATGCCTAAATTCAGCCAGTGGATTCGAAAGATAACCCAGCGCGGCCATTCAGACCAGCAGGGCGAGAGGTCTTCACACAATGCTCCACCGCGTCGTCGTTTGCGAAGGCCTCGGACGCCTTTGATACCGATCCTCCCTACTGACCGCAGAGCGCTGTCGTTTTTATACGATTCCAGCGCGTCAGACGATGAGTGGGCGACAGAGAACAGCCTCTTCTTCCTGCGTTTGCCGCCAGAGATCCGCCGGATGGTATACATTGCTCTGTTTGGATCAAGAACGATACATATGAGTCTTCACTACACCACCTCAATTGTTGCTGGAAAAGCCCATGCCCGCTTGGACACGATTAAGCGGACAGATGATCCTAATCTCCAGTGGAGGTGGTGGCATTGTGTCTGTCATAGATACAGGAACCTCCCCTTTTGGAACGACCGTTGCTCTCTGCCACAGTACACCTCTTGTCGTGCTCATTATGGAGATCACTCAAGCTGCTTCATTGGAGTACTGGAGTGGCTGCTGACATCTCGTCGATGGTAAGAATTGTCTTTTTAAAGTAATGTATAGTTTGTTACATTATCCATCTTCTGATTTCTAACAGACTTCATCAAATAGTTATACAGAAGCGATGCCGGTTCTCTACCACACCAATACATTCATCGTCAACGACGAATTCTACGATGGCCTCATATTCAAGCTGCCTAACCTAATCCCAGCGCACCATCTCAGAGGGGTTACCTCGCTTGAACTAACATCTAGAATCATCCCCAGCGGTGACGCAGTTGATGTCGGAGACCATGCTGCACTGGTTTCGTTTATTTGTTCTTTCTTCCCCCAGCTACGTTGCCTACGTCTACACATAAAGAGAGGTGGTAGGTTTATAGAACGGAATGCTCACGATGTATTCCCTTGGACCATGCCGGGGGTAGAAGGCTACCCTCTTGTAAGCGCTGCAATTTTCTACACCACAGACCAGCTGGTACATCATTATTCAACCCAGTTGAAGTGCCTGGAGGTTGCTTTGGATAAATACATCTATACGAGAGTCCTGATGGTTCAACCCGAGGAAGTGATCAAAACAGAGGAGATACATCCAAGACAATCATGGCGCAGGTTCTGGCGAACGGTCATCACCCACGATGGACTAAATCTAGGCTACTACGTTATAGAAGCGGAGGACCAGGTTCTTATTCCGATAGACACATGCTTATAGCTGTGTGTTTCTACATACACGGCAAATCGACGGAAACAACCAGCCTTAACCACTACACAGCAGTCTAGGTTGGGTTTTTCACCAGTTAACAGCCAATCGAGACACACTACTGGCCTCTCTTGACGTATGGTGTTTTATGTTTACGGTTCTCAGTTAATGGGATTCTTGTATGGCTAAGCTTTACGGGAACCCGTTCACTGGCCAAATCTACCACGGAATCGCCCCAATACAGTGGATCTCAGGTGGATTTAAGACCTCTTAGTTTTCTATATATATCCAATTTCCAGGATGTGGTGATATGCAATCAATACTTCGCTGAGCCAACTTCTCGCTCATAATCCTCGGCAAATCTCGGCTATTTTAAGCTGTTAGATGACCGAAAATATAAACTAAAAAGACATCCATTTATAACTACTTCTGACTCTCCGCCTATCCGAGTTGATAACAATAAGCTGAACAAGAAATACATCCAAAATCGTACATGATGGCAACCTTTGCGTCAGTATTATATCCCATGATATCCAGGATTTACTGAGAAAGAAAATTAACTAATGATGTGCATGGAAACGTTGCGACTGCTTTACAGAAGTAGCAACTTTTCATATACGGCGTATGCCTCATTTCGCCCAGAATACCCCCAAAAGCTCTATGATATGGTATTTTCCTATCACCAAGGCGCATACAACACCTGTCTAGATCTTGGGTGCGGTCACGGCCTGGTTTCTCGTGCCCTTTCCCCGAGATTCAAGAAAGTCTATGGCATCGACCCATCCGCGGGCATGATAGAGCAAGCAAAGAACATGACGACTGAGCAGAACGTTGAGTTCGTTCAAGCCGCTGCTGAGTCTCTTCCATTCATTGAGGATAAAAGTGTAGACTTGGTTGTCGCTGGAGTAGCCGCCCACTGGTTCAATTATCCGCCCCTCTTCGCAGAATTACAACGGGTGATGAAACCTGGAGGCACCCTTGCATTTTGGGGATATTCGGATCACTACCTAGTTGATTATCCCAAGGCTACCGCCGTACTTGACAAATATGCTTATGGTCTAGATAAAGATCTGCTTGGTTCGTACTGGACCCAGCCTGGAAATTCAATCATGAGGGAGAGTTTACGTGCTATACAGCCACCGACGGATCAATGGGCAGACATCCAGCGGATTGAATACCAACCCGGACTTAACGGTCCAGACTCTGGTAAAGGAACAAAATATATGGAGACTGAGATCACGCTTCGCCAGGCGACTGAGTATATCCGTACATGGAGCGCATATCAACGCTGGAAAGACGCTCATCCAGGCCAACTTCGACGAAGTGAGGGCGGAACTGGAGATGTTGCGGATGAGATGCTTGACAGTATGATTAAGGCTGAGGATAGTCTACGTGATGTTCAATCAGCAGAGGATAAAGTTGTGAAGATTGAATGGGCCAGCGCTCTAATCCTCGGACGAAAGCTGTGAGCTATGGGCTATTTTTTCAAATTAAATAGTTTCTGGATCACCACAGTGCTCGAAGTATACCACGAAGAAGGGATCCTTTTTTTTGGGTTTACACGGCTGATATAGAGAGAGGATATGTTGTAAAATAGACGTCAAACCCATCTCAGAGGAATTTCTTTGAATTTATAAGTGTATTTCCCAATGATTTACTCGTCAAACACATTCTTTGAATTTTCTATTTCCAGTTCAATCTCCTTTTCCATCTCCGCAGCAAGCATTTCTGCTTCCTTGAGCATCTCCTGGTCGGACCTGGGCTCCCTAGAATCGTTATCCACAGCTGGAAACTCGGACCTTGACCGCTTCGATTCCATGGCCAGTTTCCTTTCGGCCAGGAACCTTCCAATATCCCCATCCTCACCGTCCATCATACCGTAAATCGCATCGGAGCCACCCATGTGGTCCAAATCAGCTTTCTTACGAGGTATTATATGGGCATGTACATGAGGCACGCTCTGTCCGGCATGGACACCATCTTGGATCGCAACATTTAAACTTGTGGCCTCGTAGACACGTTCAACCATGCGACTGACACGGCGAACAGTGAGGAAGAGATTTGTTGTTTCGGCGGGGGTTAGGTCTGACAGTCGTTGAATGCGCCGTATTGGACAGACGAGGACATGACCAGGCAAAAGGGGTTTGATGTTAACAAGGGCAAACGAGAGAGGAGTTATGAAGAAGACCTAGCCATATGACCGTTAGCTATCAATATACCAGCTTTGAGGATGTATCCATCTCCCAACTCCCCATGACGTTTCTGGGGACGTACCTGTGGCGTTACAAGAAACGGCCCAAAGTGAATTGGACTTCTTGCAACTACGTTCATCGTGTCTGCAGCGGATTCGTCGGAATGTTGACCAGTCATTGTACTTGGTAGTTAGCTCAGTAAAAACGCGATTTAATAGTTAACTAATTTGTTAATTGGTTGATTGTTTGGTTATCGATAGAGCTACAGCGTTGCAGCCAATGAACTCAGTATTGAACACTAGGACCTACACGCACTCTATGCGATTAACTACGGCTCTTTACAGATCCTAATCGCACATAGGCATTATATTCATTGTCTAGCAAATGTGTACCGTCCATAACGGACTATCTTTGCTGCCTCCTCTCTTTATAGTACTACCACCAATCTCCTCGGTCTCAACTTCTTCCTCGTTCCTCGTGAGGAGCCAGAGCACGGTGACCGTGAGCGAGAACCACTTCTCACCAACGAGTAAACTGCTAAACTCCCGCTGTCGTAAATCTAATTCAATCCTGAGCATCCATCGGATACTCCCCCGGAATCTCTCACTGTCTCATTATACTCTCATGCTAATGTTTCCATGTTTCCTTGGTACGACTACTTAAACCCCCAAAAAAATATACATCACCCCTCTGTCAAATACGCAAACAAGACCTCTCCTCCCCATCATCTCAGGTTGGACCATATATACATGCCTCGTCCAAAGGGGCCTTGTTTCGAAGTTCAACCTCTTTTAATGTTGTTATGTTCAGCCGGCGTGTTCCTACTCCCCTAATGAAGTGTTATCTAGCGTCTCGTTTTCCTGTAGCTACGTACTGCAAGTTTTCCTTGATTCCCAACTAAATTATAATGTCTATTCTTTATATAAATTGCTAATACGATCATCCCTCTTCTCTCCTCGCCCTGGTAAAGCGTAGCCTTGGATCCGGATACGGGCCGAACGTTTCCAAAAATCGGAGTCCTGATCAGGGTTTCGCCCTGCAAGCTGTGGAGCCAGCCCGTCTTTCTTCACTGTCGGCCTCCATTTTCAGTTAAAAAAAAGGTTGGCATATAAGACGGCTACTCAGGCAAATAAATCAATATCTTCGCAGTTGAGACCTTGAGATATACACAGATATTGATATATATGTCTATATAACGGTAAGTAGCATTAATAACCGACAAGTAGTCCTACTAATAGCCACAGTGATGTCTGCCTACGCACACCTTTCGCCAGCAGAGCAAAACCTCATCGAGGTAGCAACCAAGACGATAGCAGCCATTCCGGTGTCCGACGACTACAGCGTCGCGAGCGCCGCACTCGCAGAAGACGGCCGCATCTTCACGGGCATCAACGTCTATCACTTCACCGGCGGACCCTGTGCTGAACTCGTCGTCCTGGGAGTCGCCGCCACAGCTGGACCACCCAAACTCACTCATATCGTGGCCATGGGGAACGAAGGACGGATGGTGCTCAGCCCGTGTGGCCGTTGTAGACAGGTCCTGTGTGATTTGCATCCGGGCATCAAGGCGATTGTGAGGGACACAGATGGGACAGTGAAAGTCGAGAAGGTGGAAGATCTGTTGCCTGCGAGATATCTCATACCTGACCCCACCGTTGAGAGGCTCTAGAGAGCCTCCACCAACGTCCTATCTTATTCTTTTGCCATCATCTATCAAGTGTTTTTCTTTGCTTTTTTCTCCTTCTTTTCCTTGTAGATGATTTAAAGTTGTCGGCCTGGCTTAGTCAGCAAGTTGCTGTGACAACCGCAAGTTTACATGGAAAAGCGCCGCCAACAACTTGATAAGTTTCTCCAAGCTCAAGATCTCACCTCCTGGCGACTTCATACTCCCTCGAGCAGCTATCCAGTTGGGGTTTTCAGTCTATCTCTGCTATACACGGGACAGGACCCGGCTATCAGTCCTCTACATCGACCTACTTCTACCTAATGATGCAGTATATCTGATTTCCATATCTATATCTCCATCTCCGTTACCAGCTCAACCAACCCACCTACAGTGACGCTCGATGGACCCCTCGGGGACGTCTGGTCATTCGGCTCCTCCTGGCTACAGCGAGGAGCCACCGTCCTACTCGCTGCCGAATAACTACGATGATAACGATGACATGAGAGCTTCCATGTCCGCCGCTGGCGCGAACGCTTCGGCGACGATGAGGCTGCTGCCTGCGGGCTCCGGAAGCAGTATCAATGAGAACTACGATACATACAATATGTACGATACTTACTCTGTTGGTAGTGACCTTGGGAGCGCCCAATTCGGGGCGCAGAACCCTTCAATAATACAACGTCAACAGTATGTAACATCTCAGAAAGATGGCAGCAGCACAGCAACACCAGTCTCGACATTAGACAGCAATATCCCATCAGAGTCATCCACTACACTTACCCAGAGCATCCTATCAGCCAATTCCCCTTGCCCAGCTTCCCCTAACACACGTCTCCTTACCCTACCCCATGACATTCCTCTAGAGAATCTCCCCAAAAGGGATGCTCATATTCCCTCTTCCAGCAGCAGTCCTGTCAAAGGCAGCGTAAAGGGAAAGATGTCTTCACTACGTCTATGTCACCCTGCTGTCCCTGCTCCCCTGCGTCTCGCTAGCCCAAAGCCACCTATTATTCCAAGCCTCAGGCGTCAAAATGACAGTCTCACCCTAGACGACTTATTTCTACCCCCAATTCATATCAACCATGGAGGCGCACTGTCCTCCATTCAGGAGGCAATCGATGAACTTGAAGCTGACCAGAAATTAACTAGTTCCCCCACATCTCCCTCAAGAACTTCCTCCCAGCGATATCATCCCCTTAATTCAAATTCCACTACCACTGCCCCCATTCCACAGCCCGCCCCACCTTTAGGTCCGGCTCCAGTGATACCACCACCAGGCGCACCGAGCGTAGACGGGTCCCAGTTCTCCGTACGCTCCTCCTCGCCTACCAGACCATGGACTCCCTCGCGTAGTACTGACTGGCAGCGGCGCCCACCGTCAGTTTCAAGCATCAATTACGAGCCAGCAGATCTCAACGGAAGCCCTCGTCCAGGGACTCCTAGCTCAAGATATGGGGGGAGTCCAAGGCGTCCCCTTCCTCCAGCGCCACTGTTTTCCGGCCCAGCCCCAGTATCTTCTTCTAATGAAGCTACCATTGATATAGGGGAGGGTGAGCCAAACGGAGAAACAGATGATGTTTTTGGAGGTAATGGCCGAACCATAAATCCAAAGCGTTCGTCACACGGCAGTGTGAGGTCTTATGGGTCATACCTCAGCGAATCGACCATGGTGACAGAGGAAAAGGAACATATGAAAAAGGACAGCCTCGACGAAGATGACGAGAGTGATGGTGAAGTCTATGCTCCAGCACCTACTGGGCGTCAAGATAGACGAGGTGTGAGGCAGGCATTGATGGCAAAGAAAGAAGTCAAGCTTGTCAACGGTGAGCTTATTCTGGAATGTAAGATTCCTACCATCTTGCACAGCTTTTTGCCCAGGAGAGATGATCGAGAATTCACCCATATGAGGTACACTGCCGTCACATGCGACCCTGATGACTTCGTCGCAAAGGGGTATAAGCTTCGCCAAAATATCGGCAGTACCATGCGTGAAACGGAGCTGTTCATATGCGTTACCATGTACAACGAAAATGAAATCGACTTCACCCGTTCGATGCATGGTATCATGAGAAATATCTCTCATTTCTGTTCCAGGAGCAAGTCTCGCACATGGGGAAAAGACGGGTGGAAGAAAATCGTCGTTTGCATCATCGCTGATGGAAGACATAAAGTTCACCCTCGCACTTTAAACGCTCTCGGCGCCATTGGTGTATATCAGGATGGCATTGCGAAGAACATAGTTAACCAGAAAGAGGTCACGGCCCACGTGTACGAATACACGACTCAGGTCTCCTTGGACCCGGAATTGAGATTTAAGGGTGCAGAGAAGGGAATTGTGCCTTGCCAGATGATATTTTGTCTCAAGGAGCGAAACCAGAAGAAGCTCAACTCTCATCGATGGTTCTTCAATGGATTTGGCCGTGCATTGAACCCTAATGTTTGCATTTTGTTAGACGTTGGAACGAAACCGGAGCCAACTGCCTTATATCATCTCTGGAAAGCTTTCGACCAGGACTCCAATGTGGCTGGTGCTGCCGGAGAGATCAAAGCTGGCAAGGGAAAAGGATGGGTAGGCCTGCTTAATCCCTTGGTTGCATCTCAAAATTTCGAGTATAAGATGTCCAATATTTTGGATAAGCCGCTGGAGTCTCTATTTGGATATATTACTGTGTTGCCTGGTGCGCTTAGTGCTTATCGATACCATGCACTGCAGAATGATTCCACTGGCCATGGGCCACTCAGCCAATACTTCAAAGGAGAGATGTTGCATGGGAAAAATGCTGATGTGTTCACAGCGAATATGTATCTTGCTGAAGATCGTATCCTCTGCTGGGAATTGGTTGCTAAACGGGAAGAGCAATGGCTCTTGAAGTTTGTCAAGAGTGCTGTGGGTGAAACTGATGTCCCAGGTAGGTTAATCCATTTCACCTAGAGGAACTTACCATCATACTAACGACTAATCTAGATACTGTGCCTGAATTTATCTCTCAACGTCGAAGATGGCTTAATGGAGCGTTCTTTGCTGCCGTCTACTCTCTGATCCACTTCCGGCAGGTTTGGAAGACTGACCACACAGTTGCTCGTAAGATCTTGCTCCATATTGAATTCATATATCAGTTTGTCAGCTTAATCTTCACCTTTTTCTCTCTGGTAAGTTTAGCAAGATATTTTTCATATAAGCATGCCTTTCGGAAGTTACTAACAGTGGTTCTTTAGGCCAATTTCTATATCACATTCTACTTCGTTGCTTTGGCTGTGGCGGATCCAAAGATAGATCCATTCGGTCATGGAATAGCCAACGTCATATTTATTATTCTGAGATATGCTTGTGTGTTACTCATTTGCTTGCAATTCATCCTTTCCATGGGTAATCGACCCCAGGGGTAAGTTAGGGTTCCTTTCCTCGTTTGACCCGAATACATACTTACTTTTGTGAAACAGCGCGAGGAAAATGTTCTTGAGTGGAATGATTGTATACAGTATAATCATGATATACACTACCTTTGCTGGATTATACGTCGTCATCCGTCAATTCACGTCAAAAGATAATAAGGACAAGCTTACTCTGGGGCAAAACGTGTTCACTAATGTGATTGTATCGACCCTGTCAACCATCGGTCTATACTTCGTCATGTCGTTCATTTATCTCGACCCATGGCACATGTTTACCTCGTCTGCCCAATACTTTGCCCTTTTACCAAGCTACATCTGCACGCTGCAGGTATACGCCTTTTGTAACACTCACGATGTTACCTGGGGTACAAAGGGAGACAACGTCCTACATACTGATCTCGGCGCGGCACGTACCACGGGCTCCTCAACAGTCGAGCTTGAAATGCCTTCTGAGCAACTTGATATCGATAGTGGATATGACGAGGCACTCCGTAACCTTCGTGACAGACTCGAGGTTGAAAAGCCACCGGTGCCTGAATCACAGATGCAAGAGGACTACTACCGAGCTGTTCGAACCTACATGGTGTCTGTATGGCTGATTGCCAACGCCATCCTAGGAATGGCGGTGACAGAATCGTACAGCAAAAAGCACATCGGAAGTAACGGCTACCTGGCTTTCGTACTATGGAGTGTGGCTGGCCTCGCTGTGTTCCGTGGCATAGGTTCTACGGCCTTTGCGATTCTCAACGTCGTTCAAATGATTGCAGAGGGCAAGATGAAGTTTTCTGCTGGGAATTTCTCTATTGGTAGCTATGCAGGAAGCTCCGCTGCTGCAAGTTCGATTGGAAAGAAGCTTCCGCATAGGAGCGTCAAGGAGAAGGTCACTGACTGGTTTACTGAAACTGGATGGACTGTGAAGAGGCAGTTCCGTAAAGTGGCTTTTTGGAGAAAATGATATCTATTTTCATTTGTTTTATTTCTTTTGTTCAAGAGGCGGAGGCTGGGGGAGTTCTGTCATTTTCTTATAATCTTTTTTTTTTTTCAATGCTCGTGTTGGTTGGTACGTATACACAAATGTCTGGAATTGGTGTTTATTGGAGTCGTTATTGTGTATGTTTGATGTTTATGTATGCTTTTACGACAATGAGGAATTTATCAGATTAATGATATTTGACAAGAGTCTATATATGATATATGCAAGTAACTCAACGCTGATCTATAAAGTAACAGCTGTAGACAACATGAAATGCAGAAGACAGAAACAGCTCCCCGGATATATAAATGTATCTATCTACATGCTATCTTCTCTCCACTTACTTCGAGTCTTATTCCAAGCTGCTTTATCTTCCTGCCCATGCGATTCATCCATACCAACGCCCAATCCACGCTCAACCCACTGCTTACCTTCCATCTCAGCCAAACGGGACAACGCCCTAGCAAACGCGAACCGTTCCTCATCACCACTAAATATCGAGCTGGATTTAAGCTGATCCATCGACAGACCGAGATCGTCCATAAGATTGCGCATGTCGGCCTGTAGTTCAGAGTTGGATGATGGGTTGCCATCACTTGAAGCTGCTTCTTTGATATCATCTTCTGAAAGGAAGAGGTTACGTAGTGGGACGGCTGTAGTGAGGACGAGCTTTGCCTGTTTTTTTATTATTTTGCATGTTAAGTAGAAGTGTCTAGATAAAGAAAAAGGACATCAGAAGTGGGAACGTACCCTGCTCTCGTACACCGCGTCAATGAAGGTGATGAAGCGTCTGGCTAGATCTCGTTGGTGAAGGCCCATGGCGGGCACATCGGTGATGATGAACGAGTTATAGTGGTTCATTAGTTCTATATAATCGGCTGCGCCCGTGGCACGGCCAATAATTTCATCAAATGCGAATCGAGCGGCTTTGCCCGAGGCCTGCGGGACATTGACGCTCCGACCCCAAACTTCGTGCACGGCAGGGTGAGGAGGGTCGTTCTCAAAGTCACCGAGGTATTTGAACCATTTGTCTGCATGGTGGGATGCAGCTAGGCCTAGAGGATGGTGATATACGCCCGACGGCGGGCGGGGGATCTTACGGTAATCAGTGGATGAGTTGAGGTTGATAACGGTCAGGGCGGTCTTGAGAAGGTGAATGCATGGTATGAAGGACTGGCGTTGGATTCCGTTCTTGTACAGGTCATCCGGGTGTCTGTTGGAAGTGGTTACGAGTACGACGCCATGTGACATGAGGCATTCCAGCAAGCGGCGCAGGATCATTGCATCAGCTACATCTGTGCATTGGAACTCATCGAAACAGAGCACGCTTGACTGCTCGGCTATATCGGCTGCAACGAATGGGACACCGTCGACATCCGCTCCTTGCTTGGACTTTACTGCGAACAAACGTTTATGAACATCTTGCATGAAATTGTGGAAATGGATTCTTGTCTTTGAGGTAACGGCAGGAGGGAGTGTGTCGTAAAATAGATCCATGAGCATTGTCTTGCCGCATCCTACGTCTCCATACATGTAGAGGCCCTTGGGAAGGTTGGAGGGGATCTGCGTTTTTTCAGCGGTTTTGGGCGCGTTGTTGAAAAGCATGCTGAAGAACGAGGACTTGGACGGTTGAGGGTTTAGTGACTCTAGCGATGGATGGACGACTGCCGGCGCCTCGTAGTCCCGTAGCATGTCATGGAGGTCTTGAAGATGCTGGATGATAGCTAGAATATGGATGTTAGCGCTGAGTGAGTAGACTCCGGGTAAGGATATAGGCGTATACCTCTCTGATGGTCGTCGTCTCTCAAGAGGCCTGCCTCAACCCGACTTTCGTACTCCTGCAACGGACCATGGGCAGTAACATCGGCCTTCTTCTCGTCCGCGGCTGTCGCCGTCGTCATATTCCTCGTTTGTCCAGCTTCTCTGCGCACATCCCACTCAACATCCCCCCTCCTCCTCCAGGCTGCAGTAGAGTAGATCGAGCTCCCCGGCCGCGCACCCGCACGCCCATGAATCAAAGGCGCAGATGACGAACTTCCATAGCTTCGTACAGCTCTGCTTAAACACGAAGCACAGACTGCATTCGACAAATCGAACGGCGCAGCGGTCAGAGACGGCCGCAGTCTCGACAGAGGCGCATGGAACGGTCGGACAGTAGGCTTCATTCTTCCTGCCTTGCTTTCTTCTATATGCGAAATGGGGTGATTATCACTGCCTCCGAGCCATGTAGCCGTATGTATATAGATAGTATCTAGATCAGTCTTCGTGTGGGCTGGTGCTCCAGCATCTAATCTAGGGCGTCAAAAGAGAGAAAAAGAATCAGAATCAGGCAGAGAGCATGGCTCCTCTAATGAACGAACGGTCTAATCTAAGAGTTAGCCGGGTGAAAGAGTCCAAGTATGTAATAAGTTGAAGATGTTTTTCTTTTCTTCGTTTTAAAAACTTCGATTTAGATGGAAAAGTCACGGTTTCCCTGTTGGGACTAGCGCGTTTATAACTACTTGCCGAGGCTGAAATGTGAGATATATCAAATAGATGAAGACGATATAGA